TGTTTTGAACTTTATGAGATTCAGAATAGTTTTTCGGTGGCGGCAAAGTTGTTAAGCCAGACGTCCTCTTAGAATCGGACTTAACTTTACAACCATTAGGATTATGATGCGTTTGAGAGTTTGACGCTGATGGTCCGTAGTTATTTCTTCCTGGTTTTCGCTGGCATGGTGTTTTATCCGGAAGAGTCTTAATATCCTTGAAAATCTGTTTTTGTCTCAATGAATTGGAGGAACTTAAAAATTCACTGGCGTCTACAGATGAGTTGAATTTGAACAAGATCGGTGAGTGCATACCAGGATGACTTCTTTTTAATCTTGTGCATACACGTGGTACGTGTGTCATATTGCTGGCTCTAAGCAGACTAGATTTGATATTTTTAAGGGCATGTGTATCCGGTATATTAAACACAATTGCATTGCTAGATCGTCTTATTCTTTCAAATACCTCTGATGCAACACGATCTAGGAAAATATTTATGTCATTCATTTGATCTGGAGTCTCTGTAAGGTTGGGGTTGATGAGATATTTAAGCGGATTGAGAATGTTCATGTCTACTTGCAACTTTTTTATAGCATCCATATGGTTGCAGTTGCGATTATCATCGCTGTTTACCATCAGAGTTTTCAACATGTCTGGAATGGAGACAACTGGTAAAAGCTTGTCTGCTTCCGGATGAACGGAGTGGCTCGTCTCGTTGAAACTGTTGGAAATCGTGTCAGTAATGGTGTTAAATTGTGTCGTTTTCCTACGTTTGGCTGAGCGCCTAGGAGCAGGGGTCTTCATTTTCTTTTGTGGCATGATAAGAAAGTGACGTATAGCAAGTGGATTGAACAGAATGTTGGAAATACGGGTGAAGAAATCAATTCCGAGGGCTCAAGTTAGTCTAAAAATCAAAATCTATGTTTTAACTAAGAGTGAATGTATCGTGAGGATTAGCGGTGTTAAGAACAAAAGATGACAATGGCAGGAAGATAGTGGTGGAGATGAAGTATTTATGTCAGTAACTGTGTGGAGGCAAAATAGAATATAAAGGAGCAAGTTGTATAAATGTTAATATATATATGACACGAAAGATAGCCTTATATAGCAAAGTAATTTAGAAATGTCGTTAATTAGTATCAAACAATAAAAAAAGTACGGTACGTGATACATATATAAACCGAAAGTCCGTATTAGTAAAAATCGGGAGGTGCAGAGATAAGTAGTTTAGAAGATTATTACCGTCTAAGATTATTATTGGAAAAAAACTGCCGAAAAAAAAACTATGACAGACTCACCGAATTGGACAGGTAATTTCGGAAATGAAATAATTTATAGTATCCAAATACGATTTAAATGATAGTTCATAAAATAATGAATACAGTCCTTTAACATACTCGGTTATATATATTTCTTGATATTAGGTAGAGGTTTGAATAGATCCTGTAGATACATAAAGTACGTGGGTTAAGGCATTCAAATACGATATAACCATATATTCCTTAAGAAATAGAATACAGATATAGAATGCAGATCTTCGTCGAATATGATTATATATGGTTTCAAAGTGACAAAGTATAGTTTGATCGTATAGTCAGAATGAATATATGTAATTATATGATTGTGAATTATTGTATGAATATGATCATAAATACCGTAAGTTAAACTCAGAACTTATCATATGGCATGAAATTCACAGTTTATATGTTAATAGTTAAGAATAGAGTTAACTTCCATAATTCCAAGAAAAAAATAATTCATCCAGCTCTGCGAGAATCCTAGAAAAATAAAACTAAAAACCTCGGCCTGAAAGTAACGTCCAATCCGTAGCGCGCGCTCTTGTGAAATCGCTCTTATTTTGTGAGTTGGAAATTCTTCGTTCATATTCTAGTTCATCCGTTTGACGGAAGCCTTTAACGCTGATAAGTTCAAGTAGCGTTTTGAGAACTACCATTCTGGCTATCTATCACTGTTGAAGTATTAACTCCTTTATTGAGAGCGAAATACAGTGTTACCGACTTTTCCCAACCCCTAAAACAGAAGTAGTAAGCAAACAGTGACACAAGGATCCATTTATTTAGTAGTTTCAACAAGTTCGTTCATTAGTATAGTAATATTGGGGTGATGTCAATAAAGTATCTAGTGGGCAATAATAAGAATAAATGTACTTTGTTAGGTATCTTCACTGACTGTTGAATGCAACCATTAATTACAAGTCTCTAACACAATACAAATCACTAAGAAGACCACCGTATGGTGTTACGGGTGCCAGAAAGCGAAGTGTGATTCCGGTCGCACAAAATCAGTGGTGTCAACAAATCAGCTCCCTTGACACCATTTGACATTTAAACAATTATCCGGAGAAATATGTAAGCCTACAAATCTGTCCGTTCCGTTTAGGAACATATTCATGGGGTCTTTTAAATCATCTTCATTTGATAGGGAGACATTAAACTAACAGTCTGACTTTACTAAATAGTGCATTTAGTGACTCATTATTTGAAATGCACTCTATTTGCTTCATTTCAGCAGACAAATCATAGATGACTACTACAAGGTTTCTTAAGGCCTCATTCTCTTTTGATGGTCTATGAGAGTGAGAGCGACTACGCATATTGCTAACTCCCCCTCTTGACTGCTACTTTCAGTTGGTGCTGAGTGCTGTAAGTCTGTTGTAATTGAACATGTTTATGTAAATTTATATCGACAAAAAGGCCTACCTAGTTACTGGTAACAAAGGAATTTCGATCAATACTTAACTTTGCTATATCCAGTCTGCATCTCAGCCACATCCAGACCAACAAAATAAAAGATCTGGCCGTCTTTCTGTTTAAGCATTTATCTGCCGAGAATGTACAGAATTACTGCACCTGCTTTCCAGGCTTATCACTACTCAGCAGTACGCTGTTTTCATTGTGGATTTTTATTGTGTTTGTAGAATTTGAACTGCATAAGGAAAACACATAGTCCCTGCAATCTACCAGAACTGTTCAGTACTTCTTGTTCAGTGACACCCATCCCTCATCGGGTTGACTTCACTAGGCATATTCATTTCACTGATGCTACAATACATTCAATAATTATAATTCAAAATCCACTTATTGAATAATTTATAGACTTCTTTATTTAGAAGAAAAAGTAGATAAAGTGTAGTAACAAAAATGTATGTAGCGATGGGATTAAGGTCTCTTAGTTAACCTCCCTTACTGACTTGAACTCGCGCCCATGACCAACTTCTGAGGACACTAAGATTTTGATATCAATAGGTAGAGAAGGTTCTATGGAGAAGTCTGACAGGTTGCCGTAAGGTCTGAAACTTGACAATCAACATTCGTTATCTACTTGATGAAAAGACTGCAGAAGTCTTTTCAATAAATGTTCCACTGAAAAAATTTGGACGTTATGAAGAATCGAAGGAAGTGATCAGTATGTTAAATCATGTGATAAATGACGGAAGCACAAATAAGGATGCCATAGCTAACCTAAATGCGGTGAAATGAATTTGGTGTAATAAGTTTCATCCAAAAATAAGTTCAACACTAAGTAAAATGTTTTTAAATTATAGCTGATTGAAACTAAGCGAGCGATATGCTTCAGTAGATGATGTTGATAGTCCAAGTTCCAAGTTCTTAAAAGGAAGCGGGTTTATTTATTAATATCAGTTAACTAAGTTTTTTAGTGTTGACGAAAGCTTATAAGATATTTACATTATGAACTCTATCTTAGTATTAAATTTTAATACGTAATATGAATGGTTTAAGCAACAGTGAAACTAAATGTAAACGAAGTATTGTGTTCACGTTTTTAATTAATGCGTGAAAATTGTAAATACTTATTTCCATGAAATAAATCTTCTGCCTATTAAAATGATGGCCAAACATGTGGCACTTGCTAATGATAAATTCACTATATCACTGTTTTATCCGATTTCTATTATGTTAGGTGTAAGAATTCGATTTTCAGTGTTATATGCCTCAGTAATCTGTTAACCAACAGTTAATCAAGTCTTAAAACCGAACCCTTGAAAATATTTTTCCACGAATATTTTAAGAAGTTCATCATACGCATATGTCACTGCAAGTATGATGATAAGCAGATATGGATGACTAAAGATTGCTTCTTATTTGAATTATATTATCCGGGTAGGCGGTTTGTTTATTAGCTACAAACAAGGTGAGGGCTATATGAAAGAGAAGTTTGCATTTACCGCTGCTTTAAAATCAAATAACAGTTGCTTGATGTGAAACTTCGTTTATGAAACAAAACCATGAAAAGTGAATTATTAAGTTATACAGCGAATAGTATTTTCATTATCAACATTCATCCGTACAAGTATGCATAAAAATGCTTCATTTGGTACCATTGATGACAAGAATGCTCCATAGTATGAATGTTCCATAGGAGTAAGGAACCGACCTAAATCATGCCGCCGTTGAAATATAAGAAGCACAGGGCAACCGTTTCAGTTCAGCACGGGATTCTTCATCAATGCACTTCGCAAACCCTGCGTGTGAGAATCTGACCCAGAACCTCCAACCTCATGCGTGATCACTTAACCTCTTGGACATTAAGCCGTCACCGAACCGTATTATTACATAATTTTAATCAATCCACGACATTGAGCGATAATCTTCTATTGTCGTCTGTAAATTTTTCAGACTAAAGAATCATTCATGTTCATTTTGCATTAATAATAATAATAATAATAATAATAATAATAATAATCTATTCTCAAATAACAGTTTGTTACATGAGGCATGCCAGTTTACAGGCAAGATCAAATTGATACAAATGATACAATATACACTGTATTAAATTACATAGCTGGGTTGAAAATTTATAAGACGTGAATGTAGATTGTTTTAATCAGTACTACAGTTGGCGCGCTTCACTAGAGTTGAGTTGCGAATGTGCGACTGATGGTCAAGGATAGGTTTATTGAAGGTATGAGCTTCTAGAAATCGCAACCTTATGTCCCTTTGGGATATCCAAGGCTTTAAGGATGGTGCAGGATGAAGTAACCTGTTCCATATCTCAAGGGGGCTGAAAGAGGGAACAAGTAAAAGAAAACACGAGAGGCAGAGTAGCCAATATTCATGTAGGAATGTTTAAGGCATGATTACTCAGTCTAATTTTCTTTTATTAAGGCATTTGTTAAGAAAGAGCACTTTAATAGGTTAAAGAAAATAAGCTTTAGCAAGGTGTGAGTGGACATACAACTGACAAATGGAGGCGATTCGGAGAAGAGCTGAGAGTATAAGATTATGTGTGATTATAAAATAAAATATAGTGCTAGAAACAGTATTGTGATATACAACTGGCTATCTTCCTTTTATTATCAAAGCTATTAGAGCCCATTTCGTTTTTTTTTGTTTTTTTTTCAGGTATTATAGGGTCTTGAGTGGGCTTCGTATATTAGCGAATTGTCTAGTTTGCTTGTAATAGGATTACTGGGTAGGAAGTGAAACCAATTCGACGTTCGTAACACGATTTAAAGAGGTATTTTGCGTGATAAATCAGCTTCAATACCATAAGTCCGTGACATCACACTAAACCATAAGGAGCCGTAATTAAACAAAATGTTCTGCCCTACAGACATGGGTGAATTGAAGTTATCTCCCCACCTTCATGTTTGCTGGTCAGTAACGCCACCCTCCCTCCTTTTGTGATGTTAGGCTCTCTTACGTTTGTGGTAAGTATGATTAATGCTTTAATCAAAGTCCATAGTTGGAATACACTGTCTCTACTAGGTCCATGTTACAAGCAAATCAGATATTTAAAAATTCTGTTTTATGGGTTAGATGTCCATATAGTATATCACACTGCTATGAAAATAACTAATGGTTTAAAGAAGTAAGGATTAATAGTAAATCAAAGGATATGAGAGGGTATAAAATTGTAGAAAAAAAAAGAAAAAGATTTTAGGGTGAGAAAAATAAAACATTGAGAAACTCACAAGACTTTGTGGCCAGATTTTGAGCTTTGAATGATCGGCCTTAGTAGATCAGCATCCATAAGATTGAGCTATCTGTCTACTTGCAGTAGAAAAAAAAGCATGAATTTTAGGAAGAATAATGTACATTTAACCTGTAGAGATTTGGGGACTGAAAGCTAGGGTTAGGGGCATGAAATCATGATTAATAAACAATGAATAATAGGAAAGGATAAGCCATATATCCTGTGATTTGGTTATATTCAGATTAGTAACAGTCGAACTTGTTATAATTTTGTCCTTTCTAGATACTAGCCGGTCCGTAATAAAGTGCCTCATCGGTGGGCGGGAGTTCAAGGTAATGTTGAAGCTCTTTGGAGTCTAGAAATAGGGTTATTAGCTTTTTGAATCTGGTAAACGTATCACAGTTACGGATAGGCATTGGCAGCCTGTTCCACAATAAACTGTACCGTACTGTAAAGAACTTACAACGCATTTGTTTTTGGTGTTTTACGGTAAGTAGTGTATATGCGTTGTTTCTAAGTCTATAGGCTGGGTCGTGGGTGATAGTCGGGCAGGAGGTCAGAAAGGAGAGCCCATATATCGCTTTGTAGAGAAATATTAAATTGTGTTTTAGCCTACGGTGCCATAAAGGTTCTAAAGATAGATGCTTACATCTGTCTGTGTAATCGAGATTCGAGTTACATCCTAGTAGTTGACGTGTGAAACGTCTTTGAACATCTTCTACTCTTATCTTGTCTGCGATATTCATATTAGAGAAGACAAAAGAGCAGTATTCAAGGGTGGGTCGTACACATATTTTGTAGAGAGTAAGTTTACCCTCTGTTGTGAAAACGTTTTTCATTATAAAACCAATTAGCCGTCTACATTTAGAAATAATGGAGGAGGCATGTTCTTCAAAGTTTAGGCTTCCTGTGTAATTAATTCCTAAATCGTGTACTGATTCGAGTGTTTGGACTATACATTCATTTAAGTGAAGTCGCGGTTTATAGGGATGCTTTCCAAAGTGCATGATCCCGCACTTGTTGAGGTTAAATGGTAATTGGCATTTTTCACTCCATATAGTTAAGTTATTGAGGTCCTTTTGGATCTGGGATACACTTTCGCTTAGTGTCTCAGGCTTATAGCTGTATACTATTTTGAGATCATCAGCATATAAGTACGGTTTCCCAAATTCTATGGTGTTACATATATCGTTTATATACATAAGAAACAAAAGTGGCCCTAATACGCTTTCCTGGATGACTCCACTGGTGATTGGTCTAGGGGACGAGAGACAGTCATTGTACTTTACCATCTGTTTACGTTCTGTTAAGAACGAAGCAAACCATGAGTACAGTGGGTTGTGTATTCCGAAGGACTTTAGTTTGACGAGTAGCCTTTTGTGTGGGACCTTATCAAAGGCTTTCTTAAAGTCTAGGAATAGGACTGATACAAGGAGTCCGCTGTCTCGTTTCAGAGTTATATCATTCAGGTAGTCTACTAGGCATGTGTCGCATGATCTGGACCTAAGAAATCCATGCTGGGAGGTCGACAAGAGATTGTTAGTTAATAGATGTTGGACTACAGCCGCCTTAACTACTTTTTCCATCACTCTGGATACCACTGAAGTTATGTTTATAGGCCGGTAATTTTCAACGTTTGCTTCAGGTCCTGTTTTAATTTTGGGAATGATATGTGTAGTTTTCCAGGCAGTAGGGTAACACGCTGAAGAGAGTGATATCGCGAATAGTTTGAGAAGCAAAACACACATGTCATCACCTCCACGTTTTAGCATGCTAGATGGAATACCATCTGGTCCATCAGTGTAGGAGTGTTTCAATGTACTGATTGCTTTGGAGATATTTTGTACACTGAATTCTACATTAGTAATTTCACAGGGAGTTACTGGGATTGGTTCTGAATCATTAAATGGTTTTTCGTTAGTTAGTGTGAAACAAAAATGTTCACTGAATAATTCTGTGATAAGTTTGGGATCTTCGTATACTTGTTTGCCTTTAATGAATATACTCCCTCTCGATTTAGAGCGTTTAAGTTTATTTTGGAGTAGTATGGTGAGTGCAGAGGAGTTATTATTAAGTTCGACTGCACGTTTTTCCTGTGCTACTGCTTTTTGTTTAGTTATTGCCTCTGTTCGAACAAGTATTTCTGTCATCGTTACTAAAGAGGAAAAGTCATTTAAGTTGTGGAATCGAGTACAATGTCTTTGAAGACGTCTTCTTGTACTGACCGGTATATAGAGATCTTTGGAGAACGTAGGTTTACAGTGTTCTAAAGGTGCGATGTTGTTGATGATACTTTTGATGTTGTTATAAAATATATTGGTTAATGTGTCGGTATTGTTTGAGGTAAAGAAAGTTCTCCAATCAGTGATTCTTAGGTAATTGTGGAAGTTATTCCAATCAACCTTGCGATAGTTTCTACGAAGTGTTACGGTTTTACTTCTATCGGTTGTGGTTTTTACATTAAGGCTGCATATGACAATGTTATGATCACTACCTGGGAACTTTTTTCCAATATACAAAGTATTGGGGATGAGGCCACTGGTAAAGACTAAGTCTAAGATATTTTGATGTCTGGTAGGGCTATCGACATACTGAGTCCATTGTCCAAGCTCTAGACATTCAATAAATGATTCATAACGTCTCGGCGCTTTGACTGGCAGCCAAGAAATTTCGGGCATATTGAAGTCACCACAAATGAGCTTGCCTGTGAATGAGAGGGATGATGCTAGCGTGAATACCTCCGATAATACTGCTATTTCATCTATTGATGCGTTAGGTTGACGATAAACACAGCCGAGCAGTAAGGTAACGGAATTCGACGGCTTTAATACAATCCACACCGAATCCTTCAGTTTGTTTAGTTCAGGCATATCACATAGCAGTGAGTTCAGGCTAGAGTGAGCGTAAATAAGGCATCCTCCGCCTCGTCCATTCAATCTATCACTTGCTTGAATTTTCGTGTTGTTATTCAGGACTTCAATTGATCAGTTTCTTACTGGTATATGTGAATCCTATACGGGTTGTCTTGATATAGCCTTATGTCATAAGTATTTAGGCAAAGATGGGTGGTGATCAACGGTGGAATCCAATAAGCGCGTTTCACCCAGCTGACGAGTCCCAAATCGAACGAAACGCGTGTCTTGAATTCCAGTGCTAGCCACCACCCATTCATGTTTGTAAAGAATTATCTGTTTTTTAATGAGCCTTAATTGTTCTGTTTATAACAATCATGATCTATTTTTATCAAATATAATAATCAGGACAAACCAAGTACATTCAGTATAGCTCAAACAATCTATATTGTCAAGTAATCCCTTGAGCGATTATGGCGTACAGTTCGTGAATGTTAGTGGTTAATTCCATATGGATATTGTTATCAATAATGTTATAATTATGGCTACATTAGTAATTCTCACCGTAGACTATTAAATATAAAAGGTACATCCTTTTGGTGGAAAGGTCATAGAGGACCCTAGTAAAAGAACTTTAGGATTGAATCACACAGTCACCATCCACATTCAAGTTATTTATCAAAATGCAAAGACTTATGTCTCAGCGTCTTGGGAAACAGCTTGTAAAACTTCCGATCACATACATACCATTTTGGTGACATTTAGTAAACGTACTCAGACTGGGAGTAAATTTATATAATTATTGAGCTATTTGGCTGGTTTATCTAAGAAACCAATTAATCAAGACTTCACTACAATCGGTTCTGTTAAAAGTGCATATTTTTAATCTACCAGTATTTGAAGGTAGCGAGAAAATAGCAACAGTAGTTTATAATTATTGATTAAAATTATCATACATGTTTCAAATCTGTTCTTCAAAAACGTCTTCAGAGTCGAAAAAAGTGCAAGACTTTTAGATAATTTCGTAGGGCGGCTCTAAATAGAGCTGTTTCAAGTTCCTGTGATGTGTGCAAAATGTAAATGGAAAAAGAAGACGTTACTCAACACGTATTTACAATCAACATTTGGTCCAGATAAACAAATAAATTCCTATTTAGATAAAGTGACGAATATGTACTCCGCTAGCAGATTCTCCAATACACTCCTGACACTGGCCGGCTAATGCGACACTATTTCTTCAGACTGATTCAAAATTCGGTTCGCAAAGCTGATGGGACGTTTCTAGTGCAATCAGTTTCTTTTTTCTGCTGGTTGGTTAGTGGGGACACGAGTAAAAAGTAGTACAGTTTTAACCCAATGAGTTAATAGACAATTTTATTAATACACAGTTAACGTTAATTTTCACAAAGATCATGAGCTATGAAGACGACAATCGAGGAAACCTAGTTGGTAAATTGATGATGTATGTCACAAAATTAATTGTCTGAGAGACAAGAGCAAAGGGCAGTAATTGTGTGTGCACCTCTGAGTAGTCAGAGACTACCTATACTATGAGTGTTTGCACAACAGTAGACAGTCTAAGGGCAAATATTTTGACCGGAAACCTTTAATCGTCTGTTAACTCAGCACCGATTTGGTACATTATTTTGATTCGGTTTTCCGAAAATCACTGTTAGGCCACCACCTAAAACATCTATATCACAAAGTGTAGGTAATATTCAAGTTCTACCATGACTTACTTTTCTTCTTGAAGTTTACAGGCCATAATGAGATGCGTATGCGAATAATCTCACCCCTTAAAAATCTGGCTGATCGGTAACGGCATAACTGCAGAACAGTTCAAGATAAACAAAAAAAGAATGCGTGTGGCATGGGTTCGTGGTCTTTTGGACTTACGCCCCCATTTATTTGAGTAGTTAGACACAGTGGGAGCTGACTGGATTCAGCGAAAAATTACGTGATTCCGTTTATTACAACTAATTGGATCGAACTACTGGAGGACAGAATCCTCATGAATCAGTGAAGCCAATTTCGGTTCATATTATGACACTCCAATCAGCCTTCATATTACTTACCACAAAATAAGGAATGATAGCGCTTGCAAGTCTCGATTTTGTAGAGTTATTTGGAGTAAGTCAGAACTGCCTCAAATAATAGCGAACAGAATATTTGTGTCACAGTTTAAAAACCCATATATGTCCGAGACAGTAATCAATTATGTTTTTAAGGGCTTATGGAAGAACTCCAAAATCTAAGTGCCCAAGTCAGAATTAAAATGCAAGAGAACTGTGGTACATGTTGCTTAAAGTAGTGTATTATGTGCATAAGGTAATAAAACATTGTGTTCACAGGTTGATACACAAGTTATCAATCACTCGTGATTTTCACTTTCCGTCTAGGCTCACAAACAGTCAGTGATATTATAGCGAGTTATTTATTCCAAACATTTTGCCACAGAACGTATACTAAATTACCGGCCACTACTCTTCTTCATTTGATTTGTGAATCGAATGTGCAAGGCATTTCGGTGGGATCTTTTTCTCAGCTAGTAGTTACAGATTTACACGTTGGCCGTCTGGCCCATCAAGTTTATCGTGTGAACACTATCTAAATACAAAAACTCAATTAATGTAAAACAACTCAGTTGTTATAGCTGCGCGTATGTGCCATCGTTATAACCAATTTTTTGTCACGTATCAGAAACTTACACCAATTAAATAAAATTTCACATGCTAAATTTACCTTATATCCAACTGCTTGACAGGCATGGAACAAAACTCGATTTCAACAGATGAGAACTTAGTGAAGGTTTTCAAGAAATAAAACACGATAATCCTATATGCGTCTCCTACGACTATATAGCCTTCAGATTAGTAAAAGCCAGATGGCATCAATGCATATGACAAGTAGAATAAGAGTTATTGCTATATGTTTCTAAAATGCAACAGGATCGTAGGGTCAAAACATACCATACCGATAAAATTGAGCTATTTATCCAAAAGTCAGGAAGCAGTGTTTCGTTGCGAAACAACAATTAGTAGTAAAATAGCAGAGGGCGAATAGCTTCAATGTGAATAATAAACCTCTATACGTTGAGTAGTCCCATACTAGATTCACACGCAGATATATAAATTTAGGTTAGAAGACTGACGACCTGTATTTGTCTCTTTCTAGTACGCTTGCGTGGGTGAAAAGTTCCCTCTTGAATGAGTCAATTGAAAGTGAGGGCACTAGGAGGGAATACAAGGGATATATCAGGTACAAGATCATGTATTATTATTGCATGCATCACATCTACAACTGCTAGCCAACATAGACTGACCACTTCTCGATATGTCGATATCCTATCAAATATGTTTTCGAACCTCTTCTCTTCCGACTTCCGATTTGACTGGGTTGTCATATTTCGATTATAGAAGGTGTTACTGGTTAAAACGTTGTCAAACTTCGAATACCTGCGGCATCTTTATAGTTATGCTGAGTCTCGGAATTTGGCGGGTAGCATTTTAGCATTATATCTGATATCCGTCTATCACGAAAGCCCTTAGTTTAATTTCTAACTCCGAATTCCAGATCCTGATTACCCACACTAATTTTTAAACCCTTTCTGACCATTGTAGGTTAGGTTTCTCAATGTCACCGGCGTTTATCGTGTGGCACACGTACTTTGTGGCCCCATCGCGTCACTAAAATTGCGTCTTCGCTGCATGATAGACATTTTTATAACCTTAAGCACTCAAGAACCTGATTCCATTGCGTTTTACTTGGTTTATAACATCTAAAGAAGTATTCTTAACTTCAGTTTTAATGTCTTGCAAAATCCATAGGGCGCAATCGAGGAAAGGATTCTAAGCATCTAAATCACCCGAGGCTTCTCCGAGTAACACTTAAGAATGCTACCGACGTAGAGGACGTCTTGCTAGCAAGTCACTTACTGAAATCAGATGGTAACGTAAGAATATTGCCCGACATACCGTACTCTGAGCGCAATATCATACGAAACGTCCCTAAAGAATCTCGCGAGAAGTTCTTCCGCGGAAGAAACATAATTGTCCAAGGTATACCGGAAAATGCAGACCCTACTCAATCAAATTCTGACATCAGGGAATGGAAATTCATCAAACAGTCTTCGAGGCTCAAACACATACTGACTCAGCATGTGACGAGACTAGCCAAGAAGGACGGTGATCTTAGACCCCGTCTAATGAAGATAACCTTCCCATCTTCCCACATGGCGGCTGCAGTTCTGGAAGCATTTCGTGCTAATAGACGTCGATTGCCACCTGGAATCCACATGCACCCGGATAGGCCATACGAAGTCAGGACCAAGAACAAAGGCAAGCTGGAGCTGACCATTCCACTTGTGGACTGTCTAAACGATAAAAAAACGTGTAAAGGACAGGGCCTACCACCTCGGCAAACCTCATATAGGTGGGCTACCTGTCCATTCACATAAGGTTCATACAGAAAATCAGGACGAAGCTCATGCGTTCCAAATTGAAAGCATAAACTGCTTATATACGAACGCCGCGAGTTTACCAAACAAACTGGATGAACTACGTGAACTTAGCGACGCTAACAAGGCCCATCTGATAGGAATATCTGAAACCTGGACATCTTCTCAGTTCTCGGATCAAGAGTTAGCATTGCCTGGGATGACTTTGTTCCGCAACGACAGAAAAATAGGAATTGGGGGCGGAGTAGCCATATACATAAGCTCTTGCTTGGAGGTGCACCAGGTTCACAACCTCGAGTTTAACAATCTTGAGGAATCCATATGGTGCTCTGTAAGGTTGTCTAGTACTTCCAGGTGTCTAGTCGGAGTCATTTACAGGAAGCCAACTGCCGACACCGAGTACGATAGTCGTATGCTGGAAGGACTATCCCGCTCTATCCGTCTCGGTTTCACACACATCCTGATTCTAGGGGACTTTAATCTCCCTAGAGTCAACTTCGCGGAACACACGTACACTGGAGGCGACAACTCAACTGAAGCTCGGTTCTTCAACCTCATCGACAACTTGGGCTTATATGAAAATGTGAGGTCGGCAACTCGTTGGAGAAACAGTCAGACACCATCGCGCTTAGACTGTGTATTCACTAACGAAGAATTCCTAGTCGACAACCTCTCAATCCTGGCTCCTCTGGGAAAAAGCGATCATGCTGTCATAGCCTTCAGTTTTGTCATCAAAACTAAGCTAAGGTATCCCAACAATAATTTGCGATGGAATTTTAAACGGCTGAATGTGCGAGCTCTACATGACCATCTACAACAGGTGGCTTGGGATGTTCACCCTCAAATCGATGTGGATGGTCATTGGGACTTCTTGCTGCACACGCTCTTACGTGCTACAGACCATTCAGTTCCTCAAACGGTTCCCAAAAGCTTTAAGCCACCTACAGTAATCAAGAACCGTACCCTTCGCCTCCTAAGCCGCAAACGGCACTGTTGGGCGGAATACAAACGAACTAATAACGATGGAGCGTATAGGCAATACAAACATATCAGGAACACATGCACGAAGGCTATAAGAGAAGACAGGCTTCAGTACCAAACAAAGCTTATGGACAAATTCGCCTCTAACCCTAGAAGCCTATTCCGTTATGCAGCCTCTCTTCGTCAAGCCAAAACAGGAGTTTCTCAACTGCTAGGTCCTAACGGCCCGACCAACAACGATGGCGACGCCGCCAACCTTCTGGCGGCCCATTACTCTCAAACATTTCAACCGGCTGATATCAACTTTATCGACGACAGTTTCATCTGCAATTCCACAGGACTTTCTGAAGTGGACCTTAGCGCTGACTTGGTGTTCCGGAAACTGCAGCACTTAAGACTTGACACTTCTCCTGGCCCGGATATGGTTCATCCTGCCATACTGAGGGAGGCAGCCTCAATCCTGGCAACGCCGCTTAGCGTGATGTTTTCACACTCGCTTAGCCGAGGCAAATTACCGGAAAATTGGAAGTTGGCTCACATCACACCAATTTTCAAAGGTGGTCGACGCAATGAACCTTCAAGTTACCGGCCGGTAGCTCTTCTGTCGTTACCTTCAAAACTCATGGAGTCCCTGATATGCGACGGTTTAAATGACTACCTACTGTCCTTAAATTTCTTCTCACCCCAACAGCATGGTTTCAGGAAGGGTTACTCTTGTATAACCAACCTGCTGACTGCGGTGGACAGATGGACAAGCATCCTCGATCGCAAGGGAAAGGTTGATGTCATTTACCTTGATTTCTCAAAAGCTTTTGATAAGGTTAACCACTTGTGTCTTATCAACAAGCTCAAACGACTAGGTATCAAACCACCTCTAATCGACTGGCTTACTTCATACCTAAAAAATCGACACTTTAAGGTTAGGGTTAATTTCACTTTATCTCAAGCTATGGAATGTCCTAGTGGGGTCCCCCAGGGCTCAGTACTAGGGCCTCTTCTCTTCTTGATCTACATAAATGATCTTCCTCAACAGGTAACGTCAGACTTATTACTTTTTGCCGACGACGTGAAACTTTGGAGAGAGATACGCAACCAAGACGATATACAGGCACTTCAGGAGGATCTGACTCGACTTCATAGTTGGGCAGACGATAACGGACTTACCTTTAACACTTCTAAGTGTAAAGTAGTCCATCTGCGACATGTCGCAAACTACAGTTACAACTTAGGAAACTCCTCTCTAGTAGTATCCCAAGTCGAAAAAGATTTAGGAGTCCTGGTGCCCCATGACTTAAAGTCTTACGCTAACTGTGACAAAAATGCCTTCCGAGCAAACCTTGCACTGGTAACGTTGAGGCGCATTTTTGGTCAGTTTGACGGAAGAACTTTCCACACAATCTTCAATAGTTTCATCCGTCCCCATTTAGAGTACGGAAACATAATACTCCCCCCCCTCACTCCAAAAGGATAAGGTCACTTTGGAGCGTATCCAACGGCGAGCCACGAAATCAGTTCGAGGACTCAAATCTAAGCCTTACGAAGAACGCCTCCGTTCACTAGACCTTTACCCACTAGAATATAGGCGTCTTAGAGGTGATTTATTAATGGCTTATAGTATTCTTAACACTTCTGGACATCCTCTTAAACACCTACTTAAGCTTAGTTCGAACAATAACCTAAGGAGTAACACGCAGAAACTGGAAACACAACATAGCAAGACGGAATGTAGACACAACTTCTACTCCTTAAGAGTTGTCAAAAGCTGGAACTCGCTGCCGGCCGAGCTAGTCCAAGCGACTTCTCAGGAGTCCTTCAAGAGGCAACTTGACCTATTCTTAAGGACCAAGGACAGCATCGCACTATGATTTACCAATTTCTTTTCCTCTTTTATTGTTAACATACCTAGGTTCCTGCCTGGAGGATTTGGTGATCCCCTGCTACTAGACACGGAAGCCTGTTAAGCGAAAGCTTCTTCTATTCCGTCCACAACCATTTGAACCATTTGAACCATTTGAAGGCCGTCAGGTAGTTTTTTTACCACTGCAACCCCGAAAGACTGAGTTGGCAACAATTTGATCACGAGGAGGTGAACGATTGCGTATACCTACATGCACTCTAGATGCTTATAAAAATGAACAAATAGAAACCCAGACAGATCTGGCGCGATTTTCGACTGGCCACTGTCCTTAGATTATCAGGTCTTATGGGTATTTCCTATGGTGAGGGACAGACAACTTTCTTGGGAACCTTCGTTGCATAGAACAATAAGGACTAGCAATTTCGTATTCAGGGTCTAAATACCGATCGTTTAAATGCACCAAGAGTGTCGTTTGCGTGACTTCAAAGGATTCAGACCTACTGGAGGTGAGACATTTGTATGTTCCACTCATTATTGCTGTTTTGGTAAATTTTATTCTGCTTGAGTCCAGATATGTGTTCCATTACCAAAGTGGTTCCTGACACAGTGATGTTTGTTTGGCAATGTTGGTGCTGTTCGAGCGACTCGTCTGTGAACTAGTTAGAGTGCTTAAACCGAGAGTGGCCTTTACTTACGTCTTATTTTAAATATTATCTGGGAATATAAAGTGATATGCGAACTTTTTAACTATCATTTTCTATACCAAATGAAAGTTTGAGCTTGCTAATTTAATATCCTTTTGGGACTGCCTACTAATGAAGAAAGAAAACATCCTATGCTTTATTAAATCAAACAGATAATAGTAAAATCTCACCGATTGATTTCGTCTGTTGATATTTATCTTGTCCTCTGGGATCACTTTAGTCCCTTAAGTAGCGGAGTTCAATTGCTATCGACTAGACTAGTCAACTTGTAATAAAGCGTCCAATTAAAAACATATTCTGTACATCAAAGTCATACTGAAGCTTCAAATGCATAAAGATATCCATTACTGCGTTAATTATGTCAGTAATTAGCAATCAGCAATCGTCCGTAGCTATCTTGCATTTCGATCCCACCTATGTATGCAAATACCTTGCTGTCCGTCTAGAAATCCTTGATTATTCACTGTTATTCAACATAGCTACTTATGTCAATGGGGAATCTGATGTGTTGTAGTCGGTTCTACAAATTAACGAGGAATAAAAATTATTTTGAATATGATGTGCCAAAATGGTAGGACTAAGTTAGAAAGCATGTCTGATTGTGTTTCAAAGCCGTACATTTGGTCCGATTCATTAAAGCTCAACTCTGCAAGGCGCACTGAAGTTTTCATAGTTTGATTATAAAGGGTTTCCTATCAAGTTTATTATAATGTTAGTTGTGGTAAATAGTCATCTTGGGATACTCCTTGTTTGGATAGTTTGTAATCAGCTACTCAGTTGTTTTATGGACAATGATCAAAACACGTTGAGCATGCTTGTTCGCTTCTAGTATTACCTAATACCCCTCACCCCAAAAAGTCACTTGCCTATTTTGAACTATATTTTGTTTTAATTTCTTTTCACCGTTCGTATTTTTTGATAATCCTTCGCTTTTCTGGTTGTCAGTTTCCTGTTTCTCAGCTGATGCGAAGGGTGGCGATTGAGACTGATGGACATTTGTCCCAGATCGTACGTTGTTTTTCTAACTTCTTGGCTTCTCAAGATGGATCTAAACAAAACTAAAATTCTACTTATATATCTTCCATAGAAATAACTTAGTATTTTGTAGAGTAGTGTTGCTAGCGTCAGAAAAGTCAACAATGTAATCTAAGAATACCTATTTCCATGCTGGGATGTGCTCACAAACCAGGCGGTCTGAATACTTCTCATTTAGTTTTCACTATTGATGAAAGGGTTTTCTATGAGGTTTTATAAGTGTTATAGTAACTAAAAGATGGGCAAGTAGTTTAAACGTAAAAATGTCATGACATGTGTTCTCACAGATTAAAGGGCGGATTATATCAAATTGTCTTGAACTAACATCCGTTATCACGAATAAAGCTCACCAAATACATAGTTTGCTTACTGTGTAACAGCAGTGCTCTGGTTAGACTTACTGTACTTGGCAAATGTAGCGGATTATTGACAAGATTGTAAATCATCGACTGAGATGTCTTGGGTATGGTAGGGATGCCCGACTACCTCCGTATTTCATAGTTTCTATCCTTTGAAGTCATCTCTTCGAACCATATTCTTCGATGTGCAGTCTTTCACTATCATTAACATTACTATTATTTCAGCTCAGCTGTTCATATTTGATAATTTCATTTTGTGATGTGATATGACAACATGGGGTACCATACGTTTGTCCCTAACTGTAGGTTGACTTGGTGAGTCGTTTGTTTATTTACTCAAATCATATCATAACGTATTCGCCTTTGGACCACACTCTAAGTGTGGGGCTGGTGACTATCTGGTTGGATAAACCGAATATTGAAGCTCAAATCTGTGACTTAATGGTTGTAAATTAAACGCCTTAGCTTCCAAGCCACCGCTTCAGTTAGTATTCAATACCTAACTGTTAATGGCGTGCTAGTTATATGTGGCTTAATATGTAACTTTGTGATTATTGATTTTTAATTGATGTTATATTTCGTATTAAAAGGCTAGTTTGTCAGCCTAGTGGGTCATCCTTAACGATCATTTCAATAAACTGTGCTTTTTAGATAAATGTAAATTCATTCGTGTAGAAAAACGTGAGTCTCTAAAACATAGTCCTTAATATAATGAAAGTTTATGACCAATTCCAGTTGATATTAATCCGCACTGTTCTCTCTAATATTCACTTTCGTTCCATAAATTTAAGTACGAAAAATGTTGTTTTAATGAAACACTGGGCTTGCCACTTTAAACAAGGCGTTGATACGTCTAAGCTTTGCATTACGGAATTTTAGTATTCAAAATTACTCAGTTTAACACTTTGCCAGGTAATATCTTTCCATGTATGTGACTTTTCCAGTGGCAGAATGTTATAACTTGTGGCCTATTTGTTCTGTTAATGTATAACGTAATGATACCGCCAATCAGAGAGCAGTGGATTATCGATCAGACCAACAACGCATAAAACACGTGCGAGCAGTCTAGAGTCCTTATTGGTCCTGACTGACCGACTAGCCCAACCAGTTAAGTTCAGAACACCACTCTCAGCCTCTGCGATATGAATCATTTATTTCAAACATACAGGGTTTATATACTAATCAAACAGACCACATCGTACCATAAAATAAGAAACAACATTTGTACTAGATTTAGCCAAATGTGGCTGTGAATAAGGGGGATAGTAATTGATAGACAGGACATAACTCAAGAATGGTAAGTCGTATAATAACAGTTCATAGGTCAAAATAAAGCTCATAATGAGAGGGACATGCATATGAATAATTTAGTTATTTAACAATTAAACGATAAAAATGTACGCATAATATTGGTCCATAAATGGATCCCAAGAGTTACTATTCATTATTCTTATCGGGACATAATACGGAAATCTAGTTCGATATTTTTAAAGGTATTTTAGTTCATCCATATCGACGATAAGACTGGTAGTCTCTCAAACATATTTTCTACCATGTGTTTGCTATTATTATTCAAGTAGATATTAATGTCAGCCAAGTAAAAACCTGTGTACTGTATTTAAAACCACATATTTTTTATCTCAGGATTAGTCATGATATTGAACTACCTAAAATAAGAGTACTAGCACCCAAACATGTGACTCACTAATTGAAATTTGAGTGTTTTGACTACTAAAACACCTTCACATTTAGATCCACATTCTTCGTTATGAAGATACGTAGATAGTTAACTTTTAGAAATATTGTTTAGAAACAACGCAGACGATCGGAAAAATAAAAAAGAACATTTTATATAGAAATAAAAGAACAAGTATATGGATTGATATAAAAGGTACGAGTGAGGTTAGACGCAGGGTATTAGGGAATGATGGTAAATCAGTTGATGGGGTTATGAATCTTCATCGACTGAGACGGTTGGGCCACGTATTACGTATGCCTGAACACCGATTACCACGACGTGCAATGCTAACCAGGGTAGGGGATGGTTGGAAGAAAGTTAGGGGCGGCCAAACCAAAACGTGGCATCAGTGCCTGAAGTCACTAACTTCTAGTCTGAGCCATGTTGGTAGATGCAGACTACTTGGTTGGGGTCCGCGTGACTTTCGTAACCAATGGTTGGAGACTCTTGGTGACATGGCTCAGAATCGATCACAATGGCGTCGGTGTATACACTCCCTGTCTTCTTTTAAACTAAGAGACTAAAATCACTTCATTCTTTCTGTCTACGAACTAATTCTTTCTTCCTATACTATATCCTTATTGCAACCTTTGACCTAACCACTCCTATGAATCCGCTGTTCATCTTGCTGTGCTAATGAGGTATGGCAACCTGGACCGATGCACATATGTGCCTGGTCCTACGTTGTAGCTGACTGACTGACTGACTACGAGCTCACATAAATTTAACTAGGGTTTGGAAGCGTGGAGTTTGAGAACGAGTTTATTTCTTTCATTACTGATTAGTACTCCCAAAATGCAATGAACTAACTTCAATCTATTACATTAAATGTTCCACTGAACCAAACTCCTTAAAATCAATAATAAACCATTTTGTTTTTTATTTCAGCTTCACTTCGATATAGCGTGACGTTCTTGCAAATTGATTTGAAGAAAGGTATATCCATCTTTAAAAAAATTCCTTTGATAAATTTGGATAGTGTAACAAGATGACGAATATTATTAGAACTATGTGATATACTAGCAGTGTGATCATCTTATTCGAAATGTAGTTCTGATAGTGTTCTTATCCATTTTTATTATTAGTGATTTGAACGACCGTTCCATTTGTGAGCTATGCTAATATTTCACAACTCCGACTTCAATATAGTGAACAAGACTTCTATCCTCTTCCCCCCCACTAGCTAAAGCAAGAAGTATAGTTTAGTAGTGAGGGTTCTGTTAATGATGAACACAGTATATTTGAAATACACTTAAGTTGACCGATTATATATCAGTTACAATGATTAGAATTCATGAACTGAGTATTTGTCACTAAACACAAATCATATTAAGAATGTATTGGAAGTCGATAAGCGGAGTCCGCACTGAATTTAATATGACAAATTCATCTTAACCGATAATGATTTCTTTTCTCATAAGTTATATGTTAAGATTGCCTGAAAATTGTTTTTCTTTGTCATAGGTACATTTGTTGGCCATTTATCTATTCTGCGAATATACTAAGAATCTTATTCACAATCATATAACATTCGTTTTTATTTCTTTTATACTACGTCACTTATCTACCCTCCTTTATTCCCACTTTGTGTATCCTTATTTTCAACTTATACAGCAGCTCGCCTATGGTGGAAACCCTATTCTATCTAAATGATCTCGACAAGCCTGTTAGTCGGAGCGTGCCAATGAGTTGAAAGCAGCAGTTGCATCTAGTAACTTCCGGAAGTTCTTCTAACTCATCCGAGTCAGTGGCAGCAAGAAGTCTGGTGTGAGCGGAACAATCTATGAATATGACGGGATGCCGATCACTAACATCTATCGACGTCTATGACTATGGGCAGAGTTTTTTGAGGAGCAGTTCAATTGTTCAGCTGCCCCGGCAACATCGATCAGGTCGTCCTACCCTCCACAGCCTGTGACGACCGATCCATCTAACAAGGCGGAAGTCTGCAAGGAACTCCAACTCTTGAAGCGCTACAAATCACCAGGCTCAAATGACCTACCTCCTATCCGTTTTGAAGTTAGTGGCGACCTTCTGGTTAAGGATTTAACTGAGTTGTTTGCAAATGTCTGGCAATTAGAGAGTGTTCCAACATTGTGGAATCAGTCGATAGTTGTCCCTATCTTCAAAAAGGGTTCACGTCGTTTCTGTAACAACTATCGGGGGATAAATCTACTTCCGATTGCGTCCAAACTGTTGGCTTCTGCCATACTTTGTAGGTTGTTCAAAAACCCGAGAAAGATTGACTCGCAAGGAGCAGGCTGGGTTTTGTTCTGGTCGAGGATGTATTGATCATATCTTCACCCTCCTCCAAATGTTAGAACACAGTCATACTTATCACAGGCCAACAATCGTAGTGTTTCTCGACATCAGGGCTGACTCCGATTCGTTGGACAAGACTGTTCTCTGGGATTGTCTATTGAAGAAGGGTGTGCCTGAGATGTTCATTAACATCTTAAAGGCCCTGTATACAAACACCTCAGGCAGAGTGAGGGCATACAACCACCTTTCTGCATTGCCCAATCTCACCATTCCTCTTCAACTTTGCCGTCGATGACATTCTGGAAACAGCTCTGGTGGATGTAAGTAATGGTGGTGTGGATCTGTTGCCTGGAGAAAGACTTTTCGACCTTGAGTATGCGGATGATATTGTCTTACTGTGCGATAATGTCCAAGCTATGCAATTCGCACTTAATCAGTTGGCAATCAGTGTCCGTAGGTATGGTATGTGCTTTGAACCTTCGAAGTGCAAAGTACTTCTACAAGATTGGCAAGATTCTAATCCTGTACTCACCCTGGATAGTGAGCAGATAGAAGTAGTCGAGAAGTTTGTGTATTTGAGTAGCTGCATAAGTGCTGGTGGTGGCGTGAGTAATGAGATCAGTTCACGTATAGTCAAAGCCACGGTGACTTATGCCAATCTGGGCCATCTTTGGCTCCTTCGTGATGTTAGTTTGGCTGTAAAACGTCGGATCTACAACGCGTCGGTGAGAGTAGTTCTGCTCTATGCTTGTGAAATCTGGCCTCTCCTAATTGAGGATATTAGACGACTCTCTGTGTTTGGTCATTGTTGTCTTCGAATGATTGCTGACATTCAGTGGTAGTGTAGTGAACAAGAACACGGGTGGGGACAATCGACTGTATTTGGCACAAAAATTACAGACTATCTCAATATAATGTGAATACCATAAAGTCAATCGTCAATTTGCAAAATATCATTCCATCATATCAAACTGTACTGTTCCCGTTGCAAACACTAATCCATTGTCTCCCATTCCATTGTACATGCGTTTTCTTACAATTGCATTGTGTTCTTGCTCTTCCTTTCTTGATCTTCGCCATCTTCTGCTGCCGGACATTACGTTCTTTTAACGCACGTTATATACTACTTATATCAATATAAGTAGGTCACACCACAGTAGCACCATGTTAGTAATGCAGAGGTTTGGCATCGTATGTTTGAGAACAACGACGATCATTCAGTTGATGCCACTATCTTGAAGCATCGACTTCGGTGGCTTGGACATGTCCTGCTAATGTCGTCCCAGAGAATTCCACGTCGTGTATTATTTGCCGACTCTGGGACTGGTTCCAAAAGTCGGAGAGGTGGTCAGTGTATGAAATGATGTCGTAGTATGAAAGGGAGCTATACAGGACTGGCTTCTGTTGGTTCTTCACGACTCCGTGATTGGGGTCCTAGAGACAGTGCAACACTGGCTTGAGACGTTATCAGACATGGCTCAGAATAGAAGCAATTAGCGATCCTACTGTAATTTTATTTTGCTTTCTTCATAAAAAAAGTAATTTCTTCAGATGGAAGAATTCTTTCTGGTTGTATTTTTCCTAACTGAACTGTTTCTCCTATTATTATTAGTATTGTTGATAATAATAATAATAATAATAATAATAATAATAATAATAATAATAATAATAATAATAATAATAATAGTAATTTCACTGTCATACACTTTCTGTTCATCGTTGTTCTCTTTATTATACGCACTTTGCCTCTTTCTCTTCACAACCTCATTTTTATTATGTGGTGCATACGTATTTGGTGCCCCCTTGCACCAATATTTGTGTTTTCACATAAATGAATAAATAGCTAAGAATTCGTGGAAATTGGTCCAAACACTTGTGACAAAGTTGTTCAAATAGTCTGTCTGCAGTACTTAGTTAAACTAGTCTAAATACCAAACCAAAGTTGTTGCCTCGGACCTATTTATCACATTTTCTGATTCCTTTTGCTTGTCGTCATACTTTGTGTTTCCATTTTATTTTATTTTTTTCTGTTTGCAGACACATTTTGTGTTTTAAATAATTTATTAAAAGGGATTTACAACGATTTTACTAACGCTTATCAACGCTTTGAAGAACCAGATGTTTCATTTCAAGTGTCTGCGCAGCGCAGAATTGTTGCACGACTTAATGTGTTAGTTCTTATATCACAACGTGTATTCGAGGCTGTACGTGGACTACCTCACCTAAGAACTCCTCTTCTCCGATCAGTATACCATATGTAAGTCACAACTAATTTAGCTATAATTTCTTAAATTTTGTTCACTATATAAAATTTTTATCATTGATTACTTGGTTTGGTTACTTGGTCAGTCACAAATTTGTATCTGTTCAAGTTGTCGCATCTCATACAGCAAAGTGAGAAGAGAAATTAACAGGTTAAGAAACAGTGTACGAGAAATAATATCGATGATATTGAATAACTGAGAATAAAAAATAAAACCAGGTTTTTAGTTCTGCGGTCACACTCTCAGATCTATAGGACCACTACTGATTCAGCTTCTTTATCACGTCCCTTAAGGAGAAATATCCTTCTATGGTGTAGGCAACTGGTAAGTGACAGCTGTCTTCATACTCCTATCAGCACGCGATATCACGGTATTGGCGATTAGATCCCTCCATGACCTACTAATAATTCTGCCATACCCACGACTAACCCTGCTGGTATATCTTTATCACCACACCCCACCAATGTTAATAATCTGAGTTCACGAAATGTTATTCCTTTTCTCCTGAAACCACACTCTAAACTACATGTTGGAGCTTCTAATGTTCGAACCTTGTGTCAGATAGAACACCAGGTTTCTTTAACTAGGACTCTAGAATCTCTCGTCATCGATGTATGCTGTGTCTCCGAAACCCACATACAGGATCCAAGTACAGTTATTGTTTTGGCTTCACCTTATTGATATAAAGAACTGGGACGATTTACTCTTCGCGTATCTGCACAACCCATTGTAATTCTTTGGGCCTCGCTGGTGTAGGTCTTAAAATTCCGGCTGTTAGCTAGACTCTTGGAAAAAGACAGGTCCGTTGTTCACTCTCAATCCAGGAGATTGGACCGATGGGCAGAACATTTTGGGGAACAGTTCAACTGACCTTCAGTCACACTTCGATTACGCACTGTCTCCAAGCAGTCTAAATGGTGAATTGATGTAGGTCCTCCAACCTTTAGTGAGGTTGAAAATGCTATAGGCAATCTAAAGAGAGGGAGACCAGGAAGGCCTGGTAGATATACTCCTGGAACTTTTAAGTATATTGGTTCTAGAAAATAGATATATTTTTCGACGTCCGACAATAACTATATTCCTCGACCTTAAGGTAACATTTGACTGTTGATTGTGAGGCTCTTTACTACTGTCTGTCATTGAGAGTTGATCAAACAATTACGCCAACCTTGTGCAGGCTCTCTACTCTAACACTACTGGTCGAGTCGAAATCTATGGGGAACTCTTATCGGAGTCGATAACTTCAAGTGTTCATCAGGGTTGTCTGCTTTCCCCACTTTTATTTAACTTTGTCACATACATCCCTTTAGAGTTAACGCACTCATTGTCAGACTTCCCAAAGGTCGATCTTTTACTAAAAGATTCACTTGTTGACTTAAAGTACACAGGCGATATAGTTCTACTTGGTGCAGACGCTGACAAAATGCAGCCTTTTGACCACTAAACAACAATGCAAGCATGTTTGAGATGAGATTCTCACCTCCAAAATGCAGAATGTTGCTTTAGGATTGACCTGCATCGGCGCTTGAACTTATGATAGAAAGTGAAGTGGTTGAGTACATCGACCGCTTCAATTATCTTGGAAGTTTTATTGTTCCTGATGGTCTGGTGTCTGACGAAATCTTGGTACGAATTCAGGGAGCTCGATTGGTCTTAGCCAACTTGCGCCACTAGTGGAGTAGGCAAGGTATTCGTTTGCCAACCAAAGAACCAGTTTATAGTGCAGTAGTTTGCTTCGTTCTACTTTATGGGTGTGAAACATGGCCATTAAAAATAGATCTTCGTAGGCTACGGGTATTCGACCATAGGTGTCTGCGAAGTATTGTCCGTGTATTTCGGGACCACCGAGTAGACGATTCCTGACTTGGGAATATGGTACTAGGTGAGGATGGCAAATCAATTAAAGAGGTAGTAAATCTTCATCAACTGACGTGGTTGGGACATGTATTATGTATAGCCAATCATCGCAATATTTTCTGGTGTTGAAGTAGGTGAGAAGAAAGTTGGGGGCGGCCAAATCAAAAGGTGGCATCAGTTCATGTAGTCATTGACAGTAGTTTATATACTACCTGGTTGGGGTCTGGGTGATTATCGTAACTAATGGTTAGAGACTTTGAATGACATGGCTTAAAATCGTTCGCATGATTGATAAAAATGAAAGTTATGACTGAATTGTTTGGGCGACCAAGCAACCTAAATAATTATCACAATAGATGTAACTAGTAGTTTAGTACAATAATCTATGCACGGATACTTAGTGTGATTGATTTCAGTACTTTTAATTACATTTTTATTCTATGTTTAAGCTATAATGTCCCTAGTTATTTAACATTTTTAAATCATCTCTAAGTTATTTTCTTGTGGTTCTTATAACTGAATGATAAACTGATGTTTAAGTGGTCATCGATGCATTAATATTAAAGTCCAATCACCGAATATATTGACCATCTTTTTTATTATTTTTCTTATAATTTGACTAAAGTTTACTTAACGACGTTTTTCTCGTTTCCATATTTGTGAAATGATAAAATAGCATTGTATTAGCGTTGTTAGTAGGTTATTGATATTTTTGTTTCACATCAAAAGCTAAGTTTGGAGCTAACAGAAACTATACGACCAATTAACTATAAGTTTATGTACATATTTATCATTTTAATAATTAATCACCCGGTGTCTGTCTGTTGGATGAAGTTTGATTATCATCTATTTAATTTTTCGTCAAATATTTCTCAAGTTTTTGACATTATATCAAGTATTTTCGTCTCGGTATCTTGATTATTGTAAGGAAATATCAGGAATACCGATGTCTCGTTTATTACTCGATAACTGTATGGAGATGATTTTTTAGTTAGTAATGATTATAGAAATGAAACAAGAATAGTCCTAATAATAATAACAATAATAATAATAATAATAATAATAAATAAATACTAATACTAATACTAATACTAATACTAATACTAATACTAATACTAATACTACTAATAATAATAATAAAATAACCATGCACTTTGCTGACTGCATTTCTTCATTGAATCCTTAATGTTTCCAAATCATTTTTTAGTTGTCACAAGGAAAAGTGGAAACTCAAGGTTATTTGAACTAATATCGAATTTCCTTTCATCGTAGACTAATGTTAAACATCAAAAGGATTGAACGACTGCTTCAGTCTAGTTCAAGACTCATCACCATTATATATGTGCTAACTCTGGATTGATAGTAATATATACATCCTGCTGCTAATATGATTGGTTCCATTTAACCTCTACTTAGTCAAAATTCATTGATTTATTTGACTTCATCTCAATCCATTTCCAATATTAGTATAATCTCATTGAAGAACACTGATTAGTAGCTATCTAACTTTCTCGGTGGGAATCCTTTACTTTTGATTTTTTACTCATTTGATTGTCGCCGTTGGTAAACGTTATTTGTAATTAATTTCGTATTTTCTATTATTAAGTGCTTAAATGTATTTCAAAGAAGATTTAAAGTTTCATATATATTATTCGGTTTTCCAAACTAATCATATACGTAAAGTTTAAACATTTTAACCTTTTCTTATATAATACTAACTTTCTATTCAGTTTACGTTTACCACTTTGGCACCACAACCCTTCACTGCGATGTGCAGCTTTACGTTGCCTTCGTTATTATGTACATAACAGCGTTGATGTTGAGCTACTCTTGGAATGTCGTCTAGATCTATTGATTGCTCGGTGAGTTTTAAATATTTCAAAATAAGATTCAAGTCTCTGGTATTTATAAACGATTGCGCGCTGTTCTGTTTGCACTTGATTTCATTTTTTGACATGACTAAGTACCTAAAAGGTTTTATTCATAAGTATAAGAATTTGGTTTATCTGGTTCACAAAAAAGACAATAAAAATAGATTTGCAGACAGCGGCAATACAATTAAGAACAACAATCAATATCAGTTTCAACAGAACAATTTGTTTGTCGATTATCAAGAAATTCTTAAAGCTCACTTCATTCCTTATTAGGAGCTGGTAATGTTCAGAAGGACAAAGAAAACGTGATTAAATGGTCCAACTCAGAGAACACAGTACCTCCCAAATCCTCCTCTTGAGCTATGAGTCTCTTCATAATTTAATTTGTCGTTTAAAAACTTTGATTTTTTTCCACGAGATTCCAAAACTATACTTGGACTAATTGTTGCTTTGAATCGCATACATTTAAATTTTTCAGTAAACTAATACTGTCTATGAGGTGTAATCTTAATCTTGAAGCTTTGCAAAAATAAATGTGTCTATTGTTGATCAACATGTTTCTATATGCACATATTAAATATCAGATAAAATGTCAATTGTGTATGTTTTTTGTAAAACTTTACTGTAGATGTATGGACTTATCTTATTATCCCACAAAGTTTATTTTATCAAATGGGTTGTCTGGAAATTCTTCGGCTACCTCAAGGGCAAATAATAATCCGCGTACTAAATTCCTTATCACATCGAATCCAATCAGTTCTACGTGTTATTCTTCATCTTACCAGTTGAGTGAAGAATCATCAAATCATCAGCTAATTAGTGATCATTATCAGTCCTCTGGAGTCTTATTAAAAGGGACAAATGCTACCCGTACGTTACATTGTTTTATGTTAGTTTTGATTATTTCGTATTGTATATGGTGCTATTTGGCTATTTCATGTGATAGTATACTTAACGATTGGGTGTTAAGCAATGGTCTATGCGAAATGATGTTTCAATAGGTTTTAAAACGAGCAGGGAAAATGATAATAAGTCTGATAGTAGTAATCAAAATCAGCCCTTCGAGCCAGAATAGGTTTCATTTGTCAAAAGAGTATCTTGCTGTCTATGTAGAATATAAGAAAATGACATAGTCTTTACTAAGTTCGGGTTTGCTTCGTATCCAAGCCATTTGATTACGTAGTCTGTAAAATCATACCCATAGGCATTTTATATCCGGATTGATGTGATAATAAAAAGTTGGGGGGTTTGATATATACATTGTCCTGTTTTCAACACTACCAATAATTCTTAGATGCCTATCTAGACACAAACTTCTCAATATGGTGAGTAGTTCACTACCGAGATCGATGGATGCAAAAACTTCTTTTAATTTTATATAGGTAACTAATGCCTTGTTGAAACACTATGGATACTGATCACCGATCGATTAGGTGAAGTTTGAGTTGTCTGCATATAATTGCACAATGAGATACTGTCGGCTTACTCAAATATGAAGAACCTTCAACTTACAAGTCTTCACTGTCACTATAAACATAAAGTGTTTTTGAAGTGATTAGATCAGACAACCTAGTTTAGCAATACTATCTGTAGGGAGCAAAGCTGTTAAACAGTTATGTACTCTAATATTGTTTAAGTTACATTTGTATAGAACTTTCAATGTGTCGATAAATATTTCAGTATAACAAGCAGTCCCAGACCACAGTCATTTTCAGCTAATAAAAGTCAAACCTAATTACTAACTAAATAAACCAGTTGTTAGCTTGCCATATGTTTGTTAGTGGAGAGAGGTTATGTGAATAGGGAATCCATAACCTGATTGAGACCTCATGAGTTATTTTTTTTATGCGTTTCACACAATCCGAGCACAAACTAAATTTAATGTAGTTCACTTACAAAGTACAGATTCGTGTGATCGACTTTGAGCTTGGTTTTCGATACAATAGCTAAGGATACTACTCTCCTAGAAAGCACTTAAAAATGAAACATTAGAAATAGGAGACAAGGTCAACTAATATTTGGTTGGTTGTTGAATTTTGATGGGAGTTTTATGGGTGAATGTGATCTCACTCTCAGATGTGATTATAAAGACAACATTTTGACATCTCTGCTAATTGATTTGCTTTATTTTGAATAATCTAACATACGGCTCTTTAGGTATCTATCATAGCTTGATGAATATGATCTGTCTGTCTTAGTGCTTAGAGCACCTATCTTTCATGTTCAAACTATGCTCTACCTACTTCGGCTTTGGTTTGCTGGATTGTAGTATTAACCCCTCAAATGAACATCGTTAGTCAAATTCGATGATAAGAATCTATACACGGAAATGATTAATACCATAAAAAATTAATCTTTTCAAATTCTTTATCTAATCATGCAACAAGATGCTTAGTTGATATAATTTATAATTTCACGTCTTTGCAATGGACGCTGTAAAGCAGACATTAAACAATCTTTACTTGTTTGAGCTGGTATAATTCTAACGACCAGTGATATATATATATATATATATATATATATATATATATATATATAAACAAGACTAATGATGTGGAGATCTGAGAGTTAGTTGCATTGGGAAATGCCTAGTGATAAGAGATATATAAGCGATTGAAATGGTAAAAATGATAATGATCATCATAATTTAGTATAAGATAAAAGCTACAAAATATGTCAAAACAGAACACGATAGAAGAAAAACGAGAATTAAAATCAACAATATTTAAAGAATCATAGTACAATAGTTCTTTTGGGTATCGTTGTAATTGTACTAGTAAAAATCAAATTGTGTCGCTAGTTTAAGTGATGAATGCACATACAGTGTTTTGCATTTTTTTTCTTGTAAAAGTTTTGCCTAAAGCTCTACGGACAGAATTCATGTCATAAAAACCAAGGCTAATAAATTTTATTTTATATGGAAAGTATTTATTGAAATTAAACGAGATTGATAATAATTTATTTATATAACAGTTATTTATTACTATTTTTTAGAAGTCAGCTCCTGTTTATAGCTTTTTGAATTCCTTTAGATAACTGTTCAGTTGGGTGGTAAATAAAGATAAATGAATCTTCTTTTTGCGCGTGGTGTTAGGAATATTTTCCCGAGGTCTTAACACAGTGGAAGTAATGTGATTGATGTACGTCTTCTAATAGTCGATCAAACTAGCTGGGCAATATAACGACCTAATGTCATTCATTAACTTAGAAAAGACACTGGTTTATACAAGTAGCATGTTGTCTTCTTGATACTACCAATCAACCACAATTTCGACAATCTCAGCACAGGTATGAAAGTTTGGTTGACCTTTGGGAACTTTCATCACTTGTAGAGAATATATCTGTCTACCAACTAAAGCGGTCGCATATTGCTCAGTAGTTTACTCTGTATTCTTTTATGGCCACAACTTTTTTGACTATATGTTTCTTCGAAGTATTGCCTGTGCTTCGTGAAACGATCAAGTAAGTAAATTTAAGATTAGACGGGGATTACTGGAGAAAGGTGGGGAATTGGTTGATGGTGTTGTAGGCTCTATGTCAATAATGACTGACTGGTAATTTTCGCGTCATTGTTTCTGAATTATCGGTTTTATTAATGGTTTGTACGCTACCAATCAGTTAATGGGTCGTTAAACATAAATTGATGGTAATAATTTCTTGTATATTAATTTTTTTTGGAATACTTTTTAAAAAATCATTATGATAGGTTTCTCTCGTCCTCGTTTTTCGGATACTGATCATCCTATAAAATCAACTATAACAACTCGAAATTCCTCACCACCTTTTCTGTCTTCTATTGGTGAGCGCCAAATTGTACTGCGTTTGATTTACTACCTCACTCAACTTACACCACGATTAATTCCTCCAAGTATAATTCATGCTGTTGCTGCTCCTTGTTTAGAAGTTCATCGTCATTTGATTGCTAATTCAAATGAATCTAGTAATAAAGGAGATGCTCATGCGGCATCAGGTGTGGGAGTCCCTGCAGTTGTATCACGTCATATACTTCAAAATCGTCCTTGTCGTATTGGAAATTTTGGAGAAGCAAAAGTTAAAATAAATGATTTTAATGATCTGGAGCTAGATACAACTATCCGGGGTTGTTTACTAATTCTTGCTGAATTAGGTGAGCATTTTGATTTAGCTGTTTATACCTTCTAAATAAATAAAAAACATTTGCTTATTTTCGTTTTACCATGTTTCGATTAATTTATTTCTTAATTTCATGAAAATTCTTTTATTTTACTAAGATTTTATTTTCATCAATCAGTATTCAGTAAATTTGCACTCTACTGTGAGTCTCAACTCTGAATAAATCAATCTAGAAATTAGTGAGTTATGTCTTCAATTTATTCACTAATAATGATTCAGCATCAATGAAAGAATAGTAACTTGTTCCATAAATAATTGCCTCTTTCAGTTACTAAGTCCAGATGTTTTTTAGCTTTTTCAACGCGTTTGATTTTTACTCGTCAAGCTTTTGTATTATCCCGTTTGTTGATTAATAGAATTGGACTCTGATTAGTTTTCGTTGCCATAATTATACCTCTAAAGGATTGCCCGTATACTTTCATTAGTTGTACCGGGACATATTTGTATTAAATAAAATTTCAAAAAGATATTGTCGTTTTGTCACACGTTTTAGTATGGTTGTATTGTAGTTGATGCTATAGTTTTTTGACAAACAAGAAATGCGTTAAATAATAAGTCTGGTAAATCTATTATATCATTTTTTACTTATGCAAATTAATATTCACACTAATTTCATCAGTAATCGCATACATACTGGCATAATAAGAAGTGGACAGAGATAATGGAAAAAGAGTCGTACTTAGAAAGCTGGTATCCTGTAAAATCACATGTGCCGAAGCAACGTGACTGTATTAAGATGAGGTCGTTTCAGTTCTCTCTCTCTCTCTCTCTCTCTCTCTCTCTCTCTATATATATATATATATATATATATATATATATATATATATATATATTAGTTCACTCTTAGCAAGTTTTTAAAGCACATAGCAAACGAATAAAAATAGACACAACTCATTTAACTACCAGATATGTACTTAATGCTTTACGAATTCCTCTTCTGTATAGTTTTATCTCTTGAGTTTGTCATACTATTTTGTCATAGAATGATATACTTTAGGTAAGTCCTCTGACGCTACGAAGTCGGAAAATCTTTAGGGAATCTGAAGTGTGGGAGAGCAGCAGGCCCTGACAGGTTTACCGCTGAGATTTTTAAGGATGGCGGTCCAGTTTTAGCAGCGAGATTAATTGAGGTCTTAGGTAGAATCTGGGAACTGGACGTAACCCCATCTGACTGGTCTCAATCACTGATTGTGCCAGTCCATAAGAAAGGACAAAAGTCCTCTTGTGACGGTCACAGAGGAATCAGTTTGACTAATATAGTGTTTAAAGTATTAGCTCCAATAATACTTCGACGCCTAACCAAAGCTCGTGAAGAACAGACTAGAGAAAATCAGTCTGGTTTTCGACCTGGACGTGGTTGTATAGACCAGATATTCACACTACGTCAGGTCCTAGAACATAGACATACATTCAGACGCTTCATAATCGTAGTATTTCTCGACCTTAAGGCGGCATTTGACTCTATTGATCGTGATGTTCTATGGCAGTGTCTGTCACTGAAAGGTGTATCAAAGAAGTACATTAACCTTATAAAGGCTCTACTCGAAAACAACTGGTCGAGTGAGAGCTTATGGTGAACTGTCATCAGAATTGATTACCTCAAGTGGTGTTCGTCAGGGCTGTCCACTCTCTCCATTCTTGTTTAACTTTCATCGTCACCCAAACTAGTGATAGGGAGTAAAGTAGTTGAGTGTGTCGACCGCTTCACTTATCTCGGAAGTCTCATCAGCCATTGTAGTCTGGTGTGTGACGAAATCTCAGCACGGATACAGAAGGCTCAACTAGCTTTTGCCAACTTGCGTCATTTATGGCGTAGGCGAGATATCCGTCTACTAACCAAAGGACGGGTTTACTTCGCAGCAGTTCGTTCCGTCCTACTTTATGGCAGTGAAACACGGCCGGTAAGTGTAGAGGATATCCGTAGGTTACTAGTATTTGATCAAAGGTGTCTTCGAAGCATTGCTCGTATGTCCTGGGACCACCGAGTAAGTAACGCAGTTGTTAGGAAACGGGTACTAGGTAAGGGTGGCAAATTAATTGATGAAGTATTGGAGCTTTATCAGTTGAGATGACTGGGACACGTGTTATGTATGCTCAACCACTGACTGCCCCGACGTGCGATGCTTTCTGTTGTAGAAGTGGGTTGGAAGAAAGCTAGGGGTGGCTAGACCAAAACATGGCACAAATCTATGAAGTCACTGACAAGTGGACTGAGCCATGTTGGTAGGTGTAGACTACCTGGTTGGGGTCCGCGAGATGATAGCGACCGATGGTTAGAGACCGTGAATGACATGGCTCAAAATCGTTTGCAATGGAGCAGGTGCATCCACTCTTTGTGTTCTCCGAAATTCTAATCTTCTGAATTCTTGGTGTCCATTTTTTGTCTTTCTAAGTTTATTTGACTGTATTATACTCCTTGAATAACACCTTCAAACTCTAATCTTTCGGATTACTGCTTATACTCTTAGTACCTCTACTACTATGAGATTTGAATCGACAATTGTATCTCTGTGCTAATGTTGTACGGCAACTCGAACTGATGTATGTATGCACGAAGTTCTACGTTGTTACTGACTGACTGATACTTTAGGAAGTCACTAAAGTAGATTGCACTTTTTGAAGCCACCTTGAGCATATACACTCAAGATATTCGTCATATGTTGTGTACTTTAACAATTAAGTTACTATTCTGGGCTGAATTTCGGGATTTTTTACTTTTTAAACGAACTGATTGTTGATTTCCAGTTTAGATCATGTGGTCACATCGTAACGATACCTCAGGCTTAATTGTTAACACAACTCACCAAACGTAAACTAAGGTCGTAATAAACTACAATCGATGAGCTAACAAGGCTTTTTCTTTTAAAAAAATTATACAGTTATGTATTGAATATTATTACAACAAATATTAGCAAGTGTCATCTGAGAAAAAGGTGGTTGTAAAACAGTGACTCTGATTTGTCGGTCGGTCACCCATCAGTGGAATAAGGACTTGACTATCAGGCCTAATTCTTGACTGTTTACTCAGCGTTGTAGTAGTTAGCAGCATTTTCTAGTCTTTGGTTCATGATAAGATATCACTTTTTAATGACGGGTTTAATTTCGAACCACAATAGTTCCATAGAGTGTTGCTATCATCTAACTGTGTAATCCGAAGTGATTAAGGTGAATCAGTGATCCGATATCAAGTGCTTCAACTATGCAATTCATCTCTTTAAATAATCTTTTTATTTGTATTGCCTTTAGTTTGAGTGATAGAGTGATGGCTCAGTAGTTAAAATGTTCAACTTCCATCTACCTAATCGTGGACTCGAACCCTAATGCATGTATTTCGGTTTGAACAATCGGGTAATATCACTAGCCCATCATACTTAGAGTGTAGCTCAACTCCAGATACCCCAATCTGCACCTGACAATTGAACGAATGAGTTAAATATTGTGTGACCTTGATGAATTAATTCTAGTTTCATAAACAACAGGAAAATATCCTTTTTTTCTTGAATATATTTTATTTGCAAATAATTAACAATCGTTGTCTTCTCTTTTTCTAGTTATTTTAGCCCTAGAACGTCTAGTTGTACGCACAAATCCTTCAATTGTTAATCATTCGAAAATTAAATTATCTTATTCCAATTATTACCATTACTATTACCACTACTATTATTGTCATCATCATGATGTCGATCATGCCAACAATCATCGACAGTTTTATTATTATAATAATAATAGTGGTAATAACAAGTTGAACGTTTCAATTGATAATGGAATCAAAGAAAAGTTACTGTTATTGTTTCCATTCATTGGACAAATTATAATTCAAGCTTTAATGACTACATTCGTGTTCAATAATAGTACAATGCATACATATCATTCATCACGTATTCACGAAGCTGTTATTCTGTCGTTGATTACAGTTCTTAATCGCTCAGAGTGTACACAACTTTTACCTAATAGTCTTATTTCGGTAAGATATATCTTGCATATTGTATTTTTAATTTATATACAATTGAGTTGAATACCAATATAAACTGGTAAGTTCTGCAAATCTCACTTGTAAGTGCGGCCCGTGACTAGCACTTTTTAGAGGCAAAGTACTTCTGCAAGGCTGGTAGGAGCTTGAGCCTTCAGTTGCTTTCTGTAATGAGTTTTTGGAAGTAGTCGGAAAGTTTGTGTATTTAGGCAGCTGTGTGTGTGCTGGTGGTGGCGTGGCAAGTGAGATCACGCTACGTATAATGTGAGGTAAAGCAGCTTACACCAATCTGGGTCATCTTTGGGCCCATTGTGATGTTAGTCTGGCTTTAAAAAGTTAACGTTTCAACATTTCGGTGAGAGCGATCCTGCTCTATACCTACAAAACACTGACCTCTGGGTTGAAGATATTCGGTGACTTTGTTTCCCATCATCGTTGTCATCGAAAGATAGCTGACGTCCGGAAGTTACGTCTTGTTACCAATACGGAGGTTTAATGATGCGTATTTGGGTGCAGTGAAGATAACTCACTTGGTGTCAACATCTCGAAACACCAGCTTCCGTGGCTTGAACATATATTACGAATATCACCCCCAGTGAATTCTAAATTGTTGATTACTTTCCGACTCTGGGACTGGTTGGAAAAGGGTGATAGGTGGTCAGTTCATGGCATGACGCAGTGGTAAGGGGGAAAACAGTATAGGACTGGGATCTGTCGGTCCTTCACGACTATCTAGTTGAGACGTCAACAGGCATGACTCAGAACGGAGGTTGATGGAGATCCTGCTGTAATGTCGTTTAGTAGTCTTCAAAATAAATAAATAAAAGGAACTTCTTTATTTGAAAGTATTCTTCCTAGTCATATTCATTCGCTTCTTTCTGATTCTATTCCTTATTACAAAGTAGTATTGACTGTGATGCCTGACTATTTTTATTTGCGGTATTTGTTTATAGATCAGTGCAATTGGGATGTTTTGACGCACAAACTGTGTACGTGTGCGTTGTACAAAAATTGTTAGATGTAACCTCAGTGTACTGATGACCTTGTGTGAGCCAATCATTTTTGAGATATCCCTTCCCCGATTCTTGTGCTAAATTTGAAGGCGCAGGGAAGTATAGCATTTATCTAATTAAGAACTAAGTTAGACTGGTTTATATCGAGTTCCATAGTGCATGTGACGTGATCTATAAGCTATACTTTATCTAACTGTGTGCTTGTTCAAGGGCATTTATGTGGATAGAAATTATTTTCCCAATCCAACCCTCCTAACCCTAACTCACAACACTCTCCTGACCTCTGATACCTAACTTGATCGTCTTTTCGTTTATTAAAATAAATAAATCAACACAGAAGAGTTCATTAATCACATTAAAACTATTTATCTACTGCAAGTTTAGTGTTGTTTATCAATATTTGTTTCATAAGCAAACATTATTTCTTGATTTGTTAATGTGTCGCTCAAGGTCGTTCCTATAATTCGGTTTTATCATGTAATCTGATGTTAGTTACTTAAATCTGATTAACCGAATTGTTCTTATGTAATCGTTATTTTATATTTTTACTAGCCATGATAAGTGTGGTCTATAATTAAAGCGACACACTAGAGACTATGGTTATAACAGTTGATAAAATACAAATTACTAACCTTAATTGATAATCATCAATATTTGTTTTCTTCTGTGTAGTAAGAAAATAATCTTAATGAAGTCCCAACTTATGTACAGGGATTTTAGCCTCATTCTCGAGTATGAGGGCTAGTGATAAATTACCGGTCACCCAAATCAAAGTAGGCTTAAATATTGTTTAAATGAACTATTCAGGTCGTCATATTCAACTTAGGACTCAGTATGTTTGCATATCATCCCAAGTCGCCTCACCACATCAACAAAGCAAGTCAGCATTAACAACGTAGATAACAAAAAGCTCAGATTAGTAATATTAGTGTCAATGATAGTATAAACTGTACTAGTCATGGAGAACATAATTCAGAAAGATTAAATGAATTTACAGAATAAAAGGTATGTAATAGCACTGAAATTCAAGATCTAGCTGATGATTCATTTGTCCCACTGTTATCATTTTCGTTTCATGTCACCCAGTTTCTTAAACCATTGATTAAAGTTACCTCAAATAAGAAGTCTACTTCGACCTGTTCCAATGTTGTGTCGAAATAGACGTTTACTAGGGATATATGGCACATGTCTCAGCCTACTCAGTCGATTGTGATATATAACCGATTTAGAAATTCAACGGTTGAATGTCAACTCACTTTTACCACTAAACCACTATAGTTCTAACTCATATCACTCAGCCATAGTATTCCGTTACTTTGAAGTGCATAAATAATGAATTTATTAATAATTGTATTATTGTGGGGTATAGTTTTTAGACTATTACCAAACACTTATCATGTGCCTTCTATGCTTTCTAAAAATATTTGTAATGTATTTTCACTATTCTTCTCCCATCAAAAAACTAAATTGCAGAAATTCTTCGTTACTTTCACATCTCCATCATATTTGCTGCCTCGATCGAAATTACCTTTCAATGTGTGAGTTTATTACAATAAATAAAATTATGTATTTTCTTTTAAATTATGCCAGGATTCAAGAAAATAAAATCAGCAATAAATTCATTCTATAACATCAAAGTATGCTTTGGATGCTTTTGAGTTAAAATACTATGCGTCTCTATTCCTTATTGAATTTCAAGCGTGTTTATTTTTTATAATTATACACAATCAATTTATCGTAGTTATATGTTTGTATGTTTCCGTTGAGCTGACAGTGAGAATCATGTGTTTTGTTTGGGTGAAAAAAAGCGTATTCTAATAGGATATTGGGTAAATAAACTATCCAAACACAGACAAATATAAATCTTGAATTTCGAGAAAACCAAAAGGTGACGGTACGATAAAAACTTAATAATCTCCACAACCCCTATACTGGTAAAAAACCTTTGACTTAAAATACATCAATCAAAGACCATTTATATTCCTTCATAGGACACTCAGTTTGTGGAAATAAAGGATATAAATTCATGGACTTTAAACGTTTACTAAAGTCGCTGTTTGGAATGGCATACTTTCTGCATTTCTTGGTTCCTATGATAATGGTTATTGACATATTGTAACAAAATTGTTTTTCATTTGATTTGTTGACCGATAATTGTCGAACTAAAAAATACAGGTATATCTAAACTCATTCTGTGCGTTTCGATCTCGAAAGCCTATCAATATTTTAACCCCTATTTAGTCTGATTAACTTTCCTTTCCTTTTCTGTAAACTACTGCTTAAAAATTTAAAGCTTTAATCAGGACTTTTTGACATGTTATATGATGTTATTAGTGTTCTCTCTCTTTTTTTCTCTGTTAATATGATTCTCACTGGATTGCGATGATAGATATCCTTCATTTCCAATCTGTGCTAGAAATTGTCTAATTCTTCTCCTTCGTTCATGGCCAGGTAAAGTTTCCATGCAATTTTCTGTATTCATTTTTTTATTGTTCTTTTAATGTGTGATGATTTTAATAATATTATGGACGTATTTATGTTATATGTATTTCGGTACCGTCGATTTTGTTTTTTAGAGTTAATTTTCCTTTCTGTCATCTTGTGTGAATAAAGCATAATTCATGATTTATTAGATACACATGTATCATGAATCCATATTCGATCTCTCATTTTTAATTGTGAATAGACACTATTAAATATGATCGTTAAAGACGATTCAAGAACTGTTCAAAACTCTGATTTTTCAGTTGTTATGTACCATTTTTCGTAGTGTCTATTCAAATCAAACAGCTTTTTGAATTGATACAAATTTGCATGAATAATCGCTTATCTAAAATTATATATTTTATGAATTAGAGGTTGTTACATAAAAAAGGTTTGTAATTGTTAAAGTGAAATTGAATACCGATCGACCCATCGAGTGACAACTGCTCACGAGATCAAATTGTTGACGTCAATTGAACTGACGTACGAAGTCAATACAGAATAGGTTTCTCCTTTGACAAAATAGCACGCTTATGTGTAAAATATTGAATACACGAATAAACATTGTTAAAAGTTATTTAACAACTATTAGAGGATATACGAACTGCAAGTTCATTAATCTAAAGCATAGATTGGTTTGAATTTATTCTGTTTTGTTCTTGTCATGGTTATCGGACAATATATCCTGTTTATGAGTTCTGTATACTTTCTGAATATGATTGTTAGATAGATAGGGTTCTAGTGAGTAGTGCTCTCTATACACCATAGTTGTTCTTTTAGACTTGTCAATATTTCTCTTTTAATTAACAGAATCAAATAGTAGCTTTTAAGTATTATTGTTTTTTGACGACTTAATAAAATATAATATTACTCAGTCTAATGGTTTCGTTGACACTTTTTTGGAGTATATTTCCTAAATTGTGTTAACTAACTCAAATCATTTGGAGAATTGTTTTAATTGATAACAGCTGACAGAGCTGTTTCGGTCCTAGTGTATACCACTTCTCATCAGTGTGTGCTTAAAGCCCTACCGAAGATTGAATTTTTGATTTTTATGGTTTGCTTCGAACACCATTGTTCTAGAAATCAATAACGCAAAGCTGTTTTGGAAAATTTTGTTGCCCTCTTCATAATATCCGTCAAACAGGCCTACACTCCTCTTAATTCAATGAAGACATAAATTATTATTATTGCAGACCACAATGTTTAGTCTTAGAGAGGGAGTGAGAGAGAGGGACGGAGGAATAGAAGAAAAAATATCCTAATTTCCGTTTGATTATACTAAATCATAGATGCAACATACCCAGAACTATTCTTATCCTACTAAGGATGGAGAAGTAACATTATATCTAAAGAAAATACCAAACATTATTCTTTATGTTCTTGATATACTATTGATCAATTTTAAACTAAACGGTACCAATGTTAATAGCATTCCCGTGGTTATTGCGTTAATGTGTAAAACACTATATTTTACAGTCCATGTAAACTGGATCGTCCTTGTTCTCAATAAAATAAAGGGTTCTAGTCGTTTTATTTTTGCAGTTAGCTGGATAACATTTCGTTTATTCTTAATGTTAAACGCGCAAGTGTCAAATGGCTAATATTACTATTGTCTTGATTAGTATTACATTTGTAAATTGTTTACCTCAAGTAACATTAACTATGTCATTTTATGGCATTGGAAAACCTATTCCTCCGTCTGGTGCTCTTGCCTTTGATCTTAAAGCATTGGGGGGGGGTGATCCGTCAGTGAATTGGTTTCGTCAACAGCAACCACTTGATCAGTACGTATCATCGAGGTTTATCTATCAATCCTCACTTTATCCACCTATCAACCAAAAGTTTCGTCTCATCAAGTCATAGAGCCCTCTTTTGTAACAATATTACTCAGTTGTTAACTTTCTCTTTACAATTTAATAGCTATACTTAGTTGTCATGGTTCGTTTTTTCAATCACAACTTAGGAGATTTATGAAATTCGTAGTATTCTTGTATTGTTTATTTGTAGTGTGTGCTCGGGTATCACATTTGCGAATTGCTTTCAACTATGTCTTTGTTTGATTCGATCTTTTAGTTTTCTTTTCTAGTATTTTCGTTATTTAGTGGTAATTAAAAACGGTTTTTCATAGTTTTTACCAAGTTATAGTATCAGCTCATGAAGTTATTGACTGCTGAATTAAACCGTGTTATTAAGTAAAAGCTACCAGGTCATTCATCCTTTCTTCTCGAACCATATAGTCTTCTTTTACCATCACTGTTGTTATTACTCCTATTACACTGATTTTTCTTGTTAATTTCATTTCGATATGTTGTTATTGTGTTGCAATTTGAACCAATGCATATATTTGGCAGGTTCTACATTGTTTGTGACTGACTGTTAGCTATTCTAATACAATATATAGTTTTTTGGATGTACAGCATAACCACATAATATATAGCTTAAAGAAAACACATATTTGTTATTTTTCATTCCAAGCCTTTATTTATTTCTATTTTATTATTAATAGGTATTTTCCATTTTATTCATGATGGTCTCCCAACTTTACAAACTTTACTGTATACGTTGGCTGTTGGTAATACAGAAATAAGAGTGAGTTGTCAGAAAATATTAACTTGTTTGATCAGATTTTTTCTATTCACTTGATAAAATATACTAAAAACTTATTTTCAGTTACACTATAGCTACCAATTTAACCAATGTAAATACGCTAACTTGTATTATATATAAGTTTTTGCCAGTTAAGTTTCTGGATTAAAATCGTTTGCACCTCATGTTTGTGCTTAAGGTTAGATTTCATATAGACCTGGTAAAGAAATGCTGGGACTGGTTTTATTATCGCTAATGGTAACAAAAGGAGGACACAGTGATCTTTGTTGATTAGTTTGTGGATTCATATTTACGGTGAGAGTTATTTAACTACCTTGCCACTCAGATATAGGTAGGTGTAGTGAGACTCAGACTTCTAACTTTATAGTGCAATTCAAATCTTCCTATATCATGTAGGTTAGTGATTCTAGCTATTTCCTTAAAACCTTAAGCCTAATGTCATCCTTCACTTCGTTCTTGAATTGTGTTCTTCCTTTTTGAATTACAGCTTCTCTATATTCAGCTTTTTATCCGAATGGATATCATCATGTTTCCTTCACTAAGTCTCAACTTGCTAATTTCTGTACTCTTTGCACTGATAACTAATTATTTAACATGACTTATATATGCAGTTGTGGTTGGCGCTGCATTGTTTATGATTAACTGACTGATTCAGTGTGTACAGTCTGGAGTGACATGTATGTTTAGACGGATAGTAAATACAACAATAAGCACACAATAAAACGCCTGTTCAGATTGCTATAATTCGTACAATGTCACAGAAAAAAGCAATCAACGGACACAGAAAATTAGTATAATTAATAGAATGTTCGAACACAGATACATCGATTATCCAACTGAGTTATTTTTCCACTAAGCTGTAACTTTAAATTAATGATCATGGAGTGAGATCATAAAGTATACTTGTATCTAAGAATAAGGATATTGGTGTTATTTTTGAGATGAATGATGCATCTCAGAAAATGCAACGCAAATAGATAAAGGGTTATTTCTTGCATTAAAGTGTTAAACTCATTTTCTTTTCGTTTTTCTCTTTATTCCATAGAACCAAATATTAAGCTTATTATATGGTTTATTCCCAACAATACCTATACCTCATTCATCTGTCAAGGAATTAGAACCAACCATACTGGGTCTTATTGAAGCATTGTCTACTGGTTCGTTCTCTTTGTTGCCTGTAATAAATCTATCGAGTCCATCAGGGAAGAGAAGTGATTATTTACTCAATGAAATGTCATGTTCATATTTGGACAGTTCTTCACGACGTCTATTCTCAATATTACCAGTAAGGTGTATTTCATCATCGTCATCTAGTGCTTGGAATATTGAAGGTGATTTCATTCCTGCAGAAGGTTGTCGTCTGTTAACTAAATACGATTCTATTGGAATTGATTTAATGAATAATTATTATGCCATATTACTTGCTACATTGATTCAAGCTGGATTATACGAGGTGTGTGTTTGATCTCGTTTTTTGTATTTATGTATGTACGTGTATAAATATGAAGTGGTATTATTAACTTAATTACTTGTGATAACTACCTCTCTCGCTTAATATTCCCATTTAACTTTTGCCTAGATTGTATAATTTTTTCTGTCTTTTTATTTGGTTATTATAACAGTGTGAAATGCAAATCAATCCGAATCTTCTCAGTTTATCTATAAATATGTGATCATTTTATATATGTAAAGTTAACCTGAATCATTATATATATCGATTAACACTTATTAATAATAGTAATAACTTATTTACCAAATTTACTAAAAGTAGGCTCGGATTTACTAAGACGCAATCAATTTAATACCTAAAAACTAGTGTCTCTTGTCTGTGTGTAGACATACGTGCATACTTTTTTTATTCATTGAAGTTCTTTATATCAATAATGCAAGGTACTTAGATGAGACTAAACTAGTACACTCGTATTTACTTTTCAGTAAACATATTTTTGACTCAAAGCTTGTTTGGATATTTATGGAAATATGTTTGACTAGTTGCAAGGTTATTGCGACGAGAATCATTATTTATAGCTTTAATTTTTGGTTAAATGTTTGGAGTCAGCTGATAAATGGTCATGAAAAATGTAAGCAACTTCAAGGTTAAGGTCAGTGAGCTGCCCAGAGTAGATGGCAATCAGGATAAATGTCCAAACAACGACAACACAATTATGGTCAACAGCTAATAAAAATTTGTGTCAACATGACAAGTTGTTAGTTAAATATGTGGGGCATTATTGATAGTTACAGGCTACCTGGTTGGGACCCACACTATTACCACGATTAGTGGTTGACGACATTGATTGACATGGCTCATAATCGGTCTTAATGCATTCGTTCTCAATCTTCCTCTAGATCTTCAGTTCCAGTATTCCTGCATTCTATCTTTCCGAACTCATCCTCATCATTGTTGCTGCTAGATTATTATGTAACTCCTTTAGTATTTGTCTTGTTAAATTAATCTCTTCGTGCTGTTGTTGAAATATAATAATTCCGTTGTATTATGAATAGATTAGTGTTGTGTCTTTAATGTGGGACTTGATGCTTGTCTTATATGTTCGACTCATAGTACATATTTTCAGTAGCCTAAGTTATAATCTATCCCGGTTTACAGTTCCAGTATGTATAGCAATGAATATTAAATTTGGAGCTTCACTTCATATGCCAATACTGGGATGCCATTATCAATGCAAATGCTAACGAAATCGTGTCATCTGTTCAGGTAAATCCATATGCCATTGAAAACTGATCGAATTTGTTTCGAATTATTGGCTACGTTAATGTAAAATCCTTAGTAGTTAGCAATGAACGATGGGACTATAATTTATAGACGAATCAACCACATTTAAGATAGTAGGTTTTGGATATTGGCGCGGGATTCATCCGCTCATTTGGCTAAATACCATTTGGGCTTGGTAGCTGATGTTAGTTCGTGATCAAAACACTAAATCTAATTCCTAACCCTAACGTTCAACTGTAAATCCTAATTCTTATTCCTCACACTAATATATAATCCTCATTTAACCCTGGTCAGTAGGTGGACATTTTAAGATCATTTTAACGTTGCTCAAAGATCTTCCGTAAATTATAGTCTTACCCAATAAACTTCTATTCAGTCATTCAACGTCGATTTTCTTAAATTATTAACAAATAGTCTTACATAGTTACATTATTGATCTCACTCACGAAAATTGCAGATTATTTAACTTCTATGTTAGTTCTTGAGAGCATACAATTACTTTTGTTTAATAGTTGATTATCTACCTGATTTCTTCAAACTTATCAGTTCACATAATACAGTGTGAGGACAATGTTGTGTACCAATCTATGTGGAAATATTAATGATTTTATTTCCTTTTTCAGGCTCTGATTCGTGCAGTTTCCGATTCAAATCAAGTAACATCTACTCGTGCTGGTTATCTTCTTGGTTTGTTGGCTTACAAAGTAAGTTTACATGAATGTCGTTGATCTGATCCCATTTTGTACATTTTACCAAAAATGTAGTAGTAGTGGAACTTATTTACCAAATTAAAATTTACCCAAACAACATTTTGGTTGAGATGTTTAAAAATACTACGACTCATTGACGTAAATTAAAGTTGTTTGTGACAGGTTTCGAACTTTAAACTTAATTGTTAAAATTTGAATGCTTTAACTTACTGTTAACCTAATGATTGATAGAAATCTATTTCTAAAGAAATTGTTTGAGGAAAAATTACGATATAAATGAAAATGATGTATTATCATTATGCATTACCATTTAAACAATCATTTCTTTAAACCCATTAAGGTTACATAAATTCAAGTTTCAATTTTTATTCACTCACTACCTAGTACTTGATCTAAGTACTCGTCTCTGTCATACTGTGTATGCTTAAGAGAGTTAGTAATAGTTTGCAAAAGCACCAAGCTTCTTTCACAACCGAATAAAGTGAAGCTGTATTTGGATTGATCAACTGCTTTTTAACCATTAGGGCATCACTGAGAGCGCATTTATTAAAACAATTAATATTTTTGTACAATATTTCAATAAAGATTGTCTAAGCTTTCTGTTCAGTTCTTTTTTCAATGTTCTAGGTTTTAGTAGCATAATATGAGTATGATAAATTGATTCCATTCAACTATTCTGTAAATTGAGGGATATTTATTTGTACAACTGAAACTTGTCATACTGGTTATTGATTCATTCATCTGTAAAGAGAGAAAGCCCACCGCAATGCAAAAAGAACACATTGGTTTACCAATGTCTAAAGGTGATTTGCTAAAAAGTGTTTACTGGTAATAGAATTTTAATTTGTATCCTGTATTAGGTACACTATAGATTAGGTATAAAGTACGCATATATTATCTATCTGTATATATATATATATAATTTTTGTTTTCACTATTCAGGTTGAAAGTCTGTTACCTCAAGAACATCCGGCGTGTAGGCGTTTACATCATGCTGGTTTATTGCATCCAGATACTCCAGGTAGTCAGTTAGCTGTCTTGTGGTTGGAACGAATACATCGTGCTATGCAATTGCATGAAACTCAACTAATTGACACATCTAACCTTATTCACGTGCCATTGCATTCTCCCTTTCTGGAATGTTTAGCCAAACAATCTGCAAATAATATCTCTCCAACTTATTATCCTTTGAATCCATTGCTACAAGATCAAATGGAAGTATGTTTAAAAAAGTTTTTTTCTTAGATTCAACTAACATTAAAAGTGAAACTTTGCGATAAACTAGTGAGACGATTTAGGATACTCTAAATGTAAGTATAAATCTACCTTTTGTATACCTGATTAGATGGAAAGTCGATATAAATTAATCTCCAAGATTTTTACTACCTAAAGTAATTGTAAGATTATTGTAAGTAATTAAGACATATTCGAGAATGGACGATAGAATGTTAAAAGCAGTTACCAGTGACATATACTTTTGAAGTCCTCTTCCCCGTTCATCACTCTAAACATTATTGACCTTCGACCATATATATAGCTAGCTATATAATGAGAAAATAAAAAGAATGCAGTGAAAGGTTTAGTGCTGATGCCCGAATGTGTTTATATACGTATAGGTAGCCGAACCAACCCAGATATGGAATTATTGTGATCATCTTCACAAGGTGAATATTTCAATTACTTAAAACAACCTGTCTATACTTGTTATGAGATCTTGGAAAGTTTCGTGATCTGTATTCCTTTTTCAAAATATCAAGATTTCATACGTAAAACATGATCAAGTAGTCTAAGCCGGTGTTTCTGTGTAGTTTGACTTCATTTATCCAAAAATAATCTCCGTCTCTGACAAAAGTAATTCTTCCAGCATAGTCTGAGTATATATGGTATATGTTTTGTGTTTTTCAAATGCTAAATGATATTTATGTAAAGATCTTATCTGACTCTCGGGAAATGAGTGTCTCCCAAGTTTTCTCTATCAATCATAAGTAAGACTACTATACCACCTGCTGTTAGCGACCAAGTTAAATTACGATAGCCGAAGTTAACCATTAGGAAAAATTTAAAACGCCATTACTTGTTGCTGAACGTCACGATTTCGACTTTATTTCGTATTTTGAAAGGACTGAATGATGATTTTCATGTGGAATGAAGAGTTCTGATCAGGTTGTTAGGATTAGGCGTTAGTGTTGGGCTGGATTACAATACTATGATTTCGAATAGTTCGCCCCAATAAGTTCATTAGTCGCGTTAAATCTGAATCCTTTATAATTTTATCACTTTTTGTGTATCAAAACTCTTCTACATCGGTTACATCATGATTGTCTAATTTTTGATCAGTTAGTCTCAAGGTCACTTGTATAACCACTGAACGTCTTAATATAGTATAGTTTTACTCAATGATATACTGGACTGCAGCAAAATAAACCATGTATATATATATACGATTTATGAGGCGAATATTTGATTATTTTTGTCATTTTCTTCAGTCATATTTTTTCTCCATTTCATTTTATTCGTGGTCATAAACATTCCTACAGTAAATTAATCGTTATCCTAATTTCTAGGCAATTCATTGTTATCATTTTGTAGAGTTATGCTCTTTACACAAAGTAAACCGCATTGGTATCTACTATAAATGCGTTATTTTATTTCCATGTCACTTTTATATGTATATTTGGTAATTTTAATTTTTTCAGGTGACACATTATTTACCTACACATGCGTTTGTTTTTCTGCTTAAAACTAACAGACCAGATACTGACATTTATTTATGCCTAATTGTTTTTCCTACAACTTGATGTTAATCCATTTGTATTGGTCATTCTAATCTTCCCACTGACCTTTAGGATTGCAATTAATTAGTCTCTTTTGACTCATGTACATCCTCTGCAGATTGCGTCGATACTATTAAACCACAAACACTTTTTAAGCAGAGATTGATGATGTTTGACAGTAGAACCAAAGACGCGCGTTCCATCCTCTTTAGGATTCGTGAGCTGGATGTACCTGGTTCCTAGAGTTGATGTTCACTTCGAAATTCGTACTTAGTACCTTTCACTTCAAGTAAAAACATACAAGACTCATATATACAGAGAAAGGCTTGCTAATTCCAATCCTAAACGCCAGTTGGAAGATTCGGACAACCCAAACAAATGAATTAAAATTCACCCTATTGCATAAGCTAGTTTCTACTTAGATTTTGGATAACGCGTTTAGGTTTGAACCAAAAAAATACCTGATTCCGATCTCGAAGTGAACACCAAGTTCGAAATGCATATACATCCCAAACAGAACCAAATGAGCGTCATAGACTCCACTGCTAACCACATTCCAGGTCTGCTTAGAAAGTAGTTGATGTTATTTCTTCCCAAAAATCAAATGTTAATGTTTATTTTTAAAATAATTCGGCCCTTATATTCCTATCGTAATAATTTATATGTATGTGGTGAAATTAAGTAAATTTTATTATAACAAAAGTGAAATATACATCTTTTACACGTTTACGTTTTCCACGATACTTCACTCGGCTTGTTCCAAATCGGAACAAGAATCAAGTACTAACAAAGTATATTCCAGTAAACCTAAACGCAAAATATGTAGTAATAAAAGCACTACGGTTTATATTGAGTTTACATGATAATCTTACAGTATCTTCCTAATTCGTCTGCTTGCTCTGATTAGTTGGAAATTCAGTCAGTCAGTAACAACGTAGAACTTCGTACGTACGTACATCAGTTCGAGTTGCCACACCACATAAGCACAGAGATGCAGTTGTCGATTCAAATCCCGTAGTGATAGAGGTAATAAGAGTATGAGCAGTAATCGGGAAGATTAGGGTTTGGAGATGTTATTCAAGGAGTATAATCCAGTGAAATAAATTTGGAAAGAGGAAAAAAGGGACATGAAGAATTCAGAAGATTAGAATTTGGGAGAACACAGAGAGTGGATGCACCTGCGCCATTGCAAGCGATTTTGAGCCATGTCATTCAGAATCTTTAACCATCGGTTGCTATCATCTCGCGGTCCCCAACCAGGTAGTCTGCACCTACCAACATGACTCAGTCCACTTGTCAGTGACTTCATGGACTTGTGCCATGTTTTGGTCTAGCCACCCCTAGCTTTCTTCCAACCTACTCCTATACCACTGAACATAGCACGTCGAGGCAGTCGGTCGTTGGGCATACGTAACACGTGTCCCAGCCACCTCAACTGATGAAGTTTCACTACTTCAATTGATTTGCCATCCTTACCTAGTACCCGATCCCTAACAACTGTGTTACTTACTCTATGGTCCCATGATATACGAGCAATGTTTCGAAGACACCTATGATCGAATACTAGTAACCTACGAATATCCTCTACTCTTACCGGCCATGTTTCACTGCCACAAAGAAGGACGGAACGAACTGCTGCGAAGTAAACCCGTCCTTTAGTTGATAGACGGATATCTCGCCTACGCCATAAATGACGCAAGTTGGCAAAAGCTAGTTGAGCCTTCTGTATCCGTGCTGAGATTTCGTCACAAACCAGACCACAAGGGCTGATGAGACTTCCAAGATAAGTGAAGCGGTCGACACATTCAACTACTTCACTCCCTATCACTAGTTCGGGTGTCGATGTAACCCAATCCTGAAGCAACATTTTGCATTTCGAGGGAGAGAATCGCATCCCGAACATGCTTGCATTGTTGCTTAGAGTGGTCAGAAGACTCTGCATTTTGTCAGCGTCTTCACTAAATAAAACTATGTCATCTGCATATTCTAAGTCAACAAGTGAACCTCTCGGTAGAAGTTCAACCCCTGGAAATTTAGATGAGGAGAGTGTTATCTCTAAAAGTACGTCGACCACAAAGTTGAACAAGAATGGGGAGAGTGGACAGCCCTGACGAACACCACTTGAGGTAATCAATTCTGATGACAGTTCGCCATAAGCTCTCACTCTACCAGTTGTGTTCGAGTAGAGAGCCTTTATAAGGTTAATGTACTTCTTTGGTACTCCTTTCAGTGACAAACACTGCCATAGAACCTCACGATCAACAGAGTCGAATGCCGCCTTAAGGTCGAGAAATACTACCATTGTGGGGCGTCTGAATGTGTGTCTGTGTTCCAGAACCTGACGTAGTGTGAATATCTGATCTATACAACCACGTCCAGGTCGAAAACCGGCCTGGTTTTCTCTAATCTGCTCTTCACGAGCTTTGATTAGGCGTCGAAGTATTATTGAGGCTAGTATTTCTTGAGGAACCTGAAAAGGAAATTGGATTAGTGTTGGTCTTAACGACCTGGGAGCGTGACCGCAGAGCCCAAGGGACAACTGCTTGAGGCCGGTCGCGCACGGCCTTTTCGTGGGAGGTTTTTGACCTGTTAGCTCCGTTCTTCAAAGGGCCTTACCGCCGGAGACGGAGATCCGTGAGGTAAGGTGAGGTGTGACATTTTTAGGGTCGACCTTTTCTAACCCCACCCCTCCTTGTGGGAAGGCAGCATCGCTGTCATGCTGGTTGTCCGAGGGAAACACCTTACTGCTGTCACACCTCTCTACAGTCAGCAGTACGACTTCGCCCTCAGACCTTGAGTTGCTGCTTTTAGTCTTACCGTTCACCAATCGACCTGCCTGGCATGGTAGAACCTACAGGAACATATGTTCCAGCCAATATAGCTCGGTTGGGTCATCACGATAGGCAAGCCCGACCACCGCGTCAAGGTAGCAGCTTCGGTCGGGAGTTGGAAATTAGATGTCAGCTTTCTCAGATTTGAGCATGCAACTATTCAACTTGATCTAGAGCTAGATGACTTAGATGCAGATACTATTTATAGTTCTTAACGAAATTTAATCCATCAACATTAATAAAGTTTTGCCCATGTATAACATTAATTGTTGTCAGGTTATTCTAAATAACTCTGTTCTCAATTATCCTGTTTCCTAATGATTGATTGGATAATGTCCCACAAACGAGTAAGTAGATCAATCAAAATATCAGTTTTTCGATTCATCTTCTCACATAAATCTGTTTAAGTTCAGGTGAATTTGAACTGTGAATGAGTTGAAACTAGTACCATCAATGTCATGTGCTAATATTTACGCGAACAATAAATATATATCTTACCATCAATGCAAACCAAAAAGTAAGATGATTTCAAAGTCATTATATTACAAACGCTATTCATGTTCTCATAAGAGTATTCATGTATGTTTCATCGTTCTTATTCACTTTTGTTTTTAGCTTACGGATACAACTCTAGATCAGTTGATCGCATTATCAAATGTGTTATCATTCAAGTCAAAATCTCAACATGGTCGTTTTAGTCAATGTCAGGTGACTACATATGATACTAAGTCACCGGAGTTATGGAATTGGAACATTTTAACCTCATTAGGCCGTCATTTAGCTGTAACACGATGCACATTTTCTTGGGAATCAAAATCACATATGAAGTACGCATAGACTACTACTAATTATTTAGTTTTTTCTTGTTTTATTCCTGAACCAATCTCTATGTTGACAAGAAATATCTAGTTATAAGTTACATAAATATTAATGAGTTAGAGAATTATAGTTTCTTGTATAAAACGTGTTAAAATGCTCGGATTTAGTTTTAAACGTTAACCCTTTTTAAGCTATGAAAAATGATACAGTAGACTAGAAATAGACGTGTACTGCTATGTAGAAGAGCCCCATGGACTAGAGTATTCTGTCTAAGTGTGTCATACCTTGTATCAGTCCATGGATGACAAAAAGGTTTAAATACGTTAAAACGAACAGGGAAATGAGCAAATATAGTGTTTTGATTTGTTGGCCGGTAACGCAGCTACTATTTTATATCTTGCTCTACGAAAATTCGCTATACTGAATCAACATTGTTGTCTCATGATCATAATATGAAGTTTTATCGGGTGGATAATTTGTTCATCGTGCTTTTCATATTTCTGTTAAATGATGTCTGGGATTCTGGTGGCTTTCATTTGTAAGCCTTGAAATTATGAAACAATCCACTACTTGAATTCATCGCGTTACAGATGATTAATAAAATGTTTGCTATTATGAAATAACACTTTATTAGGAACAGTCGATTATATTCGGATTTTCTGAGCAGTGTCGATAAAAATCTGTGATCCATCTAATTGCTTTTTTGTACTGCCTTTAAAAATTCGTGCTGGGTCTTGGGTATCTTTCTTTTGTGAGATTATGAATGTTGAGATATTCAGGAAAATATCCCAAAAATTATTCTATTAAGTCTAATGCTATTCTTGGACTTGAGATGATATCGTTTTCCTATTGGACAATATTTATTTCACGTGTCAAATGTTATTTTCTATTTTATGGTACGATGTGGTCTGCTTGATTGGTATATAAACTCAGTATGCTTGAAATATAATAATTCATATCTCAGAGGCAGAGACTTGCGTTCTGGACTCAACTGGCTGGGCTAGACAGGGAGGCGGGACCAATCAGAACTCTAGGCCGTTCTTACGTGTTTACGCGTCTTTGGTCCGATCGATAAAACGCTGCGCTCTAATCAGCTGCTGTTAGTCATAACAATGAAGTGTATCGTATTGTCGCTCAGTGAACTAGACTTTTGATTTTTGTTGCTTTAATCACTAGTTTTGAGTGTGCTTCATTTAGTTTGGTTTGGAAAGCTGATTACTGTTTCAGGGTTAACATATTTACCAAGTTCGCATTCGTCTACTTGTCTTCAAGTCACATTTTTTGCATGAAGACTAGTGATACTACTCGTGATGCTTTTATTGAAAGATTACATCCTTAACCACTAAATCACCATGTTGAATTACAGCTTAGTAGACAGGATATGTACTTGGTCACTGAGTCGTACTAACGATTAGAAAACAATAGACTATTTGAAGGTTACACATATTTATATATATTTTTTAATTTAATCTAGATTTCTAAAAGCAGTCATGGAGTTTTTGATACCAGATCAGACATGCAGAACAGGTATATCAGATTGCAAAACTGAAAAATGCTCTATTCCGATTTCTCCTCCAGTAGTATATTCTTCTATTCCAAGTAAATCTATGCAGTCATCGGATGGGCTATTACCAGTTGATGGACTTCTGAATGCAATCAGTGATAATCGTAATTTTGTGCTACAAAGTGTAAATACTTTGAACGCACACGATAATACTGATCATTTATTAGTATATTCTCGAGAGAAAAACATGTCTGATATTAATGCTACAAGTACTATCATGAATAATAATTCTAATACAAGTCGATCGAATTATTTAATCAATCCGAATGCCAATTTCAATTTAGCTTGGCTTTCATATAATTGGCCTCATGCGTCAGCTGCTGGAATTTTAGCTGCTGGATTAATAACACATTTGGCATACTATCCTCCAGTGCGTTTACACTGTTCTGTTTAACGTTTCCTACAAATATGTTTTCTTTTGTTTTGGAGATAGTTATGTTATGTTACAAATTTATTAATTTAATTATTTAATACGGATAAATACTGGTACAATAGAGCACCGAAATAAACATGCGACACACAAATAAGGAAACTTGATTGTGAAGAGATAAATGAAGTGGGGAGTAAGGAATAGAATCAGAAAGAAGTGAATGAATATGACTAGGAAGAATACTTTCAAATAAAGAAGTTCCTTTTATTTATTTATTTTGAAGACTACTAAACGACATTACAGCAGGATCTCCATCAACCTCCGTTCTGAGTCATGCCTGTTGACGTCTCAACTAGATAGTCGTGAAGGACCGACAGATCCCAGTCCTATACTGTTTTCCCCCTTACCACTGCGTCATGCCATGAACTGACCACCTATCACCCTTTTCCAACCAGTCCCAGAGTCGGAAAGTAATCAACAATTTAGAATTCACTGGGGGTGATATTCGTAATATATGTTCAAGCCACGGAAGCTGGTGTTTCGAGATGTTGACACCAAGTGAGTTATCTTCACTGCACCCAAATACGCATCATTAAACCTCCGTATTGGTAACAAGACGTAACTTCCGGACGTCAGCTATCTTTCGATGACAACGATGATGGGAAACAAAGTCACCGAATATCTTCAACCCAGAGGTCAGTGTTTTGTAGGTATAGAGCAGGATCGCTCTCACCGAAATGTTGAAACGTTAACTTTTTAAAGCCAGACTAACATCACAATGGGCCAAAAGATGACCCAGATTGGTGTAAGCTGCTTTACCTCACATTATACGTAGCGTGATCTCACTTGCCACGCCACCACCAGCACACACACAGCTGCCTAAATACACAAACTTTCCGACTACTTCCAAAAACTCATTACAGAAAGTAACTGAAGGCTCAAGCTCCTACCAGCCTTGCAGAAGTACTTTGCCTCTAAAAAGTGCTAGTCACGGGCCGCACTTACAAGTGAGATTTGCAGAACTTACCAGTTTATATTGGTATTCAACTCAATTGTATATAAATTAAAAATACAATATGCAAGATATATCTTACCGAAATAAGACTATTAGGTAAAAGTTGTGTACACTCTGAGCGATTAAGAACTGTAATCAACGACAGAATAACAGCTTCGTGAATACGTGATGAATGATATGTATGCATTGTACTATTATTGAACACGAATGTAGTCATTAAAGCTTGAATTATAATTTGTCCAATGAATGGAAACAATAACAGTAACTTTTCTTTGATTCCATTATCAATTGAAACGTTCAACTTGTTATTACCACTATTATTATTATAATAATAAAACTGTCGATGATTGTTGGCATGATCGACATCATGATGATGACAATAATAGTAGTGGTAATAGTAATGGTAATAATTGGAATAAGATAATTTAATTTTCGAATGATTAACAATTGAAGGATTTGTGCGTACAACTAGACGTTCTAGGGCTAAAATAACTAGAAAAAGAGAAGACAACGATTGTTAATTATTTGCAAATAAAATATATTCAAGAAAAAAAGGATATTTTCCTGTTGTACTGTCATTTAGTATACTCGTCTTTTAGTTGATAAATGATAACGTAAGGTGGCAAGAGCCAAACGAACTTTTTGAATCCGTGCAGAGATTTTTTCAGACACCAACCCATTATGGCCGATCAGACTCTCAAGATAAGTAAAATTATCAATGCGTTCTTCTACTTCGCTTCTCATTCCTAGTTCAGTTGTTGACACAGACCAGTCCTGAAGCAACAACTTGCATTTGAGGGGGAGTAGCGCATCCCAACACATTCTGGCTTCGTTACTGTGTGCTACCTAGAGACTCTGCATTTGATCAGTGCCTTTACTAAGCAGGACTATATCATCTGAGTATTCCAGGTCGATAAGTGGAGCTCTTGCGAGGAGATCAAATCCCGAAAATTCAGACAAAGAGGACGTTATTTCCAGCAGTAAGTCTATGACGAAAATGAACAAAAATAGGGATAGTGGACAGCCTTGCCGGACACCGCTTGAGGTTACAAAAGCAGATGACAGTTCGCCATAAGCTTTGACGCGACTAGTAGAGTTCGAGTAAAGGGCCATCACAGGGTTTATGTACTTCTGAGGTACGCCTTTCAGTGACAGACACTGCCGCAGAATCTTGTGGTCTACAGAGTCAAATGCTGCTTTCAAGTCAAGAAAGACGCCGATAACTTATAGATTGAACTACGTATAGTCTCTGTATTTTGTAGTATTTATAATTTCCTCTTAATTTTTTTTCCACAAAAAACGCAATGGAAAAATAACAATTTCCTTACAATCGACACTATTATTATTATTACTATTGTTATTATTATTATCGCAATATTATTATTATTGTTATTATTCATTTTTCAATTTCTGTTATCCTGATTTACTATTTAGGCTAGTGAACCATTTCAATACTTGGATCGTTTTTTAACTGTACTCCATCTATGTTTAAAATATGTACTCAACAAACAGTCTAATGAATCATTACTCAGTCATAATGATAATAATAACGGTAATAATAAATCAATAAGTCAGAAACTTTCGCAAGACAGTAATAATACTCCTAACAATAGTAATAACACTAATATGATATTAACATTCCATCCAAATTATTTAGCTAAGAGTTGTGGTGGTCTGATTTTGTTTGCCGCATCACGATTAACCAATTCTGAAGTCGGTGAATTACGTTTGGAAAAAAGCGATCTTTATTTAGATTTCCAGTGTATTTTAATGTTTCCTAGTCAATTGAAAAAAAATTCCAATACATATACTGAAACTCACTGTAGTGTTACAGATGATAAGCGTAATCAACAATCCATTTTTCTAAATCATGCGAAAATTATATTATCTAGTCTAGATTATACACATTCTACTAAATTGAGTCGTTTGCTCTTGACAACTGCTGTAAATAGTGGTATAAAGGTTAGTCATAATTTGTCGTTTTATTTTTTTTGTTCTTCCAATGAAAAAAATACTATGCATATTTCAAAATATAGGAAAATATTCTCTCACAATAATAGAAAGCAGCTGAAATTGATAAAAACCGACCCTTATAGGTCATTAGTCGATGAGGTAGGACTTTTTCTACTCCAGATTTTGATCCTTGCTACTGCTTGATCGAAATAGTCTTATTGGATAGTTCAAACTGAGCTGAATAGTGGTTTATAGTGGAATTCAGGATGCATGCTTCATTCAATTTAAGACTCGCAAGCTGCGCGTACATTGACCTGCGTTGATATTCTGTGTTTATATGTTGTTTGAACAAGATGATTAAATATTTAAGCTGAAAGTCTCGATTGATTGAAGTGCAAGTGAACCACAAATTCGATTCTCTGCAATCACTTACGACGTTTGATCATGTTCATATTATAATTATTGTTGTTTCGTTTGAAAAAAAGAGCTTATTGTGTTAAACAGGTCTTTTTTTATATTAGTTCAGTTTGCGGATTTACCTCAGTTGTTCAGTCTGGTGAAGCGCAGTTACCCGGCAACATTTTATTTCTGCATATCATTTGTTGAAAGGCGTTCTTTGGTTTCACTTTAACAATAAAAATTCCGTTGATTAAATCATAAATTCTACTTTACTACAGCAGTATATTTCTCATGTTATTAGTTATTTGCAAAAAAAAATAAATATGAAATTCATGTTGATGATTTGCGTATAGATGACATTGTGACGTAGACAAAACATCATAGTTTTAAGTTTACACTCATTCATTCATCCAATGTTATAGATAATTTCTAATTACGACTTGCATTTTAAAATCCAGAACATTATACTTTTTTCAAATAAATGAATAATATAAGCATTTATTCATGTTTTTATCGTTTCTTCGCTTTCAGCCTTTACGAATTTATACAATTCGTTTGATTCGTCTTTTATTTCGTCTGAAACTGCCGTTTCTAGCAAGTTGGTGTATAGATTTAGTTGTAAAACTATGCATGGATCCATCAAACAAAATTCGTCGTTTAGCCTTATGCCTATTAGAAGTATGTGTACTATGATTATCTGTATAATATTTCTTGGCTGTTTATCCTCAGCTTCCTCAATGTTCAATACATATGTCGTTACCAGCTTTTCTCAGACATTTTCCCGTTTATTTAGAGGGTGAGTGTTGCATATTAGAGTGTAATTTGCATTTAATCTTTCTTTTCAAGCCCTATCTTTATATTTATGTTTTTCATTCGGCTTGGTGAGCTGCACTACACTAACATATAAAAGACGGAGATAAATCCAAACGCTTGAAATAAAAATTTCACTGAAATATGCAACACACCCGCTAAATGAATGGGAAATTGACTAAAAGTGCTGGATACAACTCATTTATTGAACATTTAGGACGTTGTTGATATTTTAATTGTTTTTATAAATGTAAAGGATTGGAAAACAAAAAATTAAGAGTTTAGTGGTTATTCCTTAAAAATTTATTTAGTTTGTATTTATTTTAAAGAGAATTTTAAAAATCAGTTTGTTTCTATCGAGTTTTCATGTAACTTTAATTGTAGACTTACAGAGTTCAAAAAATAACTGTCAGTTTACTGTGCTTGTATTGTCATGCAGTTCTGTATCAAAAATATATTGACTTTATGCGTTGTATTTTTGTTTGCATAATATTATGAATCAAAATATTGAAGGAGTTTTGTTTATTATTTCTGGCTTTATAGAAGAACAAGTTAAGCGATAAATACATAGAGTGGCGGCCCAACCTAAATAATCTTTAACATTATGAATCACCTCGGCTTTTATCTATATGTCTTCTTTGTGTAAAGTTGGTTATATCAACCTCACAAGTTGAGCTGTTTGTCCATGCATCTACAAGTATTATACTTGCCTGGCTTACAAAAAAGAGTCCAAATCAAACAACTTGATCCTCAAATACTTCAATAGGAGTCTACAACATTAGATGAAACATTTTAATGGGATTATGTATCATTTCAGTGTTCAGAACCTTAGCTTCATCAATGCTAACCTAAAGTATATGTCTAGAAACAACATGTTCAATCCCTAAGGTTTTAACAACCCTAACACCCCGTCTAACTTGATTTATGGTCAGAACAATTGTTCTTTATTTAAAGGTATGGTACTTAGTCTTCAACTACCAGTTTTTTTGTAGATTTCAGTATCATTTTAAGTTTATTTACTGACCTGGGGAACTAAGCAGTACCGCTAGCCACCATTCCGAATCCGTCAAGTAAGTGGACAAGGTGTACGTATTACTAACTACTAACCTTCATTTATATTTCCTTCTATCTCAAACCAGTTTAACTGCCAAATGTAGATTTTTTTGTGAATTCTCTCTTGTATATGTACATTTCATTAAATTTGATTCACTGTGTTCATGTAATTGTTTAATAACTTTTATTACGTTATCTGTGTAATTTAATACCGCTTTCCTTTAAAAGAATAGAATTTTAATAACGTTCAAAAAAGTCAGTAACCCTTAGTGATCTACTGTAGTCTGAAATCATGCTCTTCACTACAAAACCAAGACGTGCTTCCGGTACGTGAAGTGATTGCCTGATCCATGTAACTACGTGAGACTACTTCGTTTGGGTCTGCGCGGTTTTCGTATTGATTGGAAACTTCATGTGAAACTGCTCAGAATCGGTTGCAATGACGCAGATGCTTTCACTCTATATGTTTTCTTAGATCTTCAGACTTGAAATTATCTTATGTTCTGCAAATTCATTGTTCTAAAACCATAATAGTATTTTATATTACCACTAATATCGTTACTACTTCTACTCTGCTATCTCTCTTGATAATTTCATTTTCTTGTACTGATATAGTGTAAGAGCTTGGACTGATACAGATATGTGACAGGTTGTTTATGGCTTACTGGAATGATATTCGTTTATAATTTCTCCTTTAATTTTTTTCTGTTTTTTTATCAGGAATTATGTTGGGATCCTGTAAATGTTCAGGCTTTATCGCAAAATATTCTACATAACCAAACCAATGATGACAATAATAATGTTTGTCAAAAAAACTTTTTAACACCATTTGCTATTTATTTATTGCATGGTAATACCGGTCCAATAGGACATAGAATATTTGGTAGAATTCTTTCTATCACGACTATATTCGATAAACTGTGCATGAATCATATTACTTGGAGACAACCAAATTCATCATTTCTTCATTGTGATGACGGTCGTTGTTGTACACCGCAAACAAATAAGAATATAAATTGTTCAAACTCATGTCTGTCTTGTAATGAACTGAATAGTAGTAATAATGATATTAACAATAAATCCGTGTTAAGTGATCCAGTGAACTGGATGTTAGATGTTGCACGAAAGGTAAGGTTTGAATGGGCAACATTTAAGTTTCTTGTTTATAACTCTTTATAAAATTATATCCTTCGGGTCAACTATGGTCCCGTGGGTGTGTTATGCCATATATTCTTATTACATACAAACTCAATAACTCACCATTTGATCATATATTGGATGCTAGTTGTATTAATATTATATTTCATATTTTTCATTGTATAATTTCATTTATATATCCTCTTCTGTTTTACTTTCCCACTTTTCAATGACCTTCTTTGTGAGGTGAACTGCGTTACCGCAACTTAAAAAGATACATAGTTTTATTAGGACTGAAACTATGTATTACTTAAGATGTTCATTTGTATTCCGTCTCGATGGTCTGGTATGTTGTTGAAAGACCATGTTATTGTAGAAAAAACACTACTTTGGATTTAAATCATTCGAACTTATGATTTTTACTTGGATTGACCAAAAATACACATTAACTGCTGATAAGAGTATGTTTTCTGTTTTATTGTTTCTCATAGATTGTTTGAGTGATAATAATTACATCGGTACGCAGTGAATTTTAAAATGACAAACGGTATGTATATATTTCGTTGTATCGTGAAGTAATCAATAGAGGACAACTATTTAGTATAATAGATTACGCTGTCTTACTGATTCTTTATAAACTGTAGTCTTCAATATTGGAACAAATATCAACTTCTGTGGAACATAGATTTGTTGTGAGGTTTTTTATACTTTTTGATAGGGTAGTTTCTTCCTACCAGGATCTTAATAATCGTCTTGACATGTGTATGCTACTTATGTTGACAGATATAAGTAGTATGTAGCACCATTCGGAAGTGACGAGCCGGTGAGAGGAAAATTGAGAAGACTGAAATGAAGGAAAGAGAGGAGAAAACTAAAAACAATCAAAATGACAACAGGAATGAAGGAACAATGAAGGTTGCACTAAACAATTCAAAGAAGATATGCGATTGATGTTCGTAATGTATGATTTTCACATTTTACTAAACCACTGTGTGATTTTGCATTAAACAATAAGCCGATTATCCCCATCAAGTATTTGTTGACTACAGGGACTATGAGAAAAGGTCTAAAGTCCTTTGATTTTGTAGTGTGGTGAAGAGTTATCACTATTATCCTATCCCCGTTAACACTGTTATGAGTTAGGATCTAATAAGTGAATGAAATTTGTAATTGTTAAAATAAAAGGATAATGTCTGGTTGATAAATGAAATTCAGTGATACGATGTGGTAGAGTGGCTACTGTAAATGGGACCGAATTATAGACGTTTACACCAAATGGGCTGATATCAAACGACATGATTACTACTTAGTAGAATGTTCTATATTATAAAAGTATACTAATAACTATCATTATGAATTGTTTTCATAATGACAGTAGTATTAATAATCTAAATTGTACCTGTCTGTACATTTCTGACTTGATTTTAAGTTGTATCTTTTCTGTTAATTTAGCTTAAATTTGTTTTTCAATGATTAGCACTCTGTTTTCAAATCATTCATTTTTTATTTTCTGTTTAAATCAGACATTTTGTTCTCAATAAATCAGGTCAAGAGGTTTTCTAGCCATCAGTGCTTCTGGTTCATAGCTTTATACACTAAACTGCACTAGGCCATTGTGTTACATACAATCTATGTGGTGTCATTTCGCACTTAATATATTTCACTAATATCTTTGCTGGTTTTTTTAACGCATTAACATTGACTACCTTTTCACTTAATGTTTAATGAAGCTGATATTTTGTAGTTCAGAGTGTCTTCTGTATTTCCAAGTGTTTAAAATATTTATTAATACACACGTGAAGATTATAGCAAATTAAGTAGTCTATTGTTAGTCATTGTTTGATAATACCTAGATTGTACATTTACTTTAGGCTTTGAATGTTTCGATTAGTACGCTTGCTGTTTTTAAATGTTTCCTAATTTTGTGACTAAGCTTGTGTTTGTCTTATTTCGATATAATAGATTCTTGTATTGTTTTGCAAAAAAATTTAAAGTGAGTAGATTGGTAGATTTTTTAGAGTTACTTCTACCTGTTTGTTAACACATCTCATTTTTACTTGGATATTAAGCATACTTAATACTACATGTTTATTATTATTCGTGGAAGTGATGCGAAGCAATTTGGACAATTATATTACGTAGCAGTAACGTTATAAATTAGATGTAATTAGGACTGAAAAACTTTAGAAATCATACGCGTAATTAAGTTGGAGGGCAGGATAATAGACTATAAATACGTTTTCTTTACACATAGATTGGTTTCGTCAATATGCATTCTTATGACTTCTGTTATATATGGTAGAGAAATTCTAAAAGCATAAGACAAGTTCAACGGATAACTCTGAAAGCTAATTTTGCGTCTATTCTAGAGTTCGGATGTGCTAGAATAAAGTTTCTAATTATTTTCTTTTATTATTCCCTAAACTTGAATTTATGTAATAGTTATTTCCTATTTATAGATAATGTATTAATGTTTTAAACATATGTTTTATCCTTGTTTTTCTTTGTCGAAATCGATTAAAGCACTACAATTTAGCTTATGCAAAAGAAATGGACGATCGGTTTACTTCATTGTTTGTTACATATGGAACGAAATTACTTTCGGGTACATCTTATAAGTCAACAAGTTTCACATCTTTTGATTCAACAACAACGAACTTACAGATACTGTCACCTTTACATTTTAATACCAATACTGACGATGAAAATAATGATGATGAAGAAAACAGTGAGAGAATTGATCGACCTAGCAATTCAGAATTTAATTTTGAAGACAATTATTTTATTGAAGAAACTGACTCAGTATCCGGAACGTATGTATCTCCTCCGTTGGTAAATGATCAATCTATTGGTCAAGTTGTTGATGGACATGATAGTTTTCATTGTTTACCGCTTCCAAAACATCTTTATGCATGTATAGCTGAACATCGTAATGGAATCGACTTGTTAGATACAAGAAAGGATTTAGAGGTAAATTATGTGCATTTTATGTACTAATCTTTTTAAACCTTTTCATGTGATTATACTATTCTTAACACACACACAATTATTGTTCTGATTAATATATTTGCATACTTGACTTCGAGCCATACTTCAAATGTGAGAAGTAATAATACTACATGTTTGACCAAAAAATAACTAGATGGAGCGGGGTTGGAATCGGTGATTATTATAATTCGATTAGTTCATCAGGATTGTCAAGTTCGATCACTACTTTAAGGTTACCTTTCAATTTGTAGATTTCACTTTCAAACTGTGATCTGCCTGCTTCAGCCGGATAGTGTCTCTCACCCTCATACAACTGAAGTATAGCTCAAAACCCCGTATACATGAATCAGTGCTGAACAAATGATTATCATTATTATTATAATTAAATTAAGCTGATAAAGAAAGTAATTCATGTTTTAGATATATCTTTAGTTTCTAAGAAAGCAGCAAAGCAATATTGAATGTAGATTTTCCATACTGCTTTTTATATTTTTTCCATTTTTTCCTGTGTTGTATATATTTAGGTATCTTTATAAAAGCTTGTTCTCATAAACTAATATTTCTCTGTTATGATTTAATGGATCCTATAATGTGTTGGTTTTGTTTTTTCTTCTAATAATTGTAGACCGCTGTTGCTAATATACGTTCTGTTTTGCCTCAAATAATCAACGATAAGTATGAAGAAACAAACACTTATAATGATACTAATTCCTTGTTAAAACTTAAAGCAGATATGTGGGCTTTAGCTCATACCTGTTCAACATCTTACGGACAATACTGGTTATTAAGACATCCTGAACTGATGACATTATTAACCAGTCTTGCTTTACACTCCTATCTAATGAACATCAGAGCGTAAGTTAACATTTAAAGAAATGTATAAATTAATTTCTTATTATCACTATTGATACGTTTCCTCCCTTCAAAATCTATGTATCTGGAAGATTAAAAATACAACTTAAACATCAAGTTTATGTTTACATAATACATTTTCCATTAATATAAACATTGTATAAAAAAGCTAGAAATACTAATCAGTTATGTAAATTAAAATATTTCATTGAATTAATTTTGAGTACCTTGATCTCTTTAACTTAAACAACAATCTTCTCTTTCAATTTTAAAAACGGTTATCTCTGAGTTATTTTTCTATTTAATGTTGTTATTGTGACTTTGTTAGGACGGGATAAGATTAATTATCACGTTTTAATTTATTGCAATATTCATTCAGTATCGCATTCAACATTCATTTCATCCATTCAATTTAAGCTATGCTCAATATATCGTTCAACTACCAGTTTTCATCGGGTTATATTATAACCTGATAACATTACTATTTTTAAATGGTTACACCAATTTAGAAAAAGTTTTGATTTACTGTTCTTAAGGAGTTTATTTGAAGAAAAAATTCATCTGATATTCTTTCATGTACATATGTACTGATATTAAGTTTAATTTCAAGATGAGAGCATGCGATATAATTTTTGGTCGTGTCCCGTAAATAGGATTAAGTCGCTTATTTTTCAGGGAATATGCTAAGTTAGTTACCTATGGACACCTACTCAATAATATGGTTACCGCAGTTAGTAAAGAGAAGTATTGATTAATTTTTATAGAGTAAAAGTATGTTTTGTTGCTGAAATTAATTTACTGATTATTATTGATTCACAGGGTTTTTGTGCAAATGTTTCACATAAATTAAGATCGAATCTTTTAGTTAACTGATAACAGTTACGGAGTACCAGTTTGTCTCAATATACAGTGTACTTTCCAGGTCGAATACACAAACCCTGTGGCATCGACTACCTGTAACTCCACATTAGTCTAGAAAACCAAGACCTCGATATTTGATTTTGAGGATGGCTTTGTTAAGACAAATATCCTAAATCATTGTGGTTCATATATTGAAAACCAGTCAATCCTAATGTAGCATAGTGTGACCCTCGTCCAATGTAATCGTTGAGTTGCCATCTTATTATTCCCGATGTAGAACACTAAATTGTTCAGTTATTAATTTAATGTTTCTCGCATTTTTTTTATTAGGAACTCCACATATCTTATTGACTGTGGCTCAGCTTCTTCTCTTTAGCTCTGTTATGCAGGGGATTATGTTCATTTGCTACAATTAGTTTCGTGTTAAACTATTTTATACTGCATTTTATTCTTCATGTAATTGTATGTTAGAGTCTAGTGGGATTTCTATTAGCGGAATTTTTACCTCCCATTTTGTCATATTCATATAAATCTTGAATTCTAAGAGTTTGTTCCCCTTGTTCTTTGAAATTTATCCCAATTTTCATTTTTTTTCTGTAACCTCTTCTTTTAATATTAGGGTTGCATGGATTTGTTTGAATTTAATTGCTACATCATCAAATCAAATTTTTCGACAAAATAACTGTCTAGGAATCTTAGAAAATAACAAATCATCAAAGCACATTAATGATCTTAAGTGCAATGAATCTTTATCCGATTGGTTATTCATTCCTCAAATATTTTGTGATAGAAATGTTAAAACTAACGAAGGAGCTCAAGATGAGATATTGGCCTACCCGAAAGTCCAATCACTCAGTGGACAAATGATCCAAACCAAGTCAAAACCAAATCGATTACTTCCTGATATAGTTTCTGTCATTCCTCCAGTCACTAATTTCGAAGCAGAAACTAGTAAGATATATACTATATATATTGATTCTTTACTCTAGAATTCAATTTTATCTATTTTGTCTTTTCTTCACATTAAAGGTTGGTTTTCCTATCCAATCTAACACCAACTATCATAGAACCATAGAATATTAAAAAAAACGGTTACAGAAGCTTCTAAAATATTCGTATGTCAACTGTCTATCTCTCCCTATTTCCGTCTCAGTTATGCGAATAAGTGTTTTCAAACACTAGAATTGATGTGCAAATTAGCAGTTTTCAGGACAATTTGTCAATTATCTGTCATTAACAGGTTCACTCTGAGAGAAAACGCAGTTTGGCAGGTAGATGGAATTCATAAAATAATATTGTCAATCAAGTTCAATATATTAACAGAGGCACAGTTTTAGAGAGTTCGATACTGAACAGATAATCATTTGCAGATAAAACTTTTTATCTATGAATAAAAGATAAGATATTTCTCACGAACTAATCATCATACCATTAATCTAAGATTGTGTCGTTGAAAAGAATTTCTATTCTGGTTATACCTATATACCGATTACTCACTTATATCTCTTTCTGTAGCAATAGTAAATAACAAACAATAGAAAAAGTACTATTAGTAGTCGTTTAATTAGTCGCGTGATGAAAACATACTTTACGTATATTGTTACAATTCTTGTCCCAACCTCTTTTGTGTGTGTGATAAGTATTCTTTAGTGTTGTAAGAGTGAGGTTAAACAAACACAGGACTTGAAAGCCAGTGTAATCTAATTCACGAAAAAATTATTTTCCAATTATTTGGGCAGGTTTAGTTTTCGAAAATTTGATTTACACTTACACGTTTATTTCTGTCAATATAGTCGAAAATCCAGGTGTTAAGCAATATAAGGTGGCGAATTTTCTTTATAGTGCTTCGATTCGTGTTATGCTAATTTGGTGAATTAGTTATGTTATAAAAGTAATGATAGAAAATACACTAAAGTAACTGTCTTTGCGACAGTTGTCTCGTTCTACTATGGAATTTAGCAATGCGCTTCCACAACCCAACCTGCAGCCGAACCCCGGTATATTTCAGGTCTCGCGATTAACACTTAACCTCTAGACCACTGAGATGAGATTCAATAGCTTGCATGTCTAGTTTCGGTCACTTCGTGATGCTGTACAACTATCTTCCAATACGACTGGCAACTAACTGTGGGTCTAACTCTTGTTTTTATTGTATTGTTGATTATTCAGCACAATAATATTTATACTTTACTTTTTAAATATTTTTTTTAAAGAAAATGAAAATCTTCCTCTTAGTACACAAAAGTCCATCAAATCGTCAGTTCGTAGTCAAGTATTTGGAAACTTTAATCGTTCCCGTCAATGGTTGCATCGTCGTTGGTCACCTAATCATAGACGGCTTTCTCCACCAATTTCTGAATCAAGAGAACATTCGTCATTTCATTTACCGAGTCATCATCATTTTGTATCATTTGTTAAACCAAAGCATTCAATAAATTCTTTTACTCAAATTGATTCGTTCAGTTATGATGTATCATCTGTCAATATTTCATCTAAGCAACTTTATTCTACATGGACACATCGTGACTGTATTTCACATCGTCAAGTTGTGTAAGATGACTGTTTTTCGAACTTTAAATTTTTGTAACTTTGTTAAAACATGATATACCCAAGTTATTTGTTAGATTATTCGGAAGAAACAATGGATTATTGTATTGTTCCATAGGAGATTTTTAATATTTTAGGATTGTCAAATCTTTTTTTACTTATAAATACCTGGCAACGACTGAGTTTGGGATACTGAATATTATATGAGGAGTTTTGAAATTAGTATTAGCACTGGTATTTAATACTCCAGTCATGTTCTTCGTGCTCTTATCAACTTACGAACTTCGTTAAGCACCGTTTTAAACGTGACTATTTCATTAGCTAGAGCTCCGAGTTACGGTACTATCATCATGCGTTAGTTCCGTTCCCTGAGCAGTTACGAAATACGTCTTGCTATTTTCGTCTCCTATGACTATCATTCGTGATTTGTTGTTTATACTTGTAAACTAACAGTCGATTTATTTCTTCTCTTCTGGATTTTAACGTTTTTGACGTTTTACTGTGCCATTCAAATACGCTCTGATTCACTTAGACTGTTTTAGATTCATAATAATTTTAAATATGTGGTAGATCATTTTATCAAAACACCTCTATTATTGCTAATATTTGGAAATCTCATTTTTATGTGCATCACACCAACACTGCTTAGTGTGTACATATGTTTTTTACTGAACTGAATTTATCTATATTTGAATTCTCAATCCCCTAGTTATATGATCAAATTTTGTTTGGGTATTGAGTGCAAAGTTTTCAAGTTGAATGTCTACGAAAAGTTTTGGTCACTTGTCTGGGATATGCTTGCGATAAATATAACTATTACACATACACGTTTAAACGGTCGATTTTCAACGAAATAGGTGACACGTTCGAACCTTTTTCATGTATCGATGCTTCGATATCATTACCTCTGGTGATGTCTTTCTTAAACCTAGTGTTAGTAATTAGTGGGAATATTTAAGACTCGTTTGTTTGCAGAAAATCGTCTGAACATAAAATTTTTTTTAACCTGTCAACACTACAAATTTATCGGATTCGATTACTAGGATTTAGGTGGTTACATAAATCTCCTTACAATCTAGTTTTATTCCGATCTTATTCGCAATAGTTGTATTTCTCATTTCAAGTTTCAACAACATATAATCTCAGAACATACAGTTATTTAAATATTTTATCATTGTTTTTGAAATAGTTATGCACTACAAATTGCTTTTTAATGACTATATATATATATATATATATATATATATATATATATATATATATATATATATATATAATTCGACTGTGTATTCAAGTTGAAATATTGCTTGTCAGCGTCTGCCATTGTAAGTCGTACCAAAGAAGTACATAAAGGTCATGAGGGATTTTTACTCAGAAATTAATGGTCGAGTCAGAAGCTATGGCGAAATACCATCAAGTGGTACTGAGCATGGTTGCCCACTTTTCCAATTCTTATTTACTTTTGTCGTAAACATTCTTTTTAGAGTTAATGTTTTCGTCCTCTCACGTTTCAAGGACTGATCTCTTACTAGGTGACTCATTTTTCGAATAAGAATACATAAATGACAGTACTGTTTAACAAAGACACTACCAAAATATTAAGTTGTCTGATCAGAACTGCTTTATGTTACTTCTTAAGCTAATCATAGTGCACGAAGTGGCTGGGCACGTTCACTACTCCATTTATCTTGCAAATCTCATTTGCCCTGTTGAGTTGGTGTAGGATGAAATATTGTTTTAGCCGATGCCATTGTACATCAGCGTGGTCGTTATTGTAATGTCAGTTTTTCAACCAATGGTGGGGGGTCTAGTGAGAAGCAGTTATTCTATCCCGCTTTTATGGTTTTGAAGCATGGCCATTAAGAATGGAAGATATTCGTATACTAATAATATTCAACTATAGGTTTTTCAAAGCATTTATCATGTTTCTTAGAACGATTGACTGTGCAGTGTTGAGGTTAGACAGTTGGTACTTAGTAAATATAGCAAATCTTTTTCGATTGAGGTGGTTAAGACATGCAATCATCAATCGCTTCAATAAAAGATATTTGCTTATACACGAAAAGTTATAGACCGCCATATCAAACGTTGCACCAATCCATGAAGTCATTGACTGCTGTTGTAATTAATGTTTGTAGATGCAAACTACCTGATTGGGGTATGTGTGAAAATCCCAATCAGTAGTTGAATACTTTGGGTGATTTGTCTCAACATCTCTCACAACGGCGCAAATGCATTCACTATTCACCTTGATTTCGTTTTCTCAATGTTTAGTTTTCCTTTTTATCGTTAGTACTACTCTAAATAATTTGATTTATTTTGTTATTTTCATCTTGTGCTAATCAGGTATGGCAAATCAAGCCAAAGCACATCTGTACCAGGCTCTGTTGATGATGTCTATCCGTCCGTAACTTTAACCTATAAGGTATAATGTTAGATTCATAGTTAACTATACTAATGCAGTGAGTACACCTTTATGTATGGTTGTTGCCATTAAATTGTATACTTTTTGGTGATTGGGTGTCAATGATGATTTGACCATTCGAACATCGTTCTGTTCTATACAAATTATATTTAACTAGTATACAGGGTTTTGAAAACCATTGGATGTTATAATTTATATCATGTACTGATTTTAGTTCAGGAACCATTAAGAACCAGTAAGCAACGAACATCCGTTTCGTCCTTGTACAGGACTCTTCGGAAGTGTCCGTTAGGTCCTCGATTTGATCCCCGATTGGGTCGAAGATATGCGCTGCCCAGGAGTCACATACTAGGAGGAAACAACTGTTCAGTGCTTCTTGGTTTCGATTTCGGTATAAATTCATTATGACTGTTGTTAAAATTTATGGGAAGGATTATAAATATTTAGAAGTGATTGGTTGAAAAATTCCTCTAATTGAGTGTCCAATGTATATACGAGCACACTTTTTGTTTCCTGTATCAGTTTGTCAATTGGCTGTAAATAATACATTATTGTAATCGGGTTATTCGAAATCCGTGTCGAGTAATTTGTTTCGATTAGACGTAGAAATTGACATTTTTATATTAAAATTTTATTTTAATATAAACATCCTCTTAGACGGTTGAATTGTTTTCTAAGCCAAAATTTTGATTGACGAAATGAAAAGCCACTTCAAATACTTGGATGATACTCGTTGTTAATAAATATAGTGGTAATAATTGGAACTTTATGTTCACAGTAATATAGATTGATTTGTTGATTATCCTAAGAAAAAAAGGATTGGTAAAAAAATGTACCTGTACATTTCTATTTAGATGGAATGATTTTACATGTCATCCAAATAAAACTAGACTAAATTGATAACTATTTATTAGCTATAATGATCAGTTTATTGGAAATAGATATAAATTTCTAATTACAATGGTAATTACTATTACCTGAAAATTGATAAACTTAAAAATTCACAAGGTGGAAATGGTTTTCCCTTTAACCATTTTCATGAATTATCTTAACTTATCATTTAACTAATAGATTTATGCTGACACAGTTTGTCATAGATGTCTAATGATCTGAATATGTAATCGTGGTAACCTAATGTAAATGGTACGCTTGATTAATGTTAAATGCTGAATTAGTCTAATATTACTGTATGATTAACATTTCGAAAGATTATCAGAAGGGGTTTATGGAGATTTTAGACATTTTCACAGATTGAAATCATGAGTCAGTTGAAGCTAGACCATCATGGAAAACCTGGAAGCACTGGACGGCTTCAACTGACTCATGATTTCAATCTGTGAAAATTTCTAAAATCTCCACAAACCCCTTCTGATAATAATCATTTGCTCACTAGTGACTGACTTCAAGAGATACTCCTGGAGTTCTAGTGGGAAGCCGTTACCACTGGAGTTCAACCAGGTCTGTTGTGAGATATCAGCTCACTGATGACAATGGTATACGGTTAGGGAACTTCGTGGATTGGTTGAAGTTAGACATTAACACCGTTGGATGCCGGCCCAGTGGTCTAATGGTTAAGTGCTCCCTCGCGAAGGCAGTAGGTCCTGGGTTCGAATCCCGTGGGGTGCGGGTTCGTGGATGCGCGCTGCTGAGGAGCCCCATACTAGGACGAAACGGCCGTCCAGTACTCCCAGGTTTTCCATGTTGGTCTAGCTTCAACTGACTCATGATTTCAATCTGTGAAAATTTCGAAAGATTGTTCAGTGAAGAAAATTGTCTTTTGATTAATTAACAGCATTTTAGAATTCATGAAAGTACACATAAGTAACCATGAAAGAATCCCATTACGTCATTCGATAAAATGAAAATGGCTTTGTAGACAATGTCACATACTCAAACTAAAAAAGGCATTTACTGTTAATTTGTCATTTGACAAATGTTTCAATGATAATAGTCTAAATATTTAAATATCTAGTAAAGTAACCTGTAATTCGATAAAACAATGTTGTATGATTTTAGAAAGTTAACAATAATAAAGACAACATTGAATCATCAATTGTACATTAACAGACAAATATCTGAAGGAGGGTTATATGTAACGATGTAGACTTGACGGAAATGTGTTAAGATGACAATAGTTGTAATATAAGTGATTGCCGTCCATCAAATTTCCTATTGATAGCTAATGAATTACTGTAAAAAATCATGAACAAGTAAACAGATTCTTGATCTTTTGAGTTAGAGAATATGATAGAATGGTGTGACTACGTTGGAATGAATTGTCAGTGCTGTTGTTGTATACCAAGATTCGATTTGAATAGATGGATAGCTAGTGTCTGATTTACATATATTTTTAATTGGTGTATTTATACTTTTTGGTATAGGTCGTAACATCATTGTAATCCAGCCAATCTTCAAGTCGGAAGTTTATGCAGCTATCCTATCACAACGTGCCACGTAGATATTCTACAAATTCTATCGGTCTGTGATTTGATAGAATCTTCGGCTTTTTAAAGCCTCTGGAGGCTTCATCGCACCTTCTGGAAGCCGCCCTAACAAGTTGATAAAATGTTTTCAATGTGAGATTCCTTCATATACAGACTATTAGCACTATGTACCATAACAAATGTAGTTTGAGTAAACTACGTGAACAAAAGTACTAAATTCTATCGTAATTTATGTTAGAAAAATCACTGAAGGTTGATCAAAATAAACTTACGATTGAGGTGTTCATTGTAAACTGACAGATAAAATAAGTGATCAGAAAAGCGTCGATATTAAATAAAGCAAATATAAAGTTTAACAACTTTGTTGAAAACATACCAAAATGACCTTGAATTATAGTGAAATTCGTTAACTAAAAGTGGAAATAACCAATCAAATAGCAGCAAAGGTCTGTGAGATGTGAATTTAAGAAAACCTTTTGTCTGCTATCCTTACATTAAAACCTAACTTTTATTATCAAGAGTCTAGATAATATGAATTGTCCTTAGTAATTGAACACGCTGACATATCTATTTATCTAAACTATTGTTTTTCCTTCAAGTTCAAATTTTTATACTTGTCAATTTTCAATAATTTTGAACACGTTCTGATTATATTTCAGTTCGCCTTCGTTTACCACAAATGGATCAGCACTTGCTGTTGATCATGATGATCATGAATTGACCGATTCAAAGCCTAATTCTAATTGTTCGGATACCAGATGGTTGTTACAATCGTTGTTTCACTGTGTACACAAAAATCAAATTATTTATTTACCAACTGATATAAAAATATTGGGCTTTAAAAAGTATACTAAAAATAAGCAGAAATACACATTGAAGAATCCGATTAAATCACTTCAGTTATCATCACCTCCATCATTATTCAATAGTAAAACAAATGTATCGGTCAGACCTTTTTATAATGATAATTCACATTGTTTATTTAGATCACTGAATTCTCTGGACAATAACAAACATTCAATATCCTTTATTGATGTTGCTGTGCATGTTCAATTAATGTTATCTTTATATTCTAATGACAAATTACCTACATTATCATCGATACCTGATGAAATATCAACAGATACTACTAATTATACTGCTAAAAATGATATCAGTGAGTGTTCATCAATACAGCAAAGTAGTTGTAACAACGAAAATCGATTGTATTCATCCAGTATACAAATTACTGATCATTCAAATATTTCCTCGTCGCACCAAGAAAATCATGCATTTGAAAAATCATCACTTATATCTGATGAGATTCGTATTGTTTCTGCCCAGCCCTCCATCACCTCTGTATTGTCATCTAATCAGAATTATTTTGAGCATAAAAACCAGTAAGCAATTGATTTATTTGTGTTATGATGTCTCACAAGCATTATCATGTGCATCGCAGATCCGTTCAGGTTGAGTAAGGTTTCAAAAATGTAGCGTAAAATGTTTTACCCACATATTTTAAAAATTGGTGTTCCCACTGAACTTTTGTAGGTTCCTACTTTCGAAAAACAGTTTTATTCAATAAGACTATCTTTAACCCATACTTGAGATTGATTAGCGAGCAATTAGCTTGTGAGAAATAAAATAAACAATTTTAAGTAGTAGTACATCTAATTTAAAGAATAAGATTGCTAGTTGGATTGATTTTAACAATAATCCTAACGTAAATTTCGTTAATTATAGTAATGGAAGCTCATTCTCCTCGGCATCGATTCATAGGTTTGGATTCCACTTTCATGCAGCTATGAAGTCTCTGCAAATTCACAGAGATTTGTTCAGAAGATCGAATAATTCCAAGTAAGTTGGGTTTTTAGTAATACGTATTTAAGTGGAACGTTATCGCCCAACCCCTCAATCAACCAATCGTTTTCAAAGTGTGATTCTTAGTTCCCCATTCTTCAGAAAACGTATTTTAAAGTAATTTTGGTAACTAAGTCGGATCTATTTGTTATTGTGTATACCTACACTGGTTGATATGACGGCCAAAAATGAAACCCAATATTTAAGTCTTAATTGATTGGAGAGTGAATGGCCTACAAACTAACTTCTTCCAATCGTCCTCGTCACTTGATCATGTTTATTTTGTTTTCAGATTCTGTTCTTCTGGCTAGTGCTCTTGTCTTTGATCTCAAGCCGTTCGGGACGAGATGAATTGTCAATGAATCGGTTCCATGAGTGACCATCACTCAGCCAAATCGTATCACTGATTGATCAGCGTTTTACTGATAGACTTTAACAATCGATTCATCGGACGAAAAAACTAGTTGATGTAAAACCGAATTGATATGTCATAATCCAATAAAGACAGTGAATGATGTTAAAATATGTGAAAATTCTTTAATAATGATAGTTTATTGAATAAATTAGTTATCAATTCAAAAATAACCGTATCATTGTTGTTCGTATTAGCTGGTAATTTTTAGTTAAAATCTAACTTATCTACTTTGTTTTCTTTTTTATCCATTACAACCATTTGCTGTGTGCAGTGAATTAAGTATTTCACCAAATCATTCAATTGAAAAATTGGGTGCAGTTGACGATTGGCTTGTTTCATCTGAAGTGAATGAAATAAATTTGACTAGAAATGATAATGATTTGCCCAGATTATCTGTTGTAAGAATATCATCTGAAGAATGTATTGACGTAGAACAATCTCCTGAGTTATCAATTAAGCATCACCATCAGTTGAAGAATACAAATGATCATGATGAAAGCAACGATAATAATAATAATGGATGGAGTAATACTGAAAATAAAGTGAATTCATCAATTCGTTCAAATTGTCTATCACCTAGTACATGTCTTTCTTATTCATGTTCTTTGACTAACAATGATAATAGTGGTTAGTGATAGTACGATTTTTATTATTTTCACATGTGTGTAATATTATTAATAATAGTCGTTTTGTTTAGTAGGTAAATTCCCAGCAGTTGCTATTTGTCCACATATTATTCGCAAAATGTTCCTATCTATATTTAATGTATGTAAGATGAATGCAGCCGACATGCCACTTTGGACTAGACGGCACCCAACATCAAGATATGCCTTTAGGCTTGATAAAAATAATGCTCCCTGACGGATTTGGTCCTGTATCATCCAACCTCAGTATCTAAGGTGTTATGCCTTAGCTGCAAGTTCGATCACCACTGAGGACTAGATAAACACGTCTTTTGTCATCACTCAGTGATATATATATATATATATATATATATATATATATATATATATATAATTGGTAAGGGAAATTAGTGTAAGGGGTAGAAGTTGAAAATTGCCATAATTATATTCATATACTGTAAAGTCGTTGAGTAAATGCTTTTCTTGATTGCATGTTTTATTAACTAATCAAATTGACAAAAGATAATCCCTCAAACAACTGGGTTCAAGTCAGAATGTATTCATCTCGTAAATAGCATGTTGTCATTACTATTATTATCCATATATTGAATCGAAATCTAACAGTTTGTGTTTTACTACCTTAAATTGTAAATCACTCATCTGTCTGCATTCGAGTAAGAAGCATTTAATGACGGGTCATATGTTCTGAATACTGCTAATACACTATTGTTTGATTTCCGGTATCTCTCAGTGCTCCTACTGAAAAGAAGGCCATTAGATTGGGACGCACTTGACTATTTCATAAACGTGACAACGAAAAAAGGTCTGTCTCAGTTTGAAAACTCGATCTTGTCACATTTACGATTTTGGAACATTTTCAGTGCCTGAAGCTAGAGCGATTATATCAGTTAAAACCCATTACAATAAGGTTGTTGCAAGAGATATATTTTGATATTTAAAAAGTGAAAAGAATAATTGTTACAGTAAATATGAGAACTTACATATGACCTATTTAATGTAACAGAAGATTCTGTTTGCGGAGATTGTTGAATTTCATTGTTTACATCTTGAATTGATCTTAGGTAAACAACCATTACTTACTCATTATTTTTAGTTGTATAGACGAGATATTTGGCTGCTACAATACTTATCGAATTACTATCATTGACATGATCCTTTCATTGTTGCATCATTTACTTTTTGTTGTTCTTTTTTGTCATACTTTGTCGATAAATGTGAAATTAATTCACAGCATTAACCGTAAATGTTTACATGTATGTATTTTTAAAAAACAAATAAAATAATTTGGTGTAGGTTCGCAATGTGACCAACAAATGACTGAACAAGATATGTGGTGTAATCAACTGTTAGATTCTATATCGAATTTATCATCGAACGTATTCTCCTGTTCATCATCTCATGATAATAATAGTAATACATTGGATCAAATTATTCATAAAGCTATAATTACACAACAAAATTCCAAAGGCTCTATACAACCTTTCAATGCGTGTACCTATACAATAATTGCTGATTTACTTGGTTCCTATCCTTTTTCGCGTTCAATACGAACTAAAATACAATCTGTATTTCTTTACTTTCAATTAGATGAAGTAAGTGTATTGATAAGTGTTTTTTTAAACATGTGAATCTGTGTGAGGATTTGTGGAATTTGTAGTATTTTCACAGTTGAATTCACGAGTCGATTTAAGCTAGATCACCACTGAAAACTTGTAAGCACTGGACGGCCCTTTTGTCTTTGTATGGAACTCTACAGCAATGCGCGTCGACGGTCCTGCGTACTCTTAGATCGACTGCATCTCCTTACGTTGCTCCACTGCCTTGCGGGTCAGACCTTTAGGTAAAGGCCCAGGGTGGGGTCCCTAAGAAAACCATCTGCTTCGGTTTGGGCACCCGGGCAGTTTCACAGCCCACACACAGAATGAAATGACAATATTTACGAATAAATGGATAATTCAGGTTCTCTATTCAATGTCTAAATAGTTGTCCCGTTCTTCATTAGACAGCGTTGAAAGGTGATGGGTTTAGTTTTATTTAAAGTGGTGTACAAACAATAATAAACTGTTTAAAACTAAAGTGCGACACTTTCTGTACTTTTGTGATAGATGTAATTTTTTGATAGAAATGATTCCCAAATTTATCTTCGTTAAATGCCCTATTTTTTCTAGGCCATATGATATTTACTACTGATATTTTATAGGCGGTTGAGAATGAAGTATGTGGATTAGTGATCGAAAAACTATTTCACTAATATGGTTTATAATTATTTCTCTTGCATTACACTATTGATGTTCCATGTCGGTTAGATTTCGTTCGGAAGTCGTATGAACAATCCTTGAGAAACATACTCTTTGAAAGATTGTGATATATAACGTATGGTTTAAAATATTTTTCTTTATCTCTCAAGTATGCTACGATAATGCGTTAATACGATGATGAAACTGGTCACGTTATGTTCAGATCCAGGATTCGTGATTCCAAAATAGAGAACCAGAGTATAGACTAAACAATACTTTATTCAACACAGCTGCAAGCAGTCACCCTCAGTGAGTCCGAAGTATAGATCAACGAGAGGAAAGGAAATCACATACTTAATAGTCAGTAGTCCGAGTGCCTGTTTGTCCACGCTCAACAATCAATCACATTTTATTTTCACTATCACATATCAGATTGGAATTCACATTATCTCACAGACATTGCCACTAAGATAAGTGTTCACATTGCTGTTACTCCTTTTTGACGGGTTCAAACGAACGTGAACTTTTACGTTTCATGGGAATTTCTGTCTATTAGTTATAGCACCAAAAAATATACACTACGATGTTTATTCTCTTAGACTGTTAGCCACGCATTGTGCAAAGTGACCGAATGTATTCCATTAGCACTTAGAACTCAGTAACGAGGACTACTCAAACGATTCTATCTTGTTATTAATTTGAATATCTTGGAATTTATGTACATTTATATGCCGTATTTTTCTTTCCAATTCGTTTAGCTTATGGTCGACGCAAATAATTCTTTAATTGAAGTCGAGAAATATTTGAAATCAGAATCAAAATTTACTGAATAATGCATCACTTCCCGTTTATGTATGTATATCAACGTGATTCATATTTCTTTTCTTGCTTTGCGTGGATAAACTGTACATCGTGTGTACTGTTGTATATTTCTTTTAAATTTTCATCGCATGAGATCAATTTATCTGTTTTGTTGTATAATTAAATTTATCTCGAAGACCGTCTTTAGACACTGTCCTTCAATTTTGTTGTACGTTTTATCATATGTAAACAGGAGCATATATGTTTTACACCAAAATATATTCTAAAGGAAAATGGTAGGGATAGCGAACTTTTCACTTTATATATTGTTTATTCCATTTTCTATTTCATTATGTTTGCTAGACAGTTAATTTGTACGAAACTACTGGAAACAGGATTGCGAAGTTGCTTTTCAGGTGAAAGATATAAGGAGGAAGCGAATTAGAAGCAAGATTTGTGAGAGTAAGTTTGAAATGAATTATCAATTGAAAACTGAGTGATTCTTTGTTAATGTGAATACGTTTCATCATAGTAATAATGTGCATAATCGATTCATATAGAAACAAATATGTGTATTTACACACACACATGTGCCTCTCTGTCCACATAAAAGAAATGACCCTATTTGCCTTCTGTGAACCTTTATTTATTCACCCTCATTCTCGACTTCTATTTTTTCTCTTTCGAGCAACTTATATCTCTAAACACTTAGTGGGCAAAGAGAGAAATGTAGATCTTTTTGGAAACTCCACATTTTATTTGTCCTCTCACTTGTGTATTCAAAAAATCTCTGTATTTTTTATTCTCCTACCTTTCCTTGTATGTTTTTTATACGTGTAAATAATTGTATGCACCCAACATATTTGTCTTTTCTTCCGTATTAAACAAAACTCTTCTTATATCCCACTACTAATGTTACTTGATTATTAAAAAAAACGATTTCTTTCTTGCACATATGTGTTGTGCATGTATAGTAATTCTTTAAATGTCGTCTATGCACACATTTTGATAAATTTCTCCCTTCTAAAATGTGCATATATCCATTCACCTTGTCTTTAATAGAGTTTTACGCCATTTGTATGCGTGGATGTGCTTTTGTGATGCGATTAACAAAGTGTTCCCCTCTCACTGTCTTTTCTGTTTTATATTAATTATTCATGTTTGTCAATATTTTTTATGTATATGACTTTGCAATAAAAATTTTTTAAAGGAGAGAAAAAAAAATGAAATCGAAAGAGGTTGTGTAATCATACAATATTAATAAAATCATAGTAATAAATTCCTTGAATGCATTAACTGTTTTCTTTATATAAAGTGGGGTAGCTATTATCTCTATTTAACAGTTATTTGCTTAGAATCAGTCACAATAGAATACGTCCATTCGCACAACATAGCATAAGCGATCGAAGCCCTTAGCATCATGACGAGAAATCAAGGAAGATTTAACTCAGTTCATAAATAATTCCAACATGTATAATATTTATTAGCGAAATTTATCAAACTGAAAGTTATATAATATACCCTTGTGGGTCAGGGTCATTTTACATTGGTTTTCAGGAGAACCAGACTTTCACGTGACAACCCAAACAGTACAGCTCAATCCCGTTTAACAGGAGACCCAGATACCACCCGGGCTTAAAATTTGTAGTCCATATATATCAAACGACAACATTAAAGTTCGTCACTCAACGAACAGTAGGGAAAATTCTGCGAACAGATAATAAACATTCATTAAAGCAAGAATTTGATTGGTTACAATGAATTGTCAGTGTGGGGTTGTGGAGATTGTTTAAGGCTAACCATGAGATTTGATGGTCCAGTCACCTGTAAGATAGTGGATACACAGTGTTGACGAATCCTATACGTTGATAAAACAGCTGCCTAGTTATTCTTGGTTTGCAGCGGTTGTTTAACTAAGTTCAGTCCGTGATGTAAACTTTAAGATTCAACCTTACTCATGATTTTCACACTTGCGTTGATATCAAATATTTTAATAACATTAATTTTCCCTCTTCAATGTCACTAAGATACTGTCACTAAACCAATTAAAAATTAGTGAAGAATTTTGTAATCTAATAGCAGCTAAAACATTTGAGGCTTCTTACTTAAGAGAAACGTACAATTATTTATTTTTAGTTATAATTGACCAAAGTTATTTTCAGTTCTATCGCTTTTTCACATGCTGAATATTCCCATCTTATTGGGGTTCACTTACGTCTTAAACAGTTCAGAGGTGAAATGTTTTTTTATGATAGTGAGTGATATGTTTTAAAATCTTGTAGGGTTCATAGTTTCTTACGCGATTGTAGATACACCTTAGCAATTAGTAACAAACAGAATGAAATCTGAATTTAAATCTTTCTGCGTATAGCTTTTCTTAGAATGTAAAACTCAAATTCATATTTTGGTTGAATTGTATTTACGACCGGTTGATTTCATAAGGTGAATAATTCGAAATTTTATTATTTTTCAGTTAAAAGATAGGCATCAAAGTCATTCGTTAATTCACAATGGAATATAATTTAAAAGAAGGTTTGAATCCCCAGCCTTTGAATTACTTATTTAGAGACTTTTAACTCAACAGCTGACTAGTACTTTAAACACAGAAGCCAGATATAACAAATTAAAATTCACAGAATGAATCACATGATGTTAGTGTTACTTGTGAACAAACAAACAGACTAGGTGTAATAGATTTCTACTTTTTAAGTCACTGTCATTTGCTGAGGACATTATATTTTCACCTCTTACTGTTGTATAATAGTATAAGGTTGTGGAGATTGCTGAAAATAATTGAAATCATGAACAGATCAATGTTAGAAAACTATTAAAAACCTGGAGGCACTGGACGGTCGTTTTGTCATAGAGTGGGACTCCTCAAGAGTGCGGCTCCACGTGGTACTTAAGCCCATCACCTATCTCGGTCGAGAATCCTTTACCTTTAGGCCACTGAGCCGGCAACCAAGTGTTGAGGTCTAACCTCAGTCAATCCACGAGATTACACGACCATTTTCCATTGTCTTCGATGAATAACTGTTTCACACCCAACACGGTTACACTCCACTGGTTACGGTTTTTGATTAAAAATCAGAGGATTCTTTTTCAAGGCCAGTTACTTGTGAGCACACTATAATTGCCAGTATAAGGTTATGGAGTTCCATATATGTATTACAATGTGTTATTGTTTCAAGTACCTGTGTTTAAATCACTAGATCACCGGCTTAAGTCCCAAGACCACTAACTTCGCTTTAGTCGACGGGTTTCACCATCCCTTATACATAGTGTAATGCAAAGCAGAATATAATATTGTATGCTCCATTTATAAATCATATTTAGGAGCAATAATATAATGCAATCAACTTTCCTTAATAAAACCGTAAAGTGTTATTTCCTAAACAAAACTTTAGTAGGTTCGTAGCTATACTTCATTCAGTAGCTTAAGATGGTGAACACCAAGATCTGTTGACAGTTATATAGGGTGTGTGGATGTAAGAAGGATATGGTAATAAGCTGGATATAAATACTGATTCTGACAAAAATATTTCAGCAACGATTCATCATTGAAAAATTATAAATTTTACTTCACAGATTCAATCATTTCATCTTTCTCCACTTGGAAAAATTTGAAATGTACATTGATTTCTATAGTTTAGCAAGTTCGTGTAGGTTAATATGTAGACTAAATATAAAAATAACCAAAGTCCGCCAACTGCCTACAGTATAGTACGATTGCTTTTGAAGCTAATTTGATGTTTGATTATGTATATGATGACAAGTGTTTCATAACCTATAATTTATTTTCACCTAAGAAGCGATTTCATCGGCTGATTTTTTATGAATATCTTTCACATTGATGAAATAATGGTTTAGTGAAGATTTTCAATTGATCCATCTCAACTCATCTAGTTCAAATGAACAATGATGCTAACACGAAATAGTTATTTTCAATCATCTACCTTGTTATCGGTAGTTTGTCTGAGAAGATTAAGATTAAAATCATCGAATTAAGAAAAGCAATCACCTTCAGAAATAAATTTTTAAAGCAATTTTCGGAATTAGAAGGTTCATCCTCTTCCTTTAACTTGATGGACCTCAGATCCGACGATCTAATGATCACATCCCTAGTATAAAAATAACCTAATATGGCTTATGTATATACCCCTTACCCAGATGTTTGGGCTTGGATTGTGATGCAGTTTGATGACATGTGAAGTGTGTCCTATAAAATTCTGACGTCTCGTCCCAATTTTTTTCCATCTGGTAGCTGTCTGCGTCTGACCAGTGGGTCTAAAGTATTTGTTCTAGGCAGCTGCTAATAAATGCACACACGTTTTTGGTTCCGTTTGTTTCAGTTATCTGTATTTATCTCGATTATTATTGTCATGTTTTCATTTAAATTAATGCCTAATAACTATTAAAATCGACGAGAATTTATTAAATGAGATATTAAAGTATGAATGAAGTTTTTGTGAATTTATTTAATTTCTAAGTGGTATTCATCATGAATTTCCGTCACCATTGCAAACTAGGAGAAACAGAACATCTGTTAAACGTTCACTGTTAAACCTTAAGGTTCCGGATCCAATACATAGTACGATCATGGTGAATAATACTGAGGATCCCTTATATATATATATATATACAAATTAGAAATGAATTTTCTTCACGTATCTCAATATAATGAAATCACTGAACATTTATGCTTCATATTGATATTGGTATCAGTAATTTAACTAATGACAAACTATCCATTACAAATAACGTCAAGTTTAGTTCATGGACAAGCAATAGACAGACAGAAGTTTCTGAGTAGTAGCAAATAACTTTCATATAGTTACAGTCATCGTTTTATAATGACTGTTTTTTAACTTGATAAATTTACGATAAAGATTCTATATCGAGAATCATGTTTCATGACAATGTAAAGTTAGAATGATTAAGCAATGTATCCAACTGATCAGTCTCTTCTTTCACATGTTGCAGGATTTCTTTTCGAATGGAAAATCTAGATTTCATATGCACTGTTTCTGTGATTGGATCGTAAATTGGAAATGTTGATTTTGTAGATGAATTTATGTAGTTTCTAAAAAACAAATGAAAAAGAATGATGAAACGATTTGTAATGATCGTTAGAAAAATTAAAAAAATGTTTGTTGTATAGTTGTTACTTAATCATGAACTGTTTAAATTTAACTGATAACTATTATTTGTAGCACTTCGTTTATCTGTATAATCATTAATAAATTGACGTAACTTGATAGGTTTATTTGGATTTAGACCAATGCATGTCTACCATAGTATTAGAAAGACTAGTTGGTTAAGCGCCTGGCGCGAGACTAATAGGTCCTGGGTTCGGATCTCGCAGGGTGCGGGATCGTGGATGCGCTTTGCTGGGGAGTCCCATACTTGGACGAAACGGCCGTCTAGTGCTTCCGGGTTTTCCATGATGGCCTAGCTTCAATTGACTCATGATTTCAATCAGTGATATTAGAAAGACTGACGTATATATATATACTATCCAGATGTCTGTTTAATTAGAAACAATAAGTTATACGTTCAATTATTGAGAGATACGATTATTTATAGTAGGTTACCGTCTAAACTACTCAATATCAATAAAGTAAAATCACGCCTTATAAAAGTGATGAAATATTTATTAGCTAGAAGTATTACTTTTCAGTTTTGGCTGTTGTTATTAGACCAATTTATTCGTAAGTCACCTGATATTGTCTCAGTCAATTTTATTACTCATTTACAACCTTCATCTTTTAAATTAATTCAACTTCACATTATTTAGGATAACAAGCTTTTATTAGTCAGATATGGAGGACCTTATGCTTCTTGTATCTTTCATTAAAGTGAACAGATAACATTCAACCGAAAATTGATTCGTTAAGTATTAATGTTCAAGCTATAAGACTTCATATTATTAATTTATTGGTTTCTATTTCAAATACAGCCAGTGTTCTTTATGTACAAAACATCCTATTATGCTTGCAATATATTTTAATTTATAACCATTAGGTTCTCTTATTCTGTTTCAACAGTTCGTCTAATCTCATCAAAATTAGTAGTATTTACTATGGATGATTTTTCTATGTCTATTAGTTTTGAAACTAATTACACAATCATACAGAAGTCTTTTTTTCTGTTCAGTAATTCATATCATTCTTCTCAGAAATGTAGTGATAAAGACTGGGGTTTCTAGATGATTAATTTCATTTGACAAAAAAGATATCATTATTGTTAGAGATCTAAATGTAGATGAAAACAAATTGACCACTATTGACTTGACTCGTTTGTTTTTAAAATAAATCATGTTAGTATAAAACATCAAAACTATGAAATAAAATAGTAAGCTAATTTTTTTCAATTTTAATAGTTGAGATCATTCGTCACTTGTAGCTAGACGACCATGGAAAACCTGGAAGAACTGGATAGCCGTTTCGTCCTATTGTGGGACTTCTTAGCAGTGCGCATCCACGATCATTGATTAGAGGACTCACAATAGGACGAAACGGCCATCCAGTGCTTCCAGGTTTTCCATGGTGGTCTAGCTTGAATTGACTCATGATTTCAACTATTAAAATTACTATTATATCCACAAAACTTCTCCTGATACTAAATTTTTTCAAGTCAAGAGATTGGTTTACTGATCCATTATTAGTGGGTTATCCAAGTTGATTTACCGCGAATATTTTCTGTTTTCACGTTGTATTTTATTACAAATGAATCTTAAAACTCTTTATTTGAGTGATGATAATAAAAAGTAAGTAGTTTATCAATTATTATTTTAGGGTGGTAAGTTTTCCAGGTACATGATCTTATACTCTTGACTTCAATCCATACTGTTACATAGTTTGAATAATACCTTTGCTTAATTATTCTTGTTGTAGACAGTCTAACTTGTAATAAAAAGTTTTTCTGATTGATGGTCATATCGTCTTAAATGTAAAATTGTATGTACACTTATGGAGTCGAAAATAACTTTTCAGTATGACATGTTCTATGGGAATAAATAGAAAAATAATGCACTTCAGTGGTATAATTCACTATAACAATCTTGTCATTACCATAACTCGGTTCAGCTACACAATTCATAGAATTATTTGTTTAGCCTTGTTTATTCATTGAATATTTGTAAAAAATTAGTACAATCATTCAGTCTGTCATTAAGTGAAAAATTTCCTCATGCTATCTACAATAATAATTATCATGTTCTCACTAATAACTAAATTTGACATTGATTCCTGGATTTCTAGTGAAAAGCCATGACCGGTGGAGTTCAGAAATTTATAGGAATCTGTCAGGTATCACAAAAAGCAATATCTGAGATCAACAAAAATTAGAAAGCAGAATCACTAAACCCCGATTCAATAGTCTAAAACTTAAGAGACCTCTAATAAACTAGTAGGTCTTCTTCACATTCTATGACAATGTTGTCGGTGAGCGCCAAGTTAGTGTACAACATCAGCATCAAAGCAGATGTTACATTTACATGACCCAAAAAGAGACTGAAACATTCAACCTGTATGGAGAATGTATGTATTAACAGAAATATTGAATGATGCATTGTTAAGTGACTTGAAAGAAATAAACTAACCCTGAAGAAGTCCAGACAAGTTAGCTGGACGAAACGTTGGAATTAGTTAAATTTCAATCGCTGAGACTATTTCAAATATAATTTTCACATATAATAACTTGTTTATAATTATTATTTATTGATTTTATCAACAGGAAGTCATTAAAGTTCGTTTTATGGTTTCCAGCATCTACAGACCTAATGACCTAAAGAGCTATTCATACTCAATATAAGTCGCTCTACAATTATTCCTTCGGTTCATGACAACATTTCAATTCCAAATTGAGCTAAACCACAGAAAGTCAAACCTTTCTACAAAAGAGAAGGTTTGAAAAACCTGACACGTCAAAGAAACATACTACTTATAAGTGGTATCATATTCATCACTAGACTGTTTATCATTATAATGACCTCTCGATAGATCGTTTTAAAAAGAAAATCAAATAAGAACAAACCGAAGTTCCCGTTTCATTGATTCGATAGATTCAGTTACAAAGTAAACTTTTTGATAACCAAAATCATCGTATACTTGTACTGCCGCATTATTTATATCAAAAGGTTGTTTCACGGAGTGGTCACTAAATACATTTTCCAATTCACCATATGATGACATAATTCCAGCACCTAGTGCACGTGTTTCTCCATTTTCATTACATAAGCCGAATTCAACAGTAAACCAGTATAACTATAATAAAAAAGATAAGTTTATTTTCAAACAGGTATTGATTTCGAATGATTGTTCAAAAGTATGTTACATTTTCCCATCTTCTGACAGAAGGATTGGACGTGATAAAAAGCTATTCTAACTGTGGAAAGTTCGGCTTCTCAACTAATTTTCTATTTTCTTTAGCATCCTCATTTAGACTTTACCCAAGCATTATGCTTTTATGGACATCATTTTACTTTGTAGATGAATTTTTTGCTACGAGCTGATATTAATTACAGAACTAATTAGAAACCGGAAAACACTGAATAGTTATTCCATTCTAGTTCAGGACACGATAATACTTGATAGAGTCGAACCCTCAGAGGTTATAATGGTCACAGTATCTTTACACAGTTGAGTTAGAATCTAACAGTTCATATCTTCAACTTTGATAAACCCGAAATAAAAGGCGATTCTTTTTTATTGCTATCAGTTATATCTGACTCATGATCAACATGGTCGCCAGTGGTTCGTACATTTTGTGATAATTTTCAAGTTTAATATTAATACCAGTCGCTAATGCGATCAGAACTAGAAATTGAATTAGATGTTTGTGAGCTGACTAGTTTTTGCCCATAGAAGGATTCGTTGACTGTAGAATAATATTACAAAATAAACTATAGTATAATATATAGTCTGCTTAGTTAATTATAACTATCAAAAGGTACCAATCTCGTCACACAAACATAATGTTCAGGATTCCTTAATTAGGATAAAATAGTTCTCTGATGATTTTTTAGTTATAAGTGATTCTTCAATCGGTATCACTTCATAGCGACAAATACATTTTTGTACAATATATGCTTTGTACAATATACTAATGTACTTTAGAAAATACTTCTTGTTGCATAATTGGATTTGACTGCGTTATGTGAAGTGACGTGTAAATAATGAATTTATACTGTATACTAGTGATGATGATAAAGTAACAAACTCGAAAACTTAAGACTTTTGAGTTTGATACCAGTCATTCTTACAATCTACTCAGCAAAAAGACTAAAAGATGTGTGAAAAAAATTGAAAATAAAAAATATGCTTTTTAGATAAATACCTTCCCATCAGAACAGAAGTAAAAAACGAGATAAACTATGTTATAGCATTATTTTTGTTCCAGTTTGAAAGAAATGAGAATTTTTTCTTCTTATTAAGTTGCCCTTTTTACTGTCAGTTACTTATGACTTCATTGTTGTGATGGATTCTGAGGTTTTGTTTGCGGAATATTTATCGCTCGTTTTGTTTATTTCAGACTAGTTTATTAGGTGGATGTTAATTACCTTATTTTGTACATATGAAATGGCTATTGAGAAGTTCAACAAAATGTTTATTTCTACTCTTGATAGAAGAGTAATAATTCACTTATAATCATGAAGATTTCATCTACAACGTAAAACATCTCGCACAGACTGGTTAGTCAGTCTTACGCAATAGAAAACCTGGCTCATGTATACATCCGTTTACGTTGCCACAACCTATTAGCACAACCAGATTAAACTGTCAAGACAAATCCCCGAGAAGTAGAGGTAGCAACAGTACTAGTGGTAATGGAAAAAAGGATTCTAGGATAAAATATGGATATGGGGGATAAAAAGTTAATAACAATTTAGAAACTTCGGATCTAAAGAAAGACAGTAATACATCTGCCTCATTGCGACTGCTTCTGAGCCACCTCACTCATTATAGCCAACGATTAATTACGACAGTCACGTGAACCCTAAACAGGTAGTTTATACATAATAAACACAGCCCAGTCCAGCAGTCAACGCTGTAATTGACTCATAACAAGTTTCCTTTTGGCCATCCCTAGCTCTCTTTCAACAAACTCCTACACTAGCAAATAACACTCTTCCACTGTGGTTTGACTCACATAATACGTATCCCAATCACTACAATCGATGGACATTCCTTACTTCACCAACCGACTTTCCATCTTTACTTAGTATCCTGAGTCCAATTTCACCATTTCTCACTCGGTGATCCCAACACGCGAGCAACGTTCTGAGGTTATTTTTGAACAAACTCTAATGACCTACGAACATTCTCTGTTTTTAAAGACCACGCTTCATAACTATAAGGTAGAATGGACCGAACGTCCGTGAATAATACTCGCCATTTGATTGGCAGACGGACATATCGTGCACTTCACAGGTGATGCAGCTTGTCGAAAATCCGGTGAGCTTTCTGAATCCGTGCCAAGATCACGTCAAACACCGATCAACCGATCTTCCAAAGATAAATGACGTTAACAACGCGCTCAACAACTTTACCCTCTGTCATTATTTCAGGCATTAGCAATGTCCTGTAGGAATAATTTGGGTTTTGAGAAAAAGAAGACCGTCCCGAAAATGCTTGTAATATTGGTTAAGATGATCAGACAACTCTGCATCTTGTCAATGCCCTCACTAAAAATACTGTATTACTTGCATGTTCTAAGTTGACAAGTGAATTTCTTCGTAAGAGGTCATTCCTGAAAATTCAGACGATGAGATTGTTATCTCTGAGCGAATGTCTATGACGAAGTCAAATAAAAATAGTGAAACCGAACAGCCCTGACGAACACTACTCAAGGTGGTGATTGTACTGGAGTTTCGTTCAGCGAACAGGACCATTAAGCCCGCCACTCAAGATTGACAATCCTGATGTCAGTTCTCCAGAAGCTAATCCTCAGTCAGTAGTGTCCAAACAAAGGTCTACGAGGTTAAAATACTTCTTCGGTACGCTTCTCCGTGAGAAAACATAGTCGTATAACCTGTCGACCTAGGAAATCGTAAGCTACATTAGTGTCAAGAAACACTATTATGGTTGGAGATTGGTAGGTTTGTCTGTGTTCCACAACATGACGAATGGTGAAAGTCTGTCTGAACGTCCATCCATGTTTGATCTTCACAAGTCTCAGTTAGGCGTTGAAGGATTCTGGAGACAATATTTTTGACACTATATTAGCTGAACTTATTTTTCTGTAGTTAACACAAAAGGAGTCTTTTTTCTTTCTTACAGACTAGAATAACCATGTATCGACACAAGTTAAGTGGGATCATGTTCACTTCCCAGACTCTAGCCAAATATTTTAGCCGATCTATTAGCTAAAACGGGATCATCACTCTTTAAGATCTCAGATTTTAACCCATCAAACTCTAATCGTTTTTTATCACTGAATATTAACTAAGGTTATATTTACAGATAGATAGAACTCGATCAACACTAACGAGTAGACATATATGATCTCGAGAACTATTCTGTAAGTAATCAGTTGTTAGTATACCAATCAATCATAAGGGGAGTAATTCTATAGTTTTGATGCAGAGTAACATAGGTTTGAACCTAACAGACAGAATCACTTCCGTTAAGATATAAAAAATCCTCAGTTAGTTACGGTCATCTGGTACGAAACGTAAATTTAGGGATTTATCTAAACACTGAACAATAAAATATTACGAAACATTCATTAAATTAATCTACTTACTGTTGATAGTCTCATAATTTCTTCTTCAGAAGCTCCTAAAGATGCTAAACCTAGTTCTTGAGAAAAGTCAGCAAATTTTCTATTTACTAACATAGGCATATGACCAATGAGTTCGTGAATGCAATCCCTAAATTGATAACAAATGATGCAAGTTATTTAATTTTATAAAACCATGCATTTATAAAAACAATTGGTAGATGAATGCCTTATCGCGTGCGAAAACGAAGGTGTTGGGTTCGAATTTCACGTGTGGGATCGTGGACGCGTACAGCTGAGGAGTCTCATACTGGGATGAAATAGCCGTCCTGTGCTTCCAGGTTTTCAATGGTAGTCTATCATTGATCGGTTCATGATTTCAATGGAATATCATAAGAGTTGCCATATTCTTGCTTCTATTTCAATAAAACCTTTTTGGAACCACGGTGTCATTTATAAAGCAGATTCTTATTTTACACCGATGTTTTATTGTTATCTACTCACTACATTAGAACATCTAGTGTCTGTTTGTAATAAGCTATATTTTGAATAATATACTATTCTTACAAAAGAACCTACCGTTATTATCACTAAGAGCTTAGCCTTTATGAAGATTTTAAAATATTTATCAAACAAAAACTGGTCGTCACTACTTGTAGTATGAAAGAATTAAATTTCATCAAAAAAGTTATTTTGTTTGCAAAACTTTTGAGAACGATTAAGATTAATGTATCACTATTGTCTGTGAAATAACTATTAACAGGAACATGTGAGAATTCCCCATGCCCATCTAAATAAAGTTACTGTATTGAAACCAATCGTCTTGATTGTTTATACAGAAATTCCGTTTTCTGGACCTTACATTTCCATTTTGGTTAAATCTGTTCGTGTCAAGTCCCGTTGACTTGTGTCTACATTTATCGTGGTCTAGTGAAAGCCGATGAGGAGAGTAAGTAGAAATATGAGTGTTATCTGTTAGTATCATCAGTTTTCATATTTTCTTATATAATCTTTAAATTCTGAAAACAACTGTTATTGTGTGCAAGTGATTGGCTCTTGCAATGGTTAGCAATGTAGTTGTTTATGTGTAATTGTTTGTTTATATTTGGTCTTGGTTTTGTGACAGAAATGTTAAATAGTCTGTATTCTGAATATTGGCCAGCAGAATAACGATTGATTGACTACCATTAAATTTGTCAGTAATATTTTCTGAAATTTGTATTTACAATTATAATTCATTTAAATATTGCTAATGTAAACTTACGGTTCTGGTGTATGCATAGGACGTGAATGATGACGTATATATTGAGTACATTGGAATACTCTAAACGCTAAACTTGCCAAGAAATCTCTTGGTGAAACTAAACCAGCAACAGGTCGAATACGAAATCCTGAAGTACCTACAAGGGAAAAATAAATTATCCAATTTAACAAAATTGAAAATTCTCATAAAAATAGATATGATTGCTGTTTAAAACAAATCAAATAAAGAATCTAATAACTTTCATTACTAGCAAGTAGCTTCGATGGTTTGGAATATATGTACACAATTCTAAATGTAAATGTCCAATGGTTTTAAAAAGAAACTATGAGAAATAAATTCATTTTGTATTGTCTGTTTGAAGTTTCCCGTTGATGTTTAGGACTGCAATTGATTAGTCTCTTATTGGCATATGTGCATCCTGTGAGAATTGCCTCGATATTGCTTTAATTCATAAGCATTATAAGCAAAGATAGATGGTGGCTAGCAGTGAAATCCAAGATGCGCGTTTTGTCCTATTTGAGAATCATCAGATGGATGTGCCTGCATCCCAAACATGATGTTGATAACTCAATGGCGTTTTAAGCGAACGGTACGAGATTCGAGTCTCGGAGTGAACACCGACTCTAGAATGCATGAACATTGAGCTGACGAGTCCAAAATGGAAAGAAATGCGCGTCCTTGCTTCCACTGCTAGACATCATCCATTTGTGCTTATTATGCGTAATACAGTCACGAAACTACACTTTTGGCTGAACAACTGGATTTTTTTATGCAGAATAACTGAAGATTGGTTAAACAAACTAACTACTCATTTAATCTCTCTTTACTCAAACTTACTGTAAATAGAGAAAATATAATAGTTATTTTGGACAGATATGATACACGATTCAAATTTCGACACAAAAATGAAAACTATTTAAGTTGAACTAGAGGTATCCTATGTAGACATTTTGACTTATTTCAGTATTTCGATAATGTAATAGGACGAAGATTATCGTCTTCTTATTACATTATCGGAATTTATCAAAGGGACTAATTGCTTTAAATTATTTCAGTATGTCTTTAACCTATCTTGAGTAGTTAGGAGAGCTATAAACAATCTGGTTGTTACTTGTCAGTAATGTTGAACTTAAACTTATGCCATCCATTAACATGATTCACTTAACTAGATAATTCGGTATTGAATATTATTATGTAATTAATCATGAAATAATTTCATTCAATGCGATTCCGAAATGATTCAACGTATTTGATATTAATTATGTCGTTGGTGTATCAGTGTGCATTGCAACAGAAACAGTGTAATTAATGTATTAATGATTACTCGAAATGAAACCTAAACTTTTGAATTAATTCTATCAGTTTTTCTGAGTATCACATTAGTATTAATATAATTTAGGAAAAACTAACCAAACAGTCGAAAATTTGTGAAAATTAGAAAATGAATAGCTCTGTTTAATCACTTTTGTTTGTTTAAACTAATTAATTCTTATGTATCAAAACTGTTTTACTTCATAATTTCAAGTAAACTGAGCATTTGGCGGAATGTTAGTCATAAGGTATAAAATGTTTCAATAGGCTCCTCTAAATCTATACCTTAATTTACGAGCGTTTTAGGTCCTACATCGGTTCTGATACGACAGTCATATATATAAAAAGGGATTTTTGTGGATATTATAGTAATTTCAATAGTTGAGATAATGAGCCAACTGAAACTAGACCACCATGGAAAACCTGGAATCACTGAACGGCCGTTTCGTCCTATCGTGAGACTCCTCAGCAGCGCGTATCCACGATGCCGCCTCGCGAAATTTGAACTCAGGACCTATCGATCTTGTGAGCGAACGCTTAACCTCTAGACCACTTAGCCGGCATCCAACGGTGTTAATGTTTGACTTCAACTAATCCACGAAATTGAGCGACACATCCACTATTGTCATCAATGAGTTACTATCTCACAAGACTTGGTTGAACTCCACTGGTTACTGCTTCTCATATATAAATGATAATTTATTATAGAAAAGCATGCCGCTCATGATATATGTGAATTCCATAATGATTAGGTCAACTTAATGACCATGAATTAAGTTCCACCCTCAAGAAACATATAAGATCAATTTATGTCTGTCAAGCTGTAAAGTAACGAAGCTAAGTATTTTCATCATGTTAATATTCTTTTAATCGTTAATTAGACGTCTTTTTTCTAAAAATATACAAATTTCCAGAACCAGTCTTAGGATAAATAAAATAAAATGGGAAACTTTTCCATTTACTTTTTGTTACAGTTTTGCAAAACTTACGGTGCATAAATTCGCAGATTGTTTGCAGTTGGGGTATGCTTTCAGAATTGTAATTACAATATTTTTCTAAGAGTTGAAATCCATCAATATATTCTCTGCATGCTCTTGAAGCATGAACAGCTTTCATTTTTGTGAAAACCAAGCCCCTATATTTGCAAAGTTTTAAAGCATATCAAGGTAAGTCAAAAGTTTATCATGATACTAGAAGAAGTTGTCACCAAAACATGAGATATAATTTCGTGTCATATGTTGTTTGTCTATGACAATGTCATTTTAGGAAAAAAACCATTTATTTAATGCAATTTTATGGCCACACCTTGTCAATTACGTCTTTACCGAAGATATTGAAAGCTTTCACTTAAACATTATTCACCCTTTATACGCTATAATAATTGTTGAGTATCACTGAAATCTCTTTAGATTAGTCGTTGTTAGTTTTTTCAATAATACGGAGAGGCCATTATTATCTTCAGTACAGATTATAACAAATTGATTTTCATGGTATCAAGTAGTTCTTAGACGATATTTCACATCAAGTAATGACAAATGAATAAATACTGAATTACAATGAAAGAAATATGATTTAATAACCTTATCAGGGTATGGTTCTTAATGAAATCACTATCTGAACAACAACTCCTCAAGTCCTTAGAATATTGGTTTATTATAAGGGTGTAATTTCGTTGAATCAAGCTTAATCAACAAAATTTCTGTGTGTGCAGTTGTCTACACTTACGTCTGTAATGTTAATTGAAGGCAGGATACATGTGTGCAAGTGAAAATTGTTCAGGTTTAAAATTTTTGATTAAATAACCGAAGTTGATAAATTAACATATGTCCTCTCTGTGCTTTTCCCATTTCGTTATAGTAATTTCTAATTAAACGATTTAAGGAAAGGAATTAATTTTGGAGATAATTTTTCCATGGATTTAATTATCTAAACATGCCCTGTTCATTGGAAACATAAAGGGTTATAAACTTCATTCTATGGACTTTAGTCAGTGGTCACTGTTGAGGAGTTTCAAATTAGAACGGAACACTTATATCAAAGCTTCTTGATCAGCCATCGTGTTTTATGTAACTTCAATTTACGATAAGAGCTTGAATTTAAGAAGTTCAAATTACACAGTCTTATCAATTTTTTTAAAAAATCACGAAACAAAGACATACTGAGCCATTCTTCTCAATCCTTTTTTCAACAGATGTCATATTTTGATAAATTGTGACTATGACGAATTCGTTATATTGTTTTACTTTTCCTTCAGCCACATACAAGCTAATACGTTTAATTATTTCCAAATACTGACATACTTTAGAGTTTTAGAAAACGAACTGCCTTTCAATAAAACGCTTACAGGGGGCATTTATAGATGTTTGAAGTGACATTTTAGAGTATTTGAGATTATTTTATGAATGTAATGAAACGGAGGAGTCTCAGAAATAAAAGGACATTTAAGTTGAAATGATGGTTATAATTAATTAAAGAATGAAGAATTTAAAGTATCGGTATGTTTACCTAAGCAGCTGAAAGTTAACTACTAGTTTTATTTCAAAAACAAAGATCAGAGTGAGACTATAATTTATAGACGACCTTTGAGCTTCAATAAAGCGGCCTTGAGAATGTCCACTTACCTGCTAGCACTAAATGATAGTTATTAATATTTGTGAAAAGTAAGGATCATGATTTACAATTGATGGTTAGGGTTAGGAATTAGATTTAAATTTTTCATCAAAAACTGACAATGGCTAAAATACCATGATGCTCTTTAGCCAAACGGATGAATGAATTTCGCACTAAAATCCAAGACTTGTTATCTTAAACCCGTTTTGGTTCGTCCAAAAATTAGAGTTTCACTAAGATGAGATTTGGGCCTTTTAGTCTCAGTCACTTCCTCGAATTTGAATAAGATAAAGTTAGATTATATAGTGATTAGTCTGAATTCGTTTACTATATCCACCTAAAGTGCCTTATCCATCTGGTAGAGCAATATCAAACGAAGAAAACTACTTTATCTTCAGATACATACATATTTCGAATTATTTTCAATAAAATATACAGTAACCTGTCTTTTTATACTTTCAATGTGCATGGTTTTGCATGTACATCTAAACTAGTATGTGCAAATAACCTCTGTTTGTGTTACTGGGTACTATATATATTATTATGTCACATATATTTTTATTTTTATAAATAGTCGTAATTGTTCATAATTTTCTACTGTTGATGTTCTAAATTGAACCATATTACAGTTATTCTCAGCACCAGGAGGTACATATACCTATGCGATCACAGTTTATATAAAACATGCACACTAAGCTGCACAGTCAGTCATCTATCAAAATCCAGTCAGCTTGTAAATGTAAACAGTAACGTGTTATCCACTTCTAAGGCATTTTATATCAACAAAAATTAGCTTAATTCAGTCATGAAATTGATTGTACCAATGATAAACTGATTGATTAGAAAAAAAAACCATTTAAATAACAGGCTCGTTACTATACCATATTAAATATGCACACTGTTTTGCAACTATACCCATAAAAATAATCTTCTAAGTGAATCATATAAATTAAGCTGGTGAGCGACAAACGCCGTTTACAGTAGACAATTATTAACCATTAAAACCTTGATCTAAAGACTACTGGAACAGACCTCCAAACACCAGACATGCAATAAAATTTGAAGATACATGGCAGAGTGAAATTATTTGAAAAATAAATGGAATTAAACTGAGTAGTTTTTAGCAATCTTATATTTTAATTAGTTTATTCATCTTGGTGATTAATTACACCTCAAAATTCTTAATGAGTCACGATAAGTCCACTTGAAATTTCAAAGAGTCCATCAAAATACACTACTTTTTCACCTATTACAACACCATTTTCTTGAGATAACCGGTTATTTGAATAAATTCTTAATTTACTTTTGTGCAATTTTCAAGTGATGATAATAACTACTATTAAATGATATCAACTGAAACTTTCTTTATATTCGGTTTAAAGAAAATAAACTAACTATCATTAATACACATCTATAGTTTTATATTCCTTTCTATTTCACTGAAATAACTAATGGTACATTACTTTGTTAATTATTAAGATTTCAAGTGTTATGATTACTATCATTATTTTTGTTTCAAATTTCTTATGTTTGTGTGTTGATATTTCATTAAAAACAAAGCTGATGCTCACCAAGTTTCAATTTCTTCTTTGGTATATTCAACTTCAGGTATACGATCACCACTGAACATGTGAAAAAAAGCAACAACATATAAACGGGATAATATTTCTCCCATTTGTATAAATAAATTAAACTATTCATATTTGTTATAATATTACAATATGCTGAAATTTCCATTAACCCAAAAGAAAATATCAACAGACCTACCAAATGAATGAGGTAAAAGTTATTCGGAAAATTTTTAATAACATACATTTTTAAAAAAAAAAAAACACAACCAGAAATAAGAAATACAGATTCATAAAAGCTGTATATTTATCTGTTCAATTGTTAGTGTGGAGCCATTTACAAACGGCGTACAAGGTGACAAGTTCATCATCATTTTTTTGAACATAATCGTATATAAATGAGAGAAGTACAAAGAAGATCAATAAGACCTATCTTTACATACTCAGTTCAAATAAGTCATCCAATCGATATAGATGGAGTTATAGTTGGAATAATATACAATTCGCTATGTGCTTATATATGTCATCTTCTACACATCGCATAAACCATAATAATCCACTTAAATGAACATGGATACTTCACCCAGGAAACGTACTTACGGCCTTGCTTCCAACACTGGCTAGTTGTATAATTGTCCTTTGATTTTTCATCTCAATTCTTGTGTAACTATTTGGAACAATCATACCATTCCTGAACACAAACATAAGTTTTCCTACGTTTATTCTTAAGCACTCAGTTTAATGTATAATCAATTGTATTAGTTTACCTAGCAAGGAAACTCTTGAGATATAAAGATTCATTGAATCCAAATGGTGAAACTGTGTACTTTTGTCATTTACCTAAAGCAGAAGATTGTTCTAGTTCAGCATTTTAAAATTCTTGAGGTTAAAAGAACGAATGTTAGCTAAATTCTCAGCAGAAGTGTTTCTTGCTAAGGTCATCGCAACGTAGATTAGTGAGTTCAGCAAACCATAGGTTAAGAGAAGAATGATCACTGAACATTTATACTATGACAATATATAGAATAATAAATAGCTTGTTTTTCACGTCATTATAGAAAAATTTGTACTTTACTGGTCATAAATTTAATTTATTACACTCAGGTAAAAACAAAGAAGAATAGGTTTGTTGTTCGTAGTTGCATAAAGAATCATTCAAAATATTAACAAGTACTCTTAGTTAGTGAGTGACTACTAGCACGAAACTTAGCTTCACTGTTTTCTGTCTATTATCTACAACAACCTAACATAGTGCATACGATATTACATCATTTAAAGTAATGATCACACTGCGGTTTGACAGATAGAATTCGGTCAGCACTGAATAGACATATATGACATTGATTACTATTCAGAGAGTCAGTTTTACATTAGAAAATTGTTCATCTTCCACGGAAGACAGTTGAAACAAAGTATACTGCAACCTTTTAAATTCCGCCTGCAACTCTTCTAGGGTTCACTGGAGAATGCTAGTGGGAGGCCTATACTCTTCTACGAGGGGTAACAGGCGTAAGTATGTAAGAAACCTTTTACAACTTATCTAATATGCAATATGATAATATTATCTACAAACGTCAACCATCATCATGCTGATAAGCAGAAATATAAGAAGTAAAAATAAGTTTATAAAAGTTGACATTTAATACATGTAATTTTAGATAGTTTACATTCTTGGTAAAATTATAATTAATCAACTAGATATATTCAGTTGAAATGAACAACTTACTATTTATAATCAAATGCTATTTTCGCTATATTTTCTCGTCGTTCTCTGTAAACTTTGTCATGAAAGCCCTATAAATAAATTAATCCGATAAAACTCTATCTGTCAAGATTATTCAATAATCAGAGATATCATTATTGGTTGGCTTCCGCATGCCTAAAATAATATTATTTTAAAGATTAACACAATAGTATCCACAGAAGAAAATGGTTAACCTGTCAGCAATGGCAGTGATCTGAAAACGTTTTTTCCTCAGAAGTTCAGCATCACACTGTAAGTAGTTTGTGTGATTCTACATAACCTATCTGACAATTATCTATGAATTTTCGCGCCTAATAATTTCCATTTAAGAAGATGGTTTACATCCCAAAATGATATCAATTGAAGAATTATTGAAACCTAAAGGTCGATAAACATCCATTCGTTTTTAATTTAGGATTCTTCAGTAGTACACACTCTTGATTCCACAACTTGATTTGACTGTAGGTAACTCATGGCAATAAAAACCCTAGGATCTGAATTGTAAACTAATCAACTATTATAAATAGAGCCAGTAATTGACAGTAAAATAATGGCAGCAAGAACTGTTTCATAAGTTTTCTGTTGTTAAGAGTTGTAGAATACATAATGTGAATTTGTTGTTTTTCTACTGATTTCGTCCTATGATGGGGCTCTTCGAAAGTGCACCTACCACTGCACACTGTCGTGACCCTGAGTGTACCTCTGTCTAGCACGACATTCGTTCGGAAATCAAGGAATCACAAATCAGATTACGTTAGGTAATTCAGTCTAAAGAATCACGAAATATGCATGTGAAAACTAATAAGACTATCTTTTGAACTACCTCATGCTATGTATATACAACAGTGTTGAATAGATTACTAACTAGTTTCAAATTAGAGCTTATCAAAATTTTGAATGCCATTCGTGCACAGTCAGTTTTCTGCAAGTATTTATTTCATCTGTACATTATTACTGTATATAATTCTTTTTTTAGAAAGAATAAAGAATTCTACATATTCATAACACGTTGATCATAAGTATAAGAACAGATGTAAACTAATATTCCAAATAATAAATTCAATTATACTAGAGTTTTTAATTTATAATTTAAATTCTTGTGGCTATTTTATTTAAATTCAAAATGTTAGATTACAAGTGCGGGTATCTGTATAATTTGAGTTAGTAATGGGGAGTTAAAGGGAAAAGAAAATAATGGTACTGTATATATAGACTTGTCGAGATATGGAAGCAGACATTTAAAAGAATGAATAGCAACTGCAAAGGATTGCCCAGAACAGAGTCGGATAAAGAATGCTGGTGGGTGACTTACGCTCCTCCCTGAGGGGTAACAGGAATGAGTAAGTGAGTATTATATAGGCTTATGTTCTATAGATAACGAAATGTTCATTAAAGTTAATTGTTAAATAATGACTGATCAGAATTATGATATTGATTCCATGAAATAAATTATTTTTATTTTCATATATATTTTGACTTATACAAATAGACTTATTTGTTGAATACTTCATAGATATTTAAAGAAATTCCTTAAATATATTGCTTATGCAAATCATCTTGATATTTAATACCTAGAGATTATCATTTGAAATATTTGACACAATTTTATTTTGTAAGACTTTGTATTCTCTTGTTGTTAATGTTATAAGTTGAAGTTGATCAATCTCAACTGATATATTTAACTTTACTAAAACCCGTAAGAAATGGCAACATCAAGGTGATATTCTTAAGATGGTGAGTGATTAGCTAAGGTCCATCATATCGATAACAGGAAGGTAAAAATTCCTAGAGACAAATTTATATATATTGGATTATTAAGTATCCATCTGAACTCGGTAGCTCAGTGGATAATGGATCGAGGCTTAAAACAAAAGGTACTGGGTTCGATTCTCAGTGTACACATTAACAATCAGATCCAAACAAATCTATCTAATGAATCCCAGTAGGATGAAACGAGTAACCTGGATTCTAGTTCAAGCTGTTGTTCGGACTTAACAAAAAGCCTTTATTTCACATCAATTTAACAAATATTCCATTTGAGAAATGAAGATGGAAATTTCATGATTATTACACGTATTTGTATTGATCATTGTTAACAAACTGTTTTACCATTTCAGAAATTACCAGCTTTAGAAATAGAAAAGAAATTAACAAAACTTACTGGATGATCAGTTTGTAATTCAGGTTGAAATTTAAGCAGTAGATGTTGACATTTATCCAAATCAGAAATGTGTTTAGGATACCAATCTTTTAAATCGAATTCAAAAATATAATTTGGAAATATTAATAAATACAAAATTACTTCTTCATGCTTTCAATTTGTTTTGGTGGAGTTTTGTTCTCTGAGATGGATGGTTTGGTCGTGGAGCTTTTATCCAGCTCAGAGATCAAAACTTCACCAAAATCATCTATATACCTAAATGAAACTTTTTATTTTTCTTATAATCAAATGAAACTAATTATTAACTAAAGTCGATTAGTTAACATAAAGAAGACGAAGAACAAGAACAAGAAAACATCTCTACCTGGTCAAACTTTAAACAGTTGACTGAAACATTTATGTTAACTATAACGAACAGATATCTTGAATAACAATATAAAAATGTTGACTTATATAAACATTTGGAAATCAATGGATGAACTGTATTCTTAGAGATAACTGAAGTTTTCAACTGTATAACTGTTAAGCGTTATTGAGGACTAAAAAACAATGTTCACTATGCAAGGGCTTTCACCATATAAATGTTTACTGGTAGTAAAAAAAATGTAAATTAGTCAATAATTGACTTAACAGTCTATTTAAACTATTTTCCACAACAGTAGAACCACTTGAGTTTTAATCATTCGAATTTATTCTGAGATATAATAAGTATAAAACAGGAGGAAGCTTCAACGATTTTACTCTTCAAACGATATCAACTGTTTAGATTCAAAAGGAACAATATCCTGGGGTTCTAGCACAGAACTACCATCCTATATTCTATTAAACAGTTATTAGATAATACTTCCTCATTCAGCTGGTATTAGGGGAATGAGCGTTTGAAAAAAGGAAAGAATACGATTGTTTCTGACCTTTTTACAAGAATCAGGCCAGAGTTTAAAATATCTAAATACGAAATATCTGGGCTCATTTATAAACTGCTTTATCAAAACGTCTACTTAATGGTTTATTCAAGATGACCACAGAAATCTACCCAATAAAATGTGCTTTGTGTCCACTCTCATGGATTTCGTGAACGTACAGATGTGATAAGTCCTAAAGTAGAACAAAACATCTATTCACTTCTCTCTATTTTCTCGTGTGATTTAAGTTGACATAAGTTAATGATGAAAACTTTGTTCACAATAATTCAATCAAGTGAATCAATAAATAAGAGAAATACTTCAATGCTGTCACCGAAATTTTTTACTTACATTGAGATTCTTGATTATTTGGTAAATTTATTCTAGAAACAAAACTGTTGCACCGTAATTCTTCGTACAATAAATTCATATTTACTTCATTTGTTTCCAAAGTTATTAAACAAGAATATTGAATGTCTTGGTTTGCATTGGATAAAGTTAAAGGTGGTCTCGTTTCAAAGTGTACAAGATTCAATTTCTAAAATAAAATGGTTAGTTTGTATAAATGTATTTCAGACATGAAGAAGGAATATAAAGACTGATAGGAAAATAACTTTATTTATGAGTTTACCTTGTTTGCGTAACATGAATTTAAATTAAATGTATCAATATGAGTTTTTCTTAATATACAGTAACATGCTTTATAGCTGTTTGATACTCTTCAGTTTTTGTACACTTTAATGGTTCTGTTGAATTCAGATCTAGTGATCAATCTCAAATATCTTTTTATCATCAGTTATCTAATTTCTTCTCTTTGAATCTGAGTTGACTAGCTATTCGGGCAACTAATGACTACTTGATATACTGTAAAGTTTAAATTCTACAGGGAGTACAAGTTCCTTCAAGATTATAATTACATCTTGCTGATAAGTGTCGACAAACATGAAACTTAGATCCAGAGTATATTGTTAATATCTGCAATCAGTTAACTTATTAACATTATGCACACGATATCAAATCATTCAGACTAGCAGCCGAATTGCAGTTTGATCTATAGGATTTGATTAACACTTAGGGATTAGACAAACGTAATAATGGTAACTACTCAATGATCAAACAAACAAACATGAATTTCATTATTTAGAAGTAAATAACGAATCATTTTTTAAGTAGAAAGTTATTCAATAATTTATTTCATGAGTCAATTGAAGCTATACCACCATAAAAAACCTGGAAGCACTGAATGGCCGTTTCTTCCTATTGTGAGACTCCTCGACAGTGCGTATCCACGATCCTGCCCGCGCGAGATTCCAGCCAAGGATCTATCAGTCTCGCGCGTGAACTCTTAACCTTTAGGCCATTGAGCCGGCATCTAACGGTGTCAATGCTTAACTTTAACCAATCCAAGAAATTACGCCACTGTTATTCAATATAAGAACAGTAATCATTGTTATGTAAAGAATATATCAGAAAAATATTAAAAGAATAACAACACTTACCTTATCAATTATACATTTCAATAATTCTTGCAAAGCTTGTAAATAAAATTGATTATTAGATTTTTCATCAGTTATTGGATGAAAATAAATAATAATTGAATGTATTTCACTGTTTTTTTCATCATGATCTAATGTTTATTCATAGAATGTTTCAAATTTAGAACTCACTTAATTCAGTAGTTAAAGGTTTGTTATCGTTTTCAATGCTTTGGTCACACATCATAAGCATCTTCAGTTTATCTAAAAGCATGAAACACTGATACTTTATTTCACAGGCATTACAACTTAATATCATCTTGAAGAAAGTATAAGATTACTTTTTCTACTAAATAATCCTCTATATTGTTATGGAATTTATTAAATGACTTTACATACTGTGAATAATCCTTATTTCTATATGTTTATATTTTAACAGAAATAGATTCAATCCCTTTACTTAAAAGTTGCCTAAACATATCTCTTAATCCAAACAAAGTATCATATCCTTTATGATATGTGTTTTAGTTGGATTCTATTTTCATTTACTATAGTAAATAAAAACTATAATGAGGAGCAATGACTGTTTAAAACATTTGTGTATCATAATGACAACAAATAAATGCATCAAGGATGATTAAATACCTGAGTTTAGGGAAATATTTGGAAATTTTAATAATTACTGTAGTGGAATTAGTGAACTCATCAAAAAATCGAACTTCTAAGTTATGAAATTGTTCTTACGATGAGAAAAGAAAGTTTTACGCTTAGATTTCAAATGTGCCCGCTCATAAAATAAACCGATCAACGATAAATTTCAATAGTTATATATAGTATTTGATAATAGTAACTTTTAAACCAATCAAATTCTAGTGGGATCTTTCGCTTATGTAATTTGAATAATTTTGTCGGAAGTGTACATACTTTAATAACCAATCAGGATTGCAGAAAAGTATAATACAACCGGCATAGTCAGCATTTTGTTTATATTTTAAATGGGTTCCTAAATTTCAACTTTTTTAAAAAGCTAAGAGCTAAAAGTTCGCCAAAGACTTCCTTTATAGTTTTTTGAGTTGATTTGAGGGATAACTGTATTCTTCCTATGGATAATGTCAGTTTATGATAACATCTGTATTATGATTGTATAATGTAGTATATATCATTAAATTAATAACTGCGATAAGTTTCAGATGGATAATCTGTCAAAATAAATGTAAAAAGTGTTACATCAGTGAGATAGTTTATGTGATTAATGTGACTTATTCATGAATCTGAGATAAATGCTCATCCCTTTCTATTGTCAAACATATCGTTGAAACGGATCATAGGAGTTAACTGAAAACAGCTTTTGCGATGTTGGTGTCCTGTTTATTTGAAGCTGATATGTTAATTTGTTTAGACCTTAGCTAAGTTAAATTTTGTAATAAAAAAATGTTTGTACCTACCTACCAACCATAATTAAGGGATGGGAAGTTGGTTGGAGAACTTGGAATTCAACAAATAGGTAGGAGATTCGAAACCTGTTCCATTTACTTCGTTTGAATAATCGGATAGTATCATTAGCCTCCAAGACAAAATTATAGCTTACCACCGAATAAAGATTCGAAATTGTCTCGATATCTGTTACTCAGTTTATCAGTAATGTAATTGTAAGGACGTTCACACATCATTGCAAATTAGTGAATGGAGTCTTTAAACTACACATGGTGCTCTAAAACACATTGTCTAAATCGATTAGGAATATAACTGGAATAAAAACACCAGCTACCTGAAGGTGCATGGACATGCATTAACATCAGACCACTCCACAATCTGCTCTAGAGACCCAGTTAGAAGTCTCACGTTACTCTACCTCTAAGTGAAATAGAACACGGCTGTCCTACCAACCATCATCGTTTTCTTTCTTATTTACTTTCTGGTCATTTCACTAAAAGATACGCGGTTACCAGTAACATCCTATTTCCTCGTATCTAATCTCTCTTTGACTTCATTACAATTTACAAACGCAACTTAATTAGTTAACTGAACTAATTGATATTCAATAAATATAATAAAACTGAAGTGAATAATGGCAATGTGTTTAAATGGTTACTTTCATGAGTTAATAAGTAGTTAAAATCTTTGATCTCACTTTTCATATTAGTGATATAAATAAACTCATTATAAATTTATATCAACATTAATTTGATGAAATTTATAATAAATGATTCCATTTACGGACTACGTGAATTTCGTTAAAGTAAATCTTTCTTGCCAGAATTCTTGTCGTTAACAAAACCAAAGAGAAGATGGATGGTGGAATCAGTGGAGTCCAGTTTGATGCGCGTTTCGTCCTATTTGGGACTCGCCAGCTGGATGTACCTGCATCTCAAAGTTGGTGTTCACTCAGGGACTCACACTCAGTACCGTCCAATTCAGACGGCACTGCGTTATCCGCCTAGCTACTGAGTCCTGATGGCCACTAGCTTGTGCAATGAGGTGACGTTTTAATTCATTTTTGTATTGGTTGTTTGAACCTTGCCATTGGTGTTTAGGACTGCAACTTGGAAGCACTGGACGGCCGTTTCGTCTCATTGTGAGACTCCTCAGCAGTGCGCATTCACTATTTCGCCTAGCGAGATTCGAACCCAGGACTTGTCTGTGTTGTCTAAGTAAACAGTTGTTTGAATTAATCTCCAAGTATTCTATAAAAGTTTACAATACTGTTAACTAGAGTTAGTGTAATGTATACATTAAACTATCATCAACACTATGTCAAACTTATATTTTAGCAAAGGTATTATTACCTTTGAATCCTCATCAATTACAATTCAATATGAAGTTAGGCTTTTTGTGTTACAGACTGTTATCAACTGAGGAAAGTTTTTTATATACCAGACAATTCTTTTGTTTTAGCTTCTGAATACACAACTGATTTCACTTACGGTCTCATCTATAGAATTAAGATATCGCGTGATGAATAAGTGAACGTTAGACATCTGAAACCCCAACCAAATGCACATATTTCCGACTACACTGAATCCACGATATCATCATCATTAGATCTTCTATATTGTCTACTTCATTGCCTGCCCAGTTGAATCTCACCCGTCAAGACTTCTTATTTAGGACTTCGAAAGTACTGATCAAAGTTTAGCATCGATGAACAAGTGAATACTATTAAAATGCGGTGTTTATGGAAGTCGGTTCATTCAAATTAAATTTAAAAAACAATGAAGTTAAACTAAACGCTTTTATGCTTTAGGATATTTTGTAACATTTCGACAGATGTTATTCCAAAGAGATCACCTTAAAAACCAGATAAATTTCTCTACCGAAATTTAAATCTCTAAGACAAGTTTAAAATACTTTTAAGGGATACATGCATAAATAGACAAGTTTATTCCGCATGGTTTATTGCTTATCATCAGTTCAAATATCACTAATAAATATAAAAAAGAGGAAATACTCAGGAAACGACTATGTTCCATTGTAACTTTGGCATTTATTTATTTCTTTATTCACTGAATGTTAAACAAGAATTTTGATGAAAAAACTCCTTGTCTTTTTTGTTTCTTCTATTGTTATTATTTTCGAAAACTATTTCCTCTCGTTTCATTCAATGCATGTAATCATAAATGTTCGTATTACTTTCGTTGTTTACTTATCAAAATAAAATGTCGTTTAGATTGTTGTTTTCCTGTAGATAAAATAATTATTGATGAAATAAAGAAGAATATGTATAGGGGATTCTGATGATAAGAAATAGACTTTTAAGGGTTGTTCTTATACATAGTATTCCTTGACGAGAATCCTGATCTCTAGTACATAACTAAATACATTTGAGGTGTTGTGAAACTGATAATATTGAGTCAGTGATCATACATCGCTTCATTTACCTCTTATCTCCACATTTTATTTATTAATTATTGGCAGGAGTAACAAGAAATCTCAGTCCTACAAGAGATTATTTAAAGCCCAAACAGCTTAGTGTTAACTTTTCAGAATGTGAATTTGAGTGAAACGGGTTCGAGTTAAATACTGGGTATCAGTTCCGTTAAAATCGTAGATATGCCACATGGGGCCTAACAAAGGTCAATTCTTAATGTAAACTATGAAGTAATTTGTACAGTAAAATGGGGACTGTTCAGACCAATAACATCATAACACTTTGAAAGTTCGAGTTTACAAGCAGCTCAATTTTTGAACACCTCGTAAATTATGGTCATATCGCCCTAGTAAAGTCACCTATAAAACCAAACAAACTGAAACTTATGCACTACAAACTCTTTGGCAATCCAGCTATTTAAGGCTAAACTGATTATACAAAGAATAACACGTTCGATATCTCATTTTATCTTAGTTAAAACTTGGCTGTTTATCTTTAAAACCTAATTATAAATTGTTATTCACTCCTTTATAATTTTCTTCATAATTATTGACTAGCTATTATTTCACTATTCAGTTATTATTTTCTTATTAATCAAGTGAATAATTATCTCTAAATTATTTTCACGTTATAATTATTAATTGGTCCTTAGATCTTTACATAACCTGCTATGTTAGTTAGTTGGAGGTAGTTGACATAGGCTTCGTGCGACATACCTACGATCTTAACGGAACTGATCATCAGTATTTTAACTTGAACCCGTTTCACCCAAATTCATGGTCTGAAAAGTTAGCATTAAACTGTTTAGGCTTTGAATAATCTCCTGTAAAATTGAGATTTCTTGTTATCTTATCTAATAACTAATCAGTTGTAATTAATCGTTGTTCGATATTTGATATTTCCAAATAATTTATTATCCAAATAAATTTTATTTATAATAAACTCATATATATATTGCATTAATTTCAATACGATTGTACAAGCATTATTAAATAATATCAAAGGAAGGAAGATGTTCTTCTTTGAATAGTCTATATTTTTTCATTATTGACATCATAGTTTTCTTTAGTTGCTTAAACGCCTAATATTCATGAACTATTGACAAATTATTCATTCGTAATTTATGTGCCAAATAACTTTCTAAATCAATAAATTATGCCATTTGTATTCTACTAAAGTGTGGTGTGCTCGGATATAGTGTATTTACGGAGAAAATAATATTCCATAATGACTTTTGATGAAGAAGGCTTTTAAAGTACATGGAAATAACACTTACGGATTGTTGTAACGTGTGAGACTGCAGGTTTTGATAAGCAGCGTTATTTATCGATCGACTACAGTAGACACGCAAAACACGTAAGTGGACGACCTAGTGCCCTGAATGA